TGCAATGGCCAGGTTACTTAAACCAATCAGGGCTGTGCTCTTTGAAATTATTCCGTTATTTAAAACATACACAGTGTGTAACCTGTGTGTAACGCAGGTACAGGATTTTGTCTTTGCACCAGCGTGTGCGAGTGTGTTTCTCTCCTGAATCAAGTGCGTCTCCACCAAGTGCATCATTTATCCAGCCGCCCAGAGGCAAAAACAACCTGCTGCCAGCATTGATGGTTCGTCCTGCAGCACCTGTGTGGATTGGGTTCAGAGGTCACCAGTCACAGGCAATCAGGAGTAAATGGAGCCTGTGTAACACCAGACAAACGGCCAAGAGCTCCAGAACAAAGCCGAGGCCGCCGCAATGTGTTGCTGTATGTGTGTACTCCGCAATACTCTTGTCTTATTTCATCCAGCCTCAGCTACTGTAACAGGATTAATTCTTGTTTATTTCCAAGCTTCTGACCCTCCTCGTGATCCCTTTATCCTTACTTCTCTTCAAGACTGCACACCTCACCGAAAAATCAGCACGATATTTTCTTCATTTTAAACTAAATACCACGACTGCCAGGTGAGCCACCCGGCAGGCAAAACTGCTCTCCAATCTTTTCATCCCTTTAGTGAGGTTTACCGCTCTCAGCTCCCACAGTCGGCCTCGTCTCCCGTTCATCCGCAGACTAATCCAACGCTGGTCTGTTGTCTTATTGACTCTCCGAGCCCGAGCGCCTGGAATCATAACAGCCTGTGGGAAGCGTCACGAAGGCAAGCCGGTGAATTAGGCATCTCGAAGCGGGACGAGTCAGCCTGGCTCGGTGGGGGGGAGGGATACGGATCCGTGCCTTAACTCACTCTTACATCATCATAAACCATCATCCAATTTACCAGCGCTGTCATGGAGGAACCATTAAGCGTTTGCATAATGCAGCGTTTTCACTATGTTAATTCAACCCTCAACTCAGCCCAGGCGTGGACTCTCTCTTTGTGTTTAGACTCCTTCAACCTCCCGACAGTGTGTGCATGAGAGCATCCCGCCGCGGCACGTTGACGACTGTGAAGGATTATGGAGGTAAATGATGTTCTCCAAAGCCCTCCGAGATCTCCATGCAGCGGTGCAGCGATACCTCAGGGTACCTCAGGAAGAGCAATAGAAACGCATTACTGACGAAATCATATTGCCACTGAGGGGTGAAAGTCACCGGGGAAGTGGATAGAGCACGCTGGGGGGGCTTGGGGGGGGGTTGAGGCTCTGCGCTTCTCTACAATTTCCCTTGACACATGAGCTCTCTTTTTAATTTGGGGTAATTCGGAAAGTGACTTGATTAAAGTCCGATGCACAGCGACCGGCTGAGGACCCTCGTCCGGTGCATTTGTAGGTCCAAGTGTGTCAACGGGAGAAAAAGATCCTTCAGACCCCCCCGACACTGTTTCATGTCATCATCAAACTGTGGCTTTGGGTGACGAGCAGCAGACGCGTAGCCACGCAAGCGTAATGGCTCCTGTCCATCACTTTGGCCCGGACCGAAATATCTCATCAGCTGCTGCGAGACGTTTCGAGATGACGTTCCTGCTCCCCAGAGGAGGACTCTTACTGGCTTTGGTGACATCGAGACTTTGCCTCGGCGCACCAGGAGGGGTTTCAAGTAAACTATTTGGATTGAAATTAAATTTTGGTTCACCAATCCACTTTCCACTCAGGATGAATTGTAATAACCTCTGTGGTTATCTGGCTTTCCCTCTGGAGGCCGTTACACACTGAGGGACGGGTTTTTATCTCGGGCTATTAATTCGCAGCTCAATTAATTTTTTTAAATCCACTGTTTCATAGTCTTTTCGAAGACAGCAGACTTTATTTCTCCTAAAAACAATGTCAAAAAACGGCAACGATCAGAGGCCCTCCTCTCGCCAATTGTTTACCAGAAGGAATTGAAATTTACTTGCAGGGAACTCAATACTGCAGCCTACAATACAACAACTTACCTCAGAAAGACTGCCAGACGCTGCTCTGTGTCAATTGAATCCTGGTAGTCGGTCGTCTATTCAAGAAAAATCTATTCAAATATTTGATGGTAAAAGTGTTGCAAATGTACAACGTTGCAGGTGCAATAGTTGATGCTAAATGTTCACAGCACAGTATTTAACATTTTTGCTCCCGTCTATTCATCGCACAGTGAATAAAAGGCATCAAGGCGGTCTTGTCAAAATCCTCATCGGGGGTTGGGCAGACTGACCCCTGGTGGCTCACGGAGGCGGTTTAAATCAACCACAGTTTTTTTAGACCCACAACACAAAAACTACAAAAAAACACAGTTATCGTGTCTGATCGCAGCAGGCCAATCAACCTTTGATCCCATTGTTGTTAAAACGTGTGTTAATTCAAGGTCCTTTAATGACCAATATCTGCTACAGAGAACTTCCCTTTGGAAATACTGAACCTATTATATGTATTTTTGTACTACACGGTCTATCTCCCAGTATCTATTGTGTTCTGTGACAACGCGTATTAGAAAGCATAACCATGAAAAGTGCAGGTGTTTCTCGATGAGGTGAAACGTCCCCTCAAATGTCCCCTGACAAGTGGTCTTCTTGTTCCAGCTATTGATTGGATGATCAATGGCAGCGACGCTTCTGAACTGGAGCAGCTTCTCCGTGTTTCTTCAAGGGTTGTGGTACCATCTGCTGGAAAATCCGGTACATTACAAAACGGGCATATCAAGTTAGTTCCATAACCACTGCTTCATTGTTAAGAATGCCGTTTTGTTTCCATCCGTTGGACAGCCATTGATCTGTGAGTGATTGATCATGTAAGTCACCGCATAGTGGTTGGAAACTAGAAGATGCAAATGGTGCAATGCAGTATTTTAATTTACCATGCCGCTCGGCGTACAATTTATTAGACAGTCAGATGAAAATGAAAGTATATAGTATAGATATAACATACATGATGTAAAGGTAGTTTTATTTTGTTTTGTTACTTTTGACAAATATGACTTGTTTTACTGAAATTAATGGAGCTACTGCTGCAAACGTTTTATAGTATTGACAGTACAGTTTTATAGTATTGACCTTATTCAAACAAAACCAAGCAATGTATCATGTGGAGATATAGTTTTACCTCCTATCAAAATACACACTGATACTGAATTTAACATTGTGTACATACCGTAATCATTCTTATCAGCAAGTTGCAAATCGGCTTATTTGATGAAATTGCACTTTCTTTGTTTCTTGTATCCTTATGGCTTATTGTATCCTTATGGTTGAATGCACTTATTGTGAGTCGCTTTGGATAAAAGCGTCAGCTAAATGACATGTAATGTAATGTTAGTCACTCTCTGTTCAGATTTAGATTCTGTCCCTTTAAGCCTCCCTCCTGAAAAAGTCTGATCTGATTGGCTTGCCAGGACAATTGTGTTATTTCACAGGTTTTGGGTTGGTAGGTTCTCCAGATATCCATAGGTGCACAATCAAGTGTTTTTTCATGACATGTTCCTAATCTTTCTTACTCATAGACTTTTCTGTTGTAAGACTTTGTGATAACCATATCAGTAATTTGCATTGGCTACTTTTGTCATTGTTTTTGTTATGATTATTATTTTAAGCAACAATCCGTAAACAGCAGCGACGGTCATGGTGAAGGTCGTTTCTCCTTTAATATTTTCATTCTTTCAAACGTCAACGTTGGTCGGTCCACAGCTGTGGGGGGGGGGATGAGGAATGAGGGGAGGAGATGGGGCAGATAAAACATTCACCGGCAGCAGAAACTCGGCATCTCTTCATCATGTAGCGGCGCGCAGACACGCAGGACAACATCACTCAGCTTCATCTACAAACTTGCGCCGACTGACGTTTCCTCTGCAGAGATTTAGAACAAGAGCAAATACAGCACGCAGGTAAGCGCGTCACCCACCTTCACCCCGCAGGTGAGACATCTTCTTTCCTCTGCAAATCAATTATTCACCGTCGACCCTTTTTTTTTCTTGCGGGGATGAACTTTGGTGTCGCGTCGTCAGGATATACGATGCGAGCTGTTGACGTTTGTGTGGGATTCCAGCGGGTCGCGCGCCGTAAACAAACGCAGCGGGCACGCGGCTGCCTTTCAGCACCAAGGACAGCTGCAGGCCGCCTGCGGCACCAGAAGCTTCTCCCGACGGCACGAAACGCAGCCGCGCGGTCCACTCGCCGACATAAACACCTACTAACAGCAGCTTTTCCCCCACTGATGCAGATACCACCGGGTGTGTGTGGTTGTTCTCCTCAGTCCGACACCAATTGCACGGTGTCAACAATAATCACACAGTCGTATATTCAACTGAAGTGTTCCTGGGTGTGAGAATGAGCCGTTAAAGATGAGTCGGTCCTATAATTACGTGGCACAGGATTCACAAATCTGCCTCACAGGGCGTCGTGAACTGTCTGTAACTCAAAGACAAATTGCAGGAACCATCTTGTTAATCTTGTGTGGATTGATGCAAACATATGACACATCTGGATCTGGGGAGATATCAAACAGGTGACAAGCTGTTTAACCAAAGAGGGCGGCATATATCGTCAAATTTGGCTTTCTTTCTTCTCCAGTAAGTAAGCCAGTCTTATCATGCAAAGAAAATACCATGGACAGTGTTTCTAAATAACCTCAATTACCAATAGCCATTCAGATAGTTTGGGGTTTTATTCATCTATGAATGATATTGTTATCGTTAGTGGTATAAGGGAATTTTCCTGGGTTCGAAAAAATCAGGAATATAGATTTATTGGTGAAATCTCTTTCCAGAATAATTTCTTTCCCGCTCTGAAAACATAGAAAATCATCTGATAGCAATTTTTTCTGAGTTGAGCCCAGCAGCCACCGCTGGTTGGTGCCGTAGTCTCTTATTGCGTTACAATACATTTAGTATTACTACCTTTCTTACTGCCAAAACCTGTGTGCTATTTTTTTCTTTATTCTTCACTTTGAAATACTTCTGCTTATCGGACAAGTGCAATCCACTAATTGATTGATCGACTGTTACAGGCGGAGAGGATGGCATCCACAGGCATCGTCTACCTCGCTCTGTGGCTCACCTCAGTCTTCACCGCCGGACTCGGATGCCCGGAGCTTTGTACCTGCTCAGATAAATACGAACGCCATTTTGCTGAATGCTCCTACAAAGATTTAGTGCAAGTCCCAGGCGATTTGCCTCCTAATGTGACGACTGTGAGTCTCTCCGCCAATAAGATCACTTTGCTACCAATCGGGTGCTTTGATAACGTCACCCAGGTGACGTCGCTGTGGATGGCCCACAATGAGATTGTCTCAATCGAAGAAGGGGCCCTCACACCTTTGGTTCATCTGCGCAACTTTGACATCAGCCACAATATGATTGTAGACTTTCCTTGGGAGGATCTGCAGAACCTGACAGGCCTTCAACTGCTGAAGATGAACCACAACGAGATGGTCCATCTGCCGAAGGACGCCTTCTACAACCTCAAAGACCTGAGGTCCCTCCGACTCAATAACAACAAATTCATAACTATAACTGAAGGGACGTTTGTCGGTTTGGTTTCTTTGTCCCACTTGCAGATTTATAAAAATCCTTTTGCATGCGACTGCTCCCTCGGTTGGCTCAGAGACTGGATTTCATCAACTGCGATCACAGTCCCGGAGCAGAATCTGATCATCTGTGCGTCTCCGCAGAAACTGAGAGGGAAAGCGATAGGAATATTACCCAAGTCAAAGTGCACGGGCACCAACGTGACGATACGGGCCGAGCCAAATATTCATAACATGACTTTCTACGAAGGGAGTGCGTTGGTCTTGACTTGTGAGTTCAGAGGAAACCCAAAGCCTCTGGTGATTTGGAATATCCACAGCGAAAGTCGGAAGGAAGAGCTGGCTTTGTCCTTTGCTGAAGATGACTCGGCAGAATCCAATGAGGACTCCTTACTGTCCCACGGTCCCGTCAAAGTCTTTAATAACGGGACTCTTGTCATTTCGCACCTCAGGAGGGAAGACAGCGGCAGCTACAACTGCTCGGCCACAAATGAGAACGGAAGAGCACAGGATTCAGTGTCAGTGGTGGTGGTGGCTTTAACTAAACCAACACCTACCGAACAAAAGACCACAACACCTACTTACACTAAATCACACCTGCCTATAATGAAAACAACACACAAAACATCCGTTTTGGACTTTGTACATCTCCCTGATTTGAAGAGAAAAGACATGATGAAAATCGAACCCACTTTTCCGCCAGATGAGAATATCAGGTCTGAGGAGACAACCAATCCATCGGGTACTAGTACATGTGGCTTGACGGCTAACACAAGAAACATTTCTAGCCAAGTCTTTAGCGGGAGTTTGGAAGATACCAAGCAGTACACATTTGACTTTGGTGTCATTGCTTTAGCCGTATCAGAAACAGAGGCAACCGTCCGGCTCAATCCTCTCCTCATACCCAGGTACGACAGCGCCAATGGGGCCGCCGCCGCATCCGATGAGAGCTCCGACATTGACAGCGAAGAGCATGACAGCTTTTCCGACCTCTCTAAAAAGGCCAATTCTGATGGCTTGTACCTGTGCATCACCGGCGACCGAAAACACTCAGCGGTGCAGTGGTCGAGGATCAAAGAAGGAGTCGGCACGTATCTGTTCAGCGGTTTGCGCCCCAGCACCAACTACTCGCTGTGTCTGACCTACAGAGGGGAGGACTGCGAGGTCCAGGTGCTGTTCACCACCAGGAGGCGGGTACCCAACCTGCTCATCATCATCTCCGTCAGCATCTGCCTCCTCACTGTATCCACCGTGCCTCTCCTCGGTGCCACCTGCTTCCACCTGGTGTACAAATACCGCAGCAAGACCTACAAGCTGATCCTGAAGGCCAAAGGCCAGTACCACATGGAGAGGAACCTCACCGCCAACTTTAACGTCCGCGCGCCTCACACCGAGTCCCGGAGGAAGATCGACAGCGGCCGGCTGGACGAGGAGGAGGGGGAGACGGAGAGCGGGGACGGAGAGAAGGAGGCGGATACGGAAGAGAGTATCATGACTGAGTCCTTTTCTCTGTCACATTGCAGAGGCAATTCAGACAACTGTGAGGTTGGATCGGAGTATAGTGATAGGTTACCTTTGGGCGCTGAAGCAGTGAATATTACAAGCAGCTAGAAGTATCTAAATCACTCATTTTCAACATCATTTGTCATTTAGTTTTTGCTTGTGGTTGAAGGGTAAAAATATCATCTTCTTAAAAGGCGTATACGTCATCACAGATGTTACATCTTAGTTGCTGGACTGATGTTTTCAAATTATTCTTGTGTTTTTTGTCAGGAAGCGATTTGCCGTCACAAGGCAGCGCGCTTTAAGCACAGTCTGCTTTGCTGTATTTGACTCTAAATGAACAACATGTTGAATTGAAGAAGCCTTTTGAATTGCATTTGAGTCATAAACTCATTTTTTTAATGTTGACTGACTTTAGAAGTAGAGTCATTTTCTCAAAGACGTTTATTCAATCAAGCTTCTTTTTGCTACGAGAGGAACTGCCCCCTGCTGGTCATTTGAAACAACGCGAGCTTATGTCACTTCTCAGACTGGTAGGATACATCCACTTTGTTTAAACGGTCCATGGGGAAATCATTTTGTGCCAATGCATAAGGTTCTCTTTAGCATTGCACAGGCAGCCCAGACATGTTGCTTTGTTCCAGCTTGAAGTACAGCGGCTTGCTTCACTTGCAGAGCTGCATCATTCAGTCGCCGGATAGTGGATGTTTTACAGAAACTAAACCAGCTTGTGATCCAGAGAGAGAACCTGGATCACGACATCAAAGGATTCAATGTTTGTGCAGCTTCTCAATATAAAGTAAAATAAATATAATGACTAATATCATGATCATTTGTGAGCATGAGTAACGTTGAAACAAATCTTTCCAAAATAAAGGAAAACACAATTGTTGGTTTAACAGAGAGTTGGAACATAAATTCCCCTCTTACATTGGTCAGATAAATATGCTGCTATAGCAAGTTAGCTTAGCTTAGCACAAGACTAAAAACAGCTTTAGTTTGTCTACTAAAAAGCACATAGAAAGTGCACAGCTCCACAACTGTGCACAACTCTTTTATCTTAATGATAGAAGATGCAAAGAATTAAAAAACATATATATATATATATATCCAGTTCTGCACCAAATGACACAAAGTGATAGACAATCGTGGGATGCATGAATCAGATACAATATTTGAAAATCTCTTAGGTTACTATTTCCTAAGAGGCTACTCGCAAAAAAACGCTTTTACTTGAAATTTGGCCTTTATTTTCATATTTAAAGCAGTAAAGAGGAACAGCATAACAGTACAGATGATTTGTGGGAAATCAGCAAAACAGGTCATATAATAATAATTTGTATGCACACTGACGCTTCATGTTTAAATAAGGGGGACAAATGTGCCAAATGATTTCGGTCCTGGAAAGATGAAGGCTTGTTGTTCCCCTGTTCTGCTTTCAATACAAAATTGTGGGTTGAGGTTATCCAAAAGCATCCTAATCAAGATACTTAAACGATGTGTACTTGGATTTAATTACCCTATACATTTTTGACAGGTATTTAGTAATTGTATTAAAATACATATATGGTAACCCTCTCTACCCTGGAAATATCCAACTTCACAGAGTAAAGCAAAACACCAAATGAGGGAACATATTAAGCCCTTGGCGGCATTACAATGAAACTTATTTGTTTATTGGAGCTTTTGGACGAGTTTGTCAGGGAAATGTCGATGCTACAGCTGAAATCTTTTCTGGAAATAGACGTTGAATTATTTTATTGTTGTAGCAAAAAGTATAACTGTACACTTAATGCCTTAGTCTGTTTATTAAGAGAGTTTTTCTTAAAAATTCAATGTTCCTAAGAAGCTAATGTGTGAAATTAAGAAGACAAAATGTCCCCGACAATATGATTAAGGGAAGTGTCACTTAGCTTCAGGCAGTATAAATGAGCTAAATATTACTTGCAGTAAACGTGTGCTGACGTATTAGGACTGCAGGAGCTGATAAGTTGATAAACTCAATCTTCCGATATGACTTTAAATGTTTGGCAAATTCTGATGTTTCAACGAGAAAATGATGAGGGTAAATGTTTTAATGTCAAATAAAACTGTACGCTACGCTATATGTTGAGTATTATCCCCACTCTACTGCATACTGTGTGTAACAATCTGCTCCGAGTGAGAATGTGAAGCCTCGTTGTTTCTGGGTCATGTGTCCATCTCGCTGTATTCCCCGGCGTTCTGTGTTAGAAGACCTGCATGCTGCCTGTAGTTGAGAGCCGCAGCATGGCTGGGTATCGTGTTGATATTCTTGACCTAGAAAGTACTTTTTTTTTCTGTTTCATACCCCTGTGATAAAGGAAGTAGGTCTTCACCAAAGTGTTTAAATAACTCTCCTTGTCCTATGTGCCTCAATAAAGTTTTGACAAAGGAAAACTGATTGATTGCTCATCTCTTTGTCTTCCTTTTTCTCACCTTTAGATTCACAATAGTTTGCTCGTTAGTTGAGCGTTAGTATAGTTATAGTATCGCTATATGCGTCACATCCAAAATATAACAAGACATTTCTATGTAAAGACTCGGGCCACAAAAAACATAAACTATGTACCAATGTGTGGCACTTAATAATTATGGATACACAGTATTTCTATGATCTATTGCCATTTAGTGACAGAAAATAAATACAATTACACATAGTAATTAGTAGAAACTTTGGACAAATATTATGAATATAGTAGATTAACAGTGATTGACTAGAGTTTGCGATTTTCATTACATGAGAAATTTATTTTTTCTAACTTGGTTGATGGATTTACGAACTCCCTTGAACATCATGGACTGAGAACACATTGAGAGCCGGCGTGTGTTGCTGTAACGGCATTAACCAGAAGCAGAACACTACTTGACTGCCTGCCATCGAACCGTGCACGTCGACATGCTTCAGCAGTCCTACGCAAGCAGAACGCAACGGAAGTTTGATTTTAACAATGGCCGTATTGTAATTGATATTATTATCAGAGAGCATCTGGGATCTACTATCAGTAGCATCTAGCTACTCATATGGTAGCTTCTAGCTGTCTTTAGTTGGTGCCGTTGTGGGTCCAAACCTTTTAGTTCTCTAACTCGCACCACACTATCAATGCATCCTCCAGTGTGCAGAATTTAGATTGCAAACAAGCGAAAAAGTCTTTGTTTGTCCTTTCAGGTGCCGTTTTGTTGAAACGTGGAGGTGAAACATGAAGAGGTCGAAGCTCCATAACAAAAACACGAGGATTCTTAGTTTCAAGAGATGGTGCTGTAAAGCAAACTTGATTACATTATTACGCGTCCCCAATAATCCTACACACTGGTCCGTTAACTGTAGCTTGTGTCGTCACCACAACATATGGAAATCCTGAACGGATTCTGGCAGGAAGCGAGAATTTAAAAACAATGTTACCATTAAATGTAAAAAAATAACGACCAAAGTCCAATTAGGTTTAAAACACACCGCCAACCACACAACAAACACCACATTGGGGCCCTCAATCAGTTTTATCTTGGTCCGTGGAGGTCTCGGCGGGCTGGACCGGCAGCGCGGGAGTCTTCCCCGCCTCCTTCTCGCCGCCCTGCTTGGAGCTGCAGGTGGGCGTGCCGTTGGGGACCGTCTCCGGGGTCTGCTGCGTCTGGAAGTGCTTCCTGGAGCCCAGCAGGGACGGGTTGTTGACCAGCGTGTACAGCAGCTGCCAGCGAGCGCGAATCCTCTGCCGGCCGGTCTCCTTCTTCTCCGTGATCTCCTGAACCCCTGAAGGCGAGGAGGAGCAGGCTGTCAGGGGCGGAATGAGAGACCGAACTGAGGGGCGACTGAACAGACGTCATACTGCTGTGTGTGTGTGTGTGTGTGTGTGTGTGTGTGTGTACAGTCCGTTTACTTTTCTGGGAAAGTCCTGAAAACCCTTTGGAGGAATAAAATAATATTTTGGAGAATGCTTCCCAAAAGCATCCCGAGTGGTTTAAAGACTTTAACATATAAAAGCATGTAAAAGTTCATCTAGCCTATAACCTCTTACTTATCCATTAAAAGATTGACATATTGTGGGTTAGAGATGTTCACAATTGTGGAACACATGGAATTTGGTGCAGACATTAAAGTTTGTAGACATTTAATTTAGTGCAATCATCTGGTCTATTTACTTATTTGTTCAACGCAATCTGATTTTCATCAAATTCCCCAAAGGACCGGTCACATGTAGAGCCGCGCCACACGTGTGTGAGGACACGTGTGGCGCGTGTGCGTTTGCAGTTCGGGGTCTCTACCTTCCTCCGCGTCCCTTATTTTCTGCCCGGCTCTGCCGCCCTCGACCATGATGTCCAGCAGCAGCCCGCAGAAAGCCTTCATCACCGGGTGTGACTGGCTCACCTCCACCTTGAGCGAGTGGGCGTAGTATCGGTAGGCTGCGCGGGGGTCAAAGGTCAAAGTGTTCAGACTGAGACCGCGAAGCACGTCCAAACATCTCCAGCTCATGTTGGAGTCATTTTTATGTTTTTATTATCATCAACGAGTAAACAAGTTCCTTAAAAGTCGCTTGACAGATATATTTTGTGTTTTTTAGCCCGTGTTCTCCAAAACCCGATTAAAGCGCTGTACCTGGGTCGTAGGCCTCCGCGCTGCGATGCAGCAGACTGATGTCAGCACGGCCGAGGTGCACAATGTTGTACAGAGCGGTTATCACCATTCTCCATATTGCGACTATCAGTCCCACTACGGTGTTGACAAGGAACAGCAGGTACGTGAGGAGGAACAGACTCCCTCTGGAAAACACCATGAAATGTTCCCAGTCAGGCTCGGCCCCTGGGAATTACATTCATTTAAAAAACGACAATACTGTACCACTTTAACCAGTTTAGTACCGTGTGTTTTATTTTGCAAAGATGCACTATTACGAAACAAGGCTTTCATCTCAAGAAATCTTGAAGAATAGAAATTGCAAACGATTCGTTGACCAATCTACAAATTATACATATTGGATCAACCGCCATCCCAATAAGTGAGCTTCACCTGTTGTTCAAGTCTGTCGTGCCGGCCTCCTTTTTAATGAAAGCAAACTTTGCGGTCACGTGTTGAAGCACCGTAACCAGCGTCAGCGTCACCCAGCCCGGCCTGAGGTGGATGAAAAGCTCCGTTTTGATCGTTAACCATCAAATGAAATGAAGAGCCGAGGTCGCTGACTCACCACGCCTTCCCCGCCACTGTGAAGGCGATGACGTTACGGCCGTAAAAAATGGGGATAATGATCAAAAACACCAGGAACAAGAAGCAGATGAAGAACACAACAGTCTGAACCGCCATTCCTGCCAAAAAAAGACAGAAAGAGGCCATTTCTTAAATATCTACCAAAAGGCACTGAAATTATTATGCAGGTAAAAATGTAACAAACTCAATTCTTCAAATTTTGAATTAATCAGCTTTAATGTTTTTTATATAAATCATCAAATAATTCCATTAAAAGACCAAAGTCTGTCTTTGCATACTGTCTTCTTTGTTCCCCCTGTCTGTTACATTCAGTCCCTAAACCATCGATTCCTGAAGATTAACGTTTGAATATAGTCTAATTTAAGCGTGATAACTTGAACAGTTGAGTTGAGTCTGTATTTGTCGGCCACGGAGGTGAAAAGAAGGAAACTTTTTGTCACTTTTCCACATTTGTCGGCGAAAGCAGAACGCTGAATACAACCAGCAAAAAAAGTGAAAGTCAGTGAAGGTTTCCTCGAGTTTTTGAGGTTTACCGACGCAGACGATGGCCGCCTGGTATCCCGTCAAACCCATCCAGCAGACAATACCAGGTTTGGATGGACGGATGGTCTTCTGGCTGTTATAAACGCTGTAAACGTCTCCCTTATAAAGTCCTCTCAGGTTCGACCTGAAACAAATGAACGGCAGCGGATGTGCAAACAGGAAGTTCGTCAGAATCTGATCTCAAATGTAACAAAGCACCAGACAGTCGGCGACAGGTTTATAGAAGGTGTCAAAAAAACAAACGGCGACTTGTTGATTGGCATGAGACTAATTAGTACAAATCCCTAAACACCGAGTGCTTCCATACCCACAATGCCGCACTATTTACTGTGCCACGGAAATAATGTGTATGTCCCAATAGGCCGCATGGCAAAGGGTTACTGTTGCAAGGAGGCGGAAGTTTGTACGTTTAGGGAATTTGGGCACCTAGTACCACTTTGCGTCTTAACAATAGAATAAAGACGTTTGCTTTTTGTCCCCTCTACTATAAACAAAAGTCTGGTTTATCCATCAACGCGAGCCGATAGATTGAACCTGGAGCTCTTTAATTACCTGTGCAGGACCATGGACCTCATGAGCATGATGAGACTGACCAAACAAGACAGCGTCATGGCACACAGGTAGCACACTGCGGAAGAAGAAGTGAGTCGTTTCTCTCACAGCAACCGAATGATGGAACATTTAGAAGATGAGCTCAGGGTTCACGTGCCGTTAAAAGGAGACGCACTCACGCGGCGTCTGTATTTCAGGATTTGGGATTGAGAAGCGGTTGCAGCTTTTTGTTGGACTTACCCTCCAGCAACCAAGTGTAGAAGGTCACGATTTCGACGACCTCCTTCCTGTCGTCTGACAGGACGACCCCGAACCCCAGTAGGAGGAAGGCAATGTTTTCGTCGATGCCGGCGCGGACGATGTGCAGGGTGGGGACGACCAGGACGACCAGCAGCAACGCCGTCTGACGGAGGAACGAGTTTCACGTCATCCCACAAAGGCAAGCGGCAAATCGCCCGCGCTGTGTGAGACTCACGTGGTACGTCGCCACCAAGGAGACGAACGCCGACACGGCCAGTTTGAGTGGAAAACGAAAGACTGGAAGGCAAAACGACTCGCGGTCACCCTTCTCCCACAGGAGCTCATGTCACCCGATTTAGCGATTTAGGACTTAATATAAATTCCTTTGACAATTCTCCTCTCACATTTTTTTAAAATACTGTCGAAAACAAAATGGCTGCTATAGGCTTTATCAAAACGACTCCTTTTAAGGTCACGCACCTTTGTCTGGTATGTAAATATAACTCTTAGGCACCTCCAGAATCCTCTCTGCCAGCGTTGGTTTGTCCGGAGCTGACGAGCTGCAAAAACAAAAACTGAAGTAAGTCACAAACGGCATGAAAATGAAGCGTGGAATTCGCTGCCTTGTCTGCGTTCACCTGGCAGTCGAGGACCTTTTCTTGAAAAGCAACTTCACATAGTTGGTGTAGTAGCTGCTGTCAAGATCCTAAAAGCAATAAAAAAATCAGACCTGGGTTTGATTTCCTTCACAGTTTATTTTAAGGAGACATAATGTTATGCTTCAATTTCCTTTCCGAGTTTAAATCGATGTTTGGTTGAAAACACGAGATGAGCCCAAACAATTAACAAGAATAAATATAAAATACAAGAAAACCTGAAGGTAAAGAAACAGATTAGTGACTGAAAGGTTTTCTCTTCTAGATCTTTAGCAAAAACTGTAGACGGATTATACCTGCCGTTAAAACAAGAACTCTGTTGTTTTAATATGTTTGAAAGCGGGTGGAATGCCACTTTCTCTCGCCGTAATCTGCTCGAGGACGCTGAGCTAAACCAGCTCCGTTGTGCACAAGCTGCTTACAGTAATCAATGCTTTACATAGTTGAAATTCATGTTTCTTACTTCACGGCCTGTGATTAGTTCAAATGTTGCTCTTTCCACACATCATAAGGTCATTTTCTCTCTTGGCAGTCGGAACTCTCCTCACCTCGTCGGCGTTCGGCCCTCTCACAAACAGCACAGGGAACTGCACGCAGAGGTACGCGAAGCAGGCCAGCTGAGGCAGACTCGCAAGCAGAGCGTAGTACGCGTAGATCTGCGAGGAAGAAAATGCAAAGAAAAAAAAGGTTTCAATCCGTTTGTTCAACTGAAATCTGTGAAAACCAACTGATTGAAACGTGGGCGGGGCCTAGCCACGTGTCAATCACGTTGGCCCGACGCTGTGCCCGTCGCGATGTCTGACCTCTGGCGTCTTTGGACAGTCGAACACCTGCCACGTCTGCACTGCGAGGTGACTGAAGGAGAGGAGCGTCCCGAGCACGTAGCCCGCTTTGTGCTGCAGAGTGCAACACACCAACAGAGGATAGTAGAGGACGGGATAGTAGAAGATGGCCAGTATCTTCATGTACTCTGAAAAGCATCGGCCCCTGATGTGTGAATCAACTCATCTCTTTGTGGTGCTTTTTCTTTATTTCAAACTGCGTCATCGTTCCATAAACTTCAGGCTACAACAATGATGGTTTCACTAATCGAATCCGCTACCGGTCACCAAAATGAGTTTGTTTATTTCAGACAAAACGTTCACCTTTGATGTTCCCTGGAGTGTCTTTGGAGAAAGGCAGCGGGTCTGGTGCGATCACTAGCACCGACAGCTTGCTGAAGAGCAGCCCAAAAACAGCCACGATGGGGCCTTTCGCCTGAGTCTGGTCGAGGAAGTTGGCCGGACTGCGAGATCACGAACAGAAACGTTTAGATGATGATCAAACAGGCCCCGACGGCCTAAAGCCTGATGCATGTGTCTACCTCCTACCTGAAGATGCTGGAGGATCCTCTTGCAAATCCATGGCAGAATTTGTGTTTCCTGGTGAGAACTGCGAGTATTAAGACGACCACCAGCTGGAGGGAAAGAAGAAGTTCATCAGGGCTCGTCACTTCCTCGTCGGGTTACGGCTGCATATCGGTGTGCTTATCGGACTGCAGCATCGCCTCAATACTACCGATTGGCTGATATCTGCTGTACAACTCAAGAAGACGTCCATGCGTCTCTACCACTTCCAATTCAAATGTCCAATTAATGCCCTTTGCAGTCTTTAGCAATAACAGTATCCCATTAAAGTATAACGTACAATGCAATCAGAACATTGAACTATAACAATGATTGCAATAACAAAGCAAAGCTGCTTTGTTGTTGCAATTAGAGGTTAAACCAAGCGTATAGAGAACCTCTGTTTTGCAGAGAACATCCTTCGGGCTACACAATCTTGTTATTTCTGATTTGCTGCTGTCGCAGTTTAGTCCACATTATTTACTGAGCAGGAAAATCGGTCAATGTCCATCCTCTGCGTACAGTACGAAGAGGTAAAGTGGCCCTCGCTCGTAATTGGGTAACGATGGAATGACGGCTGACGTCATTAAATAAAATGTTCCGCTGAGGCAGCGGATGTATTCATGGTAAAAGCACTAAGGGGTTTGATTAAAGACGCTGGAACTTTAGTTCGGAGGACTTTGTTGTGTTTAGAGAAATCAGATTCATATTAAACCGGCTCCCTGAATTAAATACTCTCATCATAAAGTGCCGGCGCTCTGATGCACAAACGCTCCACTCGATGCGCAGTCTCTTGTTTTCAACTCACAGATAACGACAGCATGCACACGTGGAAGATCCTGTCGTCCGCTGTAGGGTCACATGGCAAAATAACTCTGTGACAAAAAGGAAAAACACATTTAGACTTCATGAGACTTGAGCATAACAAAGAGAAGTGCAATTGTTCAATGGTTTTGAACAAAGGATACTGCAAAAATGCCTTTTGCAACACATGCCAGATAATAACTAATATGGATATTTTAAATTCACTCTTAACTGTTACTCTAATTCAAATGGAAATCCTGATTTGTTTTCTACTCACTCTTTGGGCGGGTCGGTTGGCTCCGCGTTGTAGTCATAGTAGTAATATTCAGGCTCATATTCGGCCTTGCTGTGATTCATCGCCGCAGTTCAGTCGAGTCGAACGGGATGAAGCAGGTTGGAGGACGAACACCCGAAGACATTCCAGTTCCACTGAGAGCCCAAAGCAGCAGATTAACGCCAGAGAGGGAGAGAGAGGGAGGGAGAGAGGGAGGGAGGGAGGGAGGGGGAGAGAGAATTGCTTTCTCACGATTATCTGAACAACTTTCTAACTCTCGCTGTGCCTCTTCATTTCTTTTAGGGGGGACCACCGCCATCCATAAACTAAAAATTAAAACAATATAAAGTTGATTTTCTTCATACAATCACAATGACTTTGTCTGATAGAATTTATGTCTCATGTTTCTTTTTGTGATCATGTTTCAATAAAAGCCCTCTGTGTGACTCACAGCCTGTTTTCCTTCCTCGGCCTGTTGCTCAAGAGCCTAATCTTATAATAAGACCAAAATCTCCCTTTTTCAACAGGGACAGCCTTTGTGTGAAAAGAGCTTAGCACGGCCAAAAGGAGAATGTGGATCATTTGACACGTGAAGTAAGGCCTCGGTTTGAGATCACGTTTTATTTCTGTGATGAGGACAATAAGAACTGAGGGAAGTAAAATAGGTTCTTTCAGTTGAGTCCAATGTTTCATCAGACCGACATTTAGTGGAGGAACATCAACACGTCTTCTTCCACATCTCATGTCAGCATCTTTTGTCTATAGTGTCCCCATCCAGGTGGAAGACTTGCGACCTGGTTAAGAAGATGATTTTTAAACATTCAGTCAGTTCCCCTTTTTGGTGCAGCCTTCGATATTTCAACATCTGATAAACACTCACAGTCCACAGAGGTGTCCTAAAGACTCTGAAGTTAATCCTCTGACCTTCCCCCTCGGGCATCAGCAGATTTTCACATTTTTATTTATACTTAATACTTAAACTGCAATTTCTTGATTTATTTATGAATTGTTACATGACTGCACTTCTGTGGAAACAGAGAAAAGCAAACTCTCTTGCTCTCATTGTATGTGACCTTCTCTTAACAACAGGTCCGTAACCCAAAGACCAAACTGCTGTTTGAATCCAGTAAAAACCCTTAACAGGCCCTTAAGCTCAACATCTCTGTTCCACAAAGTAATTGGAATGTAGGACGGAACTGGCCTTCTGCAAACTGAACAACTGAGAAAAAAACGTAACTCCCTTTGACGTTTTAAGCTGTGTGTGTGTGTGTGTGTGTGTGTGTGTGTGTGTGTGTGTGTGTGTGTGTGTGTGTGTGTGTGTGTGTGTGTGTGTTGAGGGTTCTGTGTGATACACCAGACAGAGGAGGGCGCTGTTTGGTTGATTCCCCCTTTAACACACACAATAGCTGACACACAATATGTGCCATTTATTTATTTTTCCTTTTTCTTATAAATTTGTATCTTTAAATTCAGGCATGATGAAGTATTTTAGGCTAAAATGTAAAAAAAAAAAAAAAAAAAACTGATCAAAAACACTTTCAAGCATATTTTTACTTTGTCAAGACATTAAAATATGAATATAAGAGTCCGATCGTTGACAGCAGGCGTTTTACAGCCCATCTATCAGCTAACAAATAAAGATCTGCATTGTAAATGTCACATAAACAATGAGACGCTAAAGACGAAATGTGTGCACGAGTCTCTTCGGACACAAATCAAAATCTAAATATGATACAAATGGACTGCAAGCATGAGGATAAGAATCGGATTTTCAGAATGACCTGATGTGGAAACAACAGACGAACAATAAAGTGGCATCAAAGAATTAATTAAAGAAACATTAAAGAAACAACAACAACAGCACGCAGAATCTCTGATATGTTTACAGAAACACAAAGCAAATATCGTTGAAACATGGAGGTTATTGACAGGTTATTGACGGCTGCACGGGGCTTTAGTTTTTGAACATGTCACACAGCAGCTTCTCCATGGGAGTGTTTCCGATGGTCCGGTGGAAGAACAGCAGCTCGATCCGCTCCGAGTTCACAAAGCGCAGAGAAGGAAGAAGAAGAAGCAGCTTTCCAAATCTGACGAGGCAAAAATAATTCAATTCAATTCATTTCAAACACGTGTCGATAAGTGCAAGTCAACAAGTCTTTCCAGTCTAAAAGTTTAACATTAAAAGTTTAAACAGTAATTTGATTATTTTGTGTATTATATTATTATTATTAATATTATTATATCCATATATTCTTTCCCTGTTGATGGTTGGGTCATTTTCTTTCATGATGGCAAGACTTTGAACGATTTTAGGATATAAATGAGAGAAAGAGAATAATAAAAATAAAGTATAAGGGACAGACAGTAAATCCTAAACTATGAGCTTCAAACTGATAATTCACTTTGAACACTTGGACAGAAAAATAAACGGGACTTAGTAAAATGCATTTTAAATTACCTTGTATTCAGAATAAAACACATTTACATTAAATCTCAATGTCCTTTGTAAAGAGACAAACCTTTGCACGATCCTTCAGGAGAGATTCATTGTAGAAGCGCTATCACAATTTCTATCAATATTATCTAAACTAAAGATTAAATTCCATTCAAAAGTGAACTCCAGCAACAAATAAGGAACAACAACTGGACAACAATTGGATTTAACAGAATAACAGTATAAAAAGGTGGACTTTCCAGCGTCCAGCAGCACTGTGATGCTGATGTTATCAGACAGGTAACACACCTGGATGGTTGACTCGGGTAGTGTGAGCAGATGTGCTGTCCCAGCATCACCTGAGACTGATCCTGCAGGTTCTCCACCTGTTCTGGATCCTTCAAACCACGAGTCTCTGTGGAGGACAACAAGAACCAGAGTGAGTCACACGAATTCAGGCAAATACTGAGAAACAGTGACATTTTGAATGAATATCACTCCAATATGGGCACCAGTGGGCATCAATTAACAGCTGAATCATTTATATCCAAAAGAAATTAAGCAGATTATTAACATGAGAGGAAAGGTTTCCTCAGCGTCACAGCGACCTGCAAACACAGTGAGTTTTAGGCCAATTCAAACATTTATATTGTGATCTATGTGGTGGCATGAATTTTATCATCTCAGGTTTATTGATCCGCTGCGCCTCTTAAAATCCTAATCATTCATCACTTGTCGTCGGTACAACGATATCGTCACATTATAAAATAGAAAACCTAAAGAACCTCTGAATTATCCATGCTGCCAAACTCTCAGAATCCTTCTGTGGCCTCACCCGGTTTGAAGAGCACGACGGCCTTGAGGCAGGCGAACTCCGTGGGATCGACGGCGAGGGCCTTGAAGCGGCTGAAGACCTCCTGCAGGAGGCGCAGGTCCAGGCTGGTGTAGCTGGTCTTCCCCTGCGAGCCGGGGCAGAGGTCCGGCAGAGAGAGCAGCGGGCAGCTGTCCAGAGGCAGAGACCACTGGATGGCGCAGAGCAGGAAGAGCTCGCTCCACGCCTCCTCCAGCAGGATCACCTGGTGGAAGCAGCGCGAGTCGTGCCATTATGATCATTATTATTATATGGGGGGGGTTTTCTGGTAAATTCAAGTGTTTTTAAATGTATTAAAAAATGTTGTTTTTATAGGTAATTGATAATTGATCAACATATTTCACATTTGAATATGTCAAAATCATATTTTTGTCAAATAGAAAAAAATGTGTGTATTGGTTCTGTTATAAATGTGGAAAATAGATGAATAAGCCATTATTAGAGGTTAAATTAAATTAAAATCCAACTAATGCATTTTTTAAACAGCTGAAGTAGGCTCTTGAGTTCTTAGTTATTTTCAAACATATCTAAAAAAATTAAAAATCCCCAACATCCATCTTGTCTTTCTTTTACTTTAAAATACTGGTAAAAAAAAACTTCCAAAGTGGAAAAACAACAACCAAAAGGTCGACAGGGGGCGATATGTATATGACGCGTCTCACCTGGTCTCTGAAGGGCAGGTTAGAAAACACGGGCAGGTTCTTGGTCCACTTCACCGACATGAAGAGCAGCCTGGCCGAGGTCTCGAACACGTTCTCGGAGCTGGGCGGGTAGAGAGCCACGTGGTACTCCGAGGAGGCTCGCTCCGGCTCGTTGCCCGTCACGTCGATGTTCTCGTCAACTGGGGGGGTCAGAGAGGAAGACGAGGTCAGGCCCTCTGAGCTTTTCTGCTACACGCTCAATATCGCGCGTGCAAAAAGGAAGCATGTTAGGAGGGCCGCAAAAAGCCGTGTTCAGCGTTTTCTTTTGTATGTTGATTGTGTTTGTTGTGTTTAATCGATGCGTTTTTCTGAGCCATATATAACACAATAACCGCAAGATTTTAGACCCACAGTTGAATTTTTCTTGGAAAAATTGGAAAAAATGTTGCCTTTTCTGGATTATGATTAACCCCACTTTCATCCACAAACATGCCCTTAAAGTCTGTGTATTTAGTGCGGTGAAGAGCACGCAAGCAAAGATGAAATGAAGAATCTGAATCCCCAAAAGCCGCCTCACCGTCCTCGGGCTCCAGCTTGGCGCAGGTCTCGGCCGTCATGAGGCTGGCCATGAAGCGGTGGTTGTTCTGCGGGCTGACGCAGCGCTGCGGGGCAGCAGAGGAGGCGATGGACACGGAGGAGGTAATGTGGGGCCACGTGATGACTGAGGAGAAGGAGGACGAGGAGGCGGAAGAGGAGGCGGAGGAGGAGGAGGAGGAGGAAGAGGAGGAGGTGGGCTCCCGCGTCGTGGCCAGGTGCTCCTTGTCAGGGTCCACGTCGATGGAGTCCAGGCGCACCTGAGCTGTGCTGCGGGGCTGCCGCTCGTTCTGTACTGCTGCAGTGAGGAAAGGGGCGGCGCGGGGGACGGGAGGGGGGGACGGGGACGGGGACGGGAGGAAACACTCATGAGACACTGAGTCTGCAGTTTGGACTGTGAACGCGTCAGCTGATTTTTTCGTGGTCAACACACTGACCGTCCTTGTTCATGCCGGCCTGCAGGCACTTCTTCAGCCGGCACGCCTGGCACTGGTTGCGATGAGCTTTGTCCACCGGACACATGCCAGTACCGGCCTGGCACCTGTCGAACAGACAACCGTGATTATCAGAGGGGGGGGGAGGGGTCCACTCAACAGAGATGCTTTCAGTAATTGCGAAAATCTAACTTCGCGCTCCAGTTGTTTGAAAAGGAAAAGCCTTCTGTTGGAAACCACGGCCGACACGTAAATCCTACCTTCAAATGCAATTCACCAAAACAACTAAGTTTAAAGACACAACTTGTGATCCAAATGTAGACAACAAACTGCTTCACTATCGAGACTTTAGTTCTGAAGGACATGGGCATCTTTTCTAAAACAATATCTCACAAAATGTGTTTTTATTTAGGGGGGTTGCGGACCAGAGTGAATGGCTTTGGGAATGTTTTTCATGGAGTGCTGAACGGGATTCCGGCCTCCCATGATGCACCTTCGAACGGAGCTTTGCCTCACCTGTAGATGAGCCTCCTCCTCACGCTGCGCTTGAAGAAGCCGCTGCAGCCGTTGCAGGCGTAGATGCCGTAGTGCTTCCCGCTGCTGGTGTCTCCGCACACTTTGCAGACCAGAGCCGGGCTCGGAGCTTTGCCCGGGGACGGACTCTTGGCTGCGGGTCAAAACACAGTTGCACGGGGGGGGGGGGGGGGGCGCTCGGTTAGTTCCATTCACGTGGTGCGGTATTGTTTCACGCGTGTGCCATCTGCACTGCCAGGTGGGCTCACGGCACAACTGCTCAGGTCTGTACGTCTCATTTTGTGTGTGATTATGAAATTAAAACAAAACAAAATGTCTGGAGGCCGATTAAAAGCCAACACAACCATGTTAATGCGAATAGACCCATATGGCCTTGCTTACAGTAGCATAGGACACATTTATTTTGGTCAAATGTATTTGCATTTAAGAAATCCTTGGAACTTTGGAGAGTTTCTTTGAATTATTTGCATTTTAATTCAAACATTTAAAACGCCAATTCAGTAATTACTTTAAAGAACATGATGATGAGCATCTAAAACCTCCGCAGTCTTCTTTTTCTTTTTTTCCGACTGCAGGCCAAGTTTGTGTCCCATCCTTCAGGCTTCGTGGGGAACCTGCTGCTCCCCGTGGTCACGAGGAACTCTTACCTCCTCTGCTGTCGTCCATCACGACGCTCCCAGGGGACTCGCTGTGGGGAGGGGACGGCGCCATGGGGACCTGCAACAGGTGACCCTCCATCATCATTGTGTGTTCTTTCTAAAATGGCAAACGGAGATGAGGAACTCTCTTGGCAAACTGTTAATCCTCTTCTCCAAAGTTTGTCATTTATCAAGAAAGCACCAAAAAAAAAAAAAAAAAAGAGTCCCCTCTCTGGGTTTGAATAAATAAGAATGACGTAGGCGTCCGGCCTCGAGTGGTCCCCGCTGGGCAGACGGCTCCTGCACTGTGTCGCAGCCTCTGGTTCCTGTGCGGCAGGTCAACAGGCTGCCGTCGGGGTCCGTCACTGTCTGTGGGCGCTTCCCCGGGGGCAGTGCCTCAAAAGGGAGCCCAGGGGGGGAGGGGGCGGGTGGTGGTGGTGGTGAGGGGGTGGAGGTGCTGGAGGAAGAGGATTAGCCCCACGCGCTGTGTAAGCAGCAGGTCTATTTGGCATCCCCTTAATCTTTACTGTTCATCCACTGGATCAATCGGTCGCATCGACGGAGCATTGGCGCTTCTCCGTCAGGTCTGCGAGCGGGAGAAGAGGGAAAAACAGCAACAGCGACGACGCCTGAAGCTCTCTGTCAGAAGAGATGTAACTTTAGACCGGGTTCCCATGCGGCTCCGTCTCCTGGTGTCTCCTCTGTCCATGAGGGCGTCCATCAGTCAACGCTCCTCTTCGGTGTCTGCATTTAAAAGGGATGATTGCGTGAGGCGCGCATTATTATATTTACCAGCCTCCTCAATTTGTTGTATTTCCCCTTTCAAATTCCAGCTCCATTTCCGCCTGCCGTATATTTGATCTGTGTGATTGCTTCCAATTCATAATGACCCCCAGTGTTTGCCGAGGAGCTGCCTATTAACTCCCATTTCACTCTTTTTTTTTTTGCACAAACTAGAGATCATCCGCTTCCCTCTGGCTGCCAGAACAAAAAGGTCACAGGGGGAATAACAGAGTTTTGGAGGGCTGTCTCAGCCGACACTAAATTAGCTCATTCATGAGGGTCTCCCATTAATTATTAATAAGCCAGAATCATCATATGTGTGGCATTTACACAGGCAGCGATCAAAGCCGCCAGCCACCAGAGAATAAGACAAATGCAGCCACGCAATCATCTTTATGTCAAATTGACTTGCTGTATTTAGCAGAAAAATGACGGTCAATTACGGCTGAGATGAAATGCACTGCGTGATCCTGCCGTGGTTAAGACAAGAAAGGCGAAGACCGACAAGAAAAAGACACATTAATGAGCAGCATTAACGTTCATCTGGAGTGATGAGCTCTCTCCTTTTAGGCCTGTTTTTTCCTCTAGCTGCTAAATGCTCCACTTTCCTCTCCAGATAGTCGATGACTGTGTGCGTCGGCCGTTCGGTGCCGGTCCACAATGTTCACTGAGAACAGTAACGGCCAGGTGATAACTCCCCTCGAAGCGGCGTGCGTCGTCTCACGCCACGACGTAGACGAGCGTAGATGCTCTGAAGGTCGGCGGACGAGGAGCGAGGAAGTCGACGGAAGGAGCGGCCGGGCGGGTCGGACAAACAGAGTCGTTTGATTTTACTATCCATGTAGAAACATAATCTTTTGCACAATTGGGTTTTTCAACAACCGCCCTCGCGGTCAGAACCGTTTCATTGCTGCTCAACACCGTAAGAGGAAAATGTGCTCTGAGGGCAGAATCCATGACGACGCCAGCGACCTCCAGCTCCACAATAACACGGCTCCACCATAATTGGAAAAAAACAAAGTGGAAAGCAGTTAAGTAGATTAGAGGTCGACCACATTTCGTCTGCCGGGGCCCCATCGGCAATCACCAGAAGACGGGGGGAGAAGACACAGAATTAGCTCAAAAGATTAAAAGAGCAGTGAAGACACACTTCTTGTGGGCATCTTTCGCCATATGGTGGCTACTCTCTTCATGCTTTGGCCAACACACTGGTGACCTTTGTAAGATTTACCAGTTAATTAGTCGTCTGAGATCAGTGTTTCTCGGGGGATTCCACCCAGTTACGCGCTGATTAGTCCTGATGGGTATAAAGTAATTCCTGTTTTTAAAAAGACAGTAAGGAAACGTGCTAAAGGGAGATTTCCACCCAGATTTCCACCATTTGATTGTTAAGAACAAATTGATTACAACCTACAGAAGTGTAATGCATTCATGTAATATTACGTTTTTAGTTCAAAAGATTTAACAAAAACAAAAATCTGCATTATTTTTTATGATGAAGCAAAAGCCCAAAAGACACTCTCATTTAATTAGGAGCTTAATTTCATAACCGTTCGATCAAACGTCTCATTGTCTTGTTAAAAAGTAGAAAACCTCAGAAACAGCATTCATTAGATTAGATTAGAAGCAGATAACTGACCGGTGTCCAAACCATCGCTTCTTCATGTATTATGCAGCGTTAAGTTACTTATAATCTGCTGGTGGTGCCTTTTAATATCTTATGAAAGTGACCTCATGAGGTTCTGCATTATTGCTTTATTAATTATTGAAAGCATATATGTATTATCCACTCAATTAAATGCAAACAGGGTCATGGTTTGCAACCCCTCAATAATAATGACAAAGATTTCATATTAATAAAAAAGAATGGGGGGGTATAAACATTTTGGGATAGTTGTCATTCACATTCCTGAAGCTTTTTTCTTTAATCAATATTTTGCCTCAAGCGTTGATGATCAGTCTTCAGTTGATCATCTTGTATGCAACGTTTGTTGTTTATAACACATAGAAACTATAACGGCCTGTTTACAATGCATTATATACACGGCCGTCATACGAGTTTCCATTTCTGCTTCTGTTCTCACGCCAGCATTTGTGTCTTATAGAGAAGAAGAATTATAAATTACAACAATAACTACATGTAGATCTTTGGGAACAACAAACACACATCACTTGTTCCCTCACCTGTTTAAACGTGACACCGGCTGCAGGATCAGATCTGCTCTCTATGTTTAGAAGATGAGTCTGCTGCTCAACAACAACGATGATAATTAATAGTCATAAGCTTCATAAACTGTGACACCGTCACGTTTTAGGCCACGGCTTGCTTACATGAGCAGGCCATAGATTATGCCAGCACATATTAGGATTCAAAGAGTGATTAGAGGAGCCGTGTTATGTAACCATGTTAATTCTTTACTTCATAGTCTGTTAAAACCTCCATCGACAGGTTTACGTCCGATGAAGCCGAAGACTCTTCGTGTTTCTTTAATGTTTGATTTGTTTTATTTCACTGATTTTAACCGTGGAATGTAGGAAATTCTCAAATTATTATACAACGAAAAATAGCTCCATGTTTTAAGATGTTTCATTTTTGTACTATTATTTTATTATTATGACTGATGTTATTTGCATTTATACATTAATAATTACATTGTGTTTATAATTCTGAATTTCTTTCCTTAATTTTTCAAAATTAATTTGAAAAAAAAAGGAAACTTCCCAAAGAAATAGCGTTTGTGTATCACTAGTATTACTATAACACCTCTCACATATTTTCAGGTGTCATCAGTAATCGTAGTTTCCATTATGAGACGACCGAACAAGTCATAAAGAATGTATCTGATGTGAAACATGTCGGCCGTGTTTGTGTCCAAAGCGCTTTTGTCACGTCTGTCGCTCACGCCTCATAACTCACCTGATTACATCCTCGCCAGCCGGAGGAGGCAACGCACGTGAGAGAGGATGTACAACACACGCGCACAAAGAAAGCACACCCAGGGAGAGTGTTACCACGGGCCATGAGGGAAACTTAAGGAGGGGGGGGTCATGAGGGCGGGGGGCAGTTAAATCTGATCTGCCCAGTGCTGACGATGGCGGTGTGGCTGTGTCCTCACATCAGTCCTGTACCTGTGTGTGTGTGTGTGTGTGTGTGTGTTACGTAACAGTGTGATAAAGCTGCTTCTTGGATCTGACTGCAGGCGCTGAGCCTCTTACCTGTGTGTGTGTGTGTGTGTGTGTGTGTGTCAGGTGTCTCAGGTGGAAAGCCCCGGCAGCAGATCCTCACCTTCCACGTTGCTCGGCCCCGTGGAGACGCGATTCACCTTGCCGGGGAGTCGCGCTTTGTGCTTTGTCGTCTCCAGTCTCCTCCGAGTGGGACCGCAGACTGCACAAAGCAAAGCGACGTCTGAGCTCTTCTGCAATGTCACGTCTTTTCACACACGGAGAAACGCGCTCAGGCTTTAACACAGCTGAGACGTGCTTCCATCCACGTTTCCCGTTGACTTCCACCGTCACTCTGTGGTCTGCAGAAACGCACAACACAGAAGATGAGGACTATTGATTTGCAATGACCTTTCTGACACACACGTTTTGGCCTTGTTTGGCTGCAATCGTCTCATGTGTCCTTTGACACATGTCTCTCGTTCCGTGCTGAGGCCTCTTGTGCTACACGTCTTCAACAGGTCGCTGCAGCAGTAAAGGAGGATCTGGGGCCCCGTGTGCAGCAGCTCTACGTGTACGCTGCTGGCGGCAGCTCTCTCTGTCCTGACCTAGATCTCTGACGGTAAACAGCTGCTTCCCAAAGCGCCGTCGCGCTGCCGTCAGCAGAACGGCCCGGAGAGATAAATGTCAGATTGGACCTCGGCTGAGCCTCTTGATGCAGCTCAGGGCCGCGCGGTTTGTTTAGGAGATCCGCAGACAATTAGCGGCCAACTGCTGCTGCTGGCTTTGTTTTTGTTTTAATTTAACGAGGCGCACAAAGGACAACAATACAACAACTCTCTGACGCGTCTTTGCAATTAATTCGACTCATTAAGCGGGAGACAAACATTGGTGAAATCCAGGACATGTTCCAATATACATACAACCTGGTGCCATTTCATCAACGCAGTCAAGAATTTTTCCTTTATATGATTCCACTTTAAGAATGAAGCACTCTGGAACCAAATCCCAGTACATCCCAGCAAAGCACTGGAGAGCTGGTTTTAAAGGAAACACTAGTGTGCGTTTCATTTTGACCTCATGGAGGAGAAAAACTATGTGTGAATATTATATTTGACTCGTTTCACCTTTTCATTTACCTCTAAGTGTTGCATTTAATGGATTTGATCGTTTTAATCAAAGACCAGTATTGTAGTTGTATGGGACCTGGTGTCATATTAGTGGGTCCTCAGCTTATGGAGGTTGTTGAATAGACAGCGGGTTTGTCACGCAGAGATTTACACAGTTAAGTTCAACTGTGAACCTTCTTAAGAAGATTTGTATAATCCCTTTCAATGTCAACTGTTGTCAAAGAGTAGGATTAAAAATTCCAGGTATTCCGTTATTTACCAGGTATAACTGAACCAGATCATTTAATTCCAACACCCTGGGGAATAATTATGGAAAATGCTACTTCATTGTTTTACTTAATTCACTTCTTATTGAAATTATTCTATAACATTTTTTAATATTTTCAAAACAAATGGCTAACTTAGGGAAAAAAAATTGACTCAATAATGATTCGATCAATGTTTTTTATAGTTTCACCAGTATTGGAGGAGGCAGATAAAAGTGATTTTAACACCTGCAGCTTCAGCCTCCAGCTCTCACGTCTCCTTCTCACCTGTCACCGTTTCCTTCTTTGCATTAGTCGAGTAAAAGAAGCTAATAAGACACACGTCTGGCAGATGGTTATCAGTCAAAGGCCTAAACCTCGACCACTGCTGCTGCTGCTGCGGCGGCGGCGGCGGCGGATTAGATCACATGACTTTAGATCAGATTAGGGCCCCTGTGGAAACACAGAAGGAGCAAGAAGATTAAAGCAAATGAGGTAACTAAAAGACCATTGTTACATTTCCCAACCATAAAATAGCGTATGGCTGCTTTGTTTTATTCGGTTTAATACAGATTCACTGCTTTGTTTTTGGTTTTGTAGTCATACTTTGTAAATCTTCATTTGATAACAAAAACAAAAATCTAAATTATCCTAATATGTCTCAACTCAGTTTTTTTATGCTCAAATATCTCAATCGGACTTTGTCATTTGTTGTATGAAGAACAGTTGGATTCTTAGTTTGGTGTCTGGTGCAACTTTACAATCAGGACTAAAACATTGATAAATTGGTTTAAAAAAAAAAGGATTGTCGTGTGATTGTGAATGATGTTTATTTGTTTTATTTGCGTCATTTTCACTGGAAAGCTCAAACTGACTAAACATTTTTAAATAGGAACAACTATTTATTGCCTCATGAACAGAAACAAAGAAATTGCAAATCTGTTCTTTGTGAGTCTCACTAATGTACAGTCACTGTGTACTTCTTTCATTAACAAGAGAACCCAGCATGAATGGGGCTCTAATACCCCCCCTCGTCACCCCATGCGCCCCCCCCCCCCCTTTTCCCCCCGCCTCACCCCTCTGCCTCATCTAGTGACTGCTGACACGGACATTACTCACCAGTTTAAAGCAGCTCTTTGGCTGCGCGGCTAAGCGGGTTCATTAAGATTTCGGGGGGGGTAAAGGGGGCCGTGGAGGTCGGTGGGTGGAGTGCACGGGGTCAGGCCAATTGGCGGCTGGGATTACCAGCGACCCACCATCTGGCATCCAAATAATAATCAGATTGAGGAAATCAATTGCCTGAGTAAATATCATCGGTGTGTAAGATCTTAAGACTGTAAATTAAACTGTTTCGCTGCCGACCAGCAGGAGTTTGTTATCAGGCGCGTCCTCTCCTCTTCTTTATTCCCAAACATCTCACCTCTGCTAACGGCATTAGCTCAGCTAGCAAACCAATAACTTGCTTCTTGAGCGTTATGGTCCGTTTATCGATAAGTTACAGTTACATTGAAATTTTAAGGTTGTAATGTTGAGCGTTGTGTCATTGGTGAAGGTCCTGTGGTGCGGACGCGCCACAATGTATCAATTCAATGTACTCTCATCAGAATACTTGATTTATTAACAATAAATACGATAAAACAAAACACTGGTTGCGTCATTGCCGGCCCAAGTTGGCCAATATGACCGATAATGGTCAGATTTATCTTTAAAGAACACACAGCTGTTCCATATGAGTCATGCAAATAACATGCATGGGCTTACAGACGGTAATTCAAACAGATGCCTCGTTTGGCACACAGTTTTCTCGCGCCTTTCACTAATACAACATATTGTTATCTAATCCGCTCAGCCGTAATTAAAATTATATCCACATCCTCTCTTTTCAACCCCATTATGTTCAAATATGCAAATCTCTGACTGTTTTAATCCAGAGGAAAACAATTCATGGATTCAACAATCCATTGGGCGGCAGCATGTACATCACAGGAACCTCATCTGTGTTCATTTGCACGCTGTAAGATAATCGGCCTACACTCATCAGCTCCCAAAATGAATAGAGAACCAATATGGCCTCGGCAAGAGGGGGGGATGGGAGATCCCTTCTGACACAGCGGGGGGGCCGGCTCCCCTCTGAGGTCACTTGTTGTTCCGTCGCGGGGTGTGATGCGTCGGAGGGGGATTAGCGGGTGGTGGCACATGTCACGGAGTGAGAGTGTGGACCGGACGGGGCGTCGGGGGGCTCAGAGTTCTTCGCGCTGCTGCCGCCTTAGCGGGGAACGTATCCGGTGAATCGCCACGCGGCCTGTGGTTCCGCCACACGTGCATCCTCGCCTGGTGACCATACGGGTGGATTATGAGACAAAATAAACACGGACGTGTTGGAGGCCGCAACACCTCCTGTACATCAGGACACCTTTAAGCCTCTTTACATTGGGGTTTTGTGTATCTTTGTGCTCATGTTTTATTTAATTATTTTGGTGTATTTGTTGTTTGGCTTCAATTTATTCATAGATGTCTTGTGTCGTTTTGTGCTAAATTTTGTGTTTTTGTAATTCTTTTGTTATTTTATAGCTTTTTTTCCAAGTCCATTTCTGCAAAGTCCATTTCCGTCTTTTTTAGTCTGCCGTTTTCTCAGTGAACTAGCATAAATGTGGTTTCAGATGTGCTGCTTTCAATTGGAAGCAGCTTCTGTAGTCCTACCTCTACTGTAAGTGTGGTGCGCGAGCAGAAACATGTAATGGTGGTCAAATGGCATAATAATTCATATTAAATATAATTTGTAAAAAATAAATAGTTTTTTTACAAAAAAAAGAAACATGACTTAAAACTCCTCTTTGCAAGATTATAATTTAAAATTAAAAATGTACAATTTAATAAATAAATACACTTCAGCTCCTCCTTTTATGTACACAATAGCTAACGTTAGCCTAGTTTTTGCAGCTAACTTGCAAAAAAGCCTTGTCCTTGTTATTGCTCCTTTAAAGTGACGTGACTGGAATTTATTAAAACTTTGTTGCAGTGTTTCGGGGTATTTATGTCGTTTTTTGTTTGTCCTGAATTCGGAATTAATATGATACACTGTTGTAGAAATGGACCGCGGCCACTGTGGCGTTCGGTTCGTGCAGTTTTCCATCACACCTGTTACACACCGCTGCTGCAAACATTTGATTCCCGTACCATGTGAGTCAGCATTAAATACAGCAGAGCCAATTGCATCTACATGCTCTCCTCTGTGATGTGGTTGAACAAAAAGTTTTTCTCCATCTTGGACTCGTGCAACCAGCGTCTTCGGAGAAATTTGCGGCCAGTCGGGCCGCTGCCATGTAATCTGGACGGGAACTGGAGCCGTCCCTCAGCGGGTCGCCGAGGCCCCACTCATTATCTTATCTCCCATTGTAACCCGCTGTAATTCACCCTCTCATGATTGATGATGTCGCTGTCTGATTACACCGAGACAAAACCCCCCTAAGATCACCTTTCGTTCCTGTGGCCAACTCCACGAGCCCCACAAGGTCCGCTGGGGAGGAAGACGGGGGGGTTGAGCTGCTGTCACGAGCAAGGCCAGGTGTGCATCATATCTGAGCATTTCTGAATCAGCACGATTCAGGGATATTTCTGCTCATGCCATCAATAAAATAAGTCAGAATTTCTTGGGGAAGATGAGCAACATTTGGGTGACTCATTGTTGGTCGGTTCGGCTCTTAATGTAGGAGACGTGATGAAGACGACAAAGTGTTCCTGATGAGGAGCTTCCTGTGAAATTAGAAAGCCGTGGTATAAAACATTCAGGCTGAAGGCCCCTCTGCTTCGGATCATGTCCCTGGCCTGCTTCGGACAAATCAGATAGGGACCCTGCGCTCTTTCTAAGTGAGACAGTGAGCCTCGTCTCTCCATGCGGCAGGTGGGGACAGATGCCTCATTATCCATGCCACAGGGGACAAAACAAGCCTCGGACCCAATGCCTCCCCCCCTCCCTCACCCATCCACCCTCCCCCGTGCAGGCGTTCAGTTTCCCTTCCAACGCGGGGCAACCTTGGACCGGGGCCGCGCTCATCTCTGACCTCAGCGAGCGCAGGTCGCTCGCGGAGTCACATTAAAGTTTCAGAGAACCCAAAGGTCCCCATCACGAGTGTTAACAGCAGCATTGTCCCGGCTCCCCCTGACTCAAAGGGCCAAGTGTAACAGGGCACCCCCTCCCGTGGTCAGGACCGCCCCCCCGCTGGGTCCGCAGATACAGTGACACCCTTCAACTCCGTCTACAGCTGCTCCGAGTCTCTGGCCGTCGCTTAGAGACACGCAGATGGAAAATTCAAAAGCAAGTTTTGACATGAAAGTGTAAAAAGTCGGCGGAGCGGCGTCTGTAGGACTCAACCTGCAGAGATGTGTGAGTGTGTGTGTGTGTGTGTGTGTGTGTGTGTGAGTGGGATCAGGCTCAGGTGATGGGATTGCCACTGAGACGGCTGATCACATTAAAAGGTGCAGTCCGCCAAAACAGACTATCACACTCTGCCAGCTAAAAGTTATCAAAAATAACCTTCAAATTTAAATGCTTTGGACTTTTGGGGGGATAAAATAATTGTGACATTTGAGGGCTGAGCAGGAATGCAATATAGTCAATTCCCTCTTCGATTGATCGCAAAGAAACTGATTTGGGATTCAATTAAAGATAAAATTGGTTTGCTTACTGCATGCAAAATGTAATTTTAACCAAGGCTGCTTAACTTTTATGATGATATTTAATTGGAGTAGAATGAAGCCAAAGTTATTTTCCAGAAAAATGCCTCAATAATTAAAAGTAAAATGCTAAAGAAACAGTTTAACAACGTATTGAGTACAAATCTATCTGTTATGGCCAATTTTGAACGTCCTCCCCCTTTGTTTGTGTGGCTGCTTTCATCAAATATTTGGCTTAACAAATTGGCAAATAAATCACACCAGTGACATCTGTTGACGGTGCAGCCTGGTCCATAATAAGTCTGAAACACCGCTCACCCCCTACTGTTAACATAAGATCATATTTATCCTGGATTAATGATATAAAAACAGAATACTTTGTAGAAACAATGAAACCACCTGCTGCAGATTTTGTGACATCAGTTCAATACGGTGCAGCTTAGCAACCGAATTAGCAGAAAACTGGAAATAAATATGACTGGGATTATCACATAAAGATTTGTTTGTCCTCTAAACAGAATGTCAGTTGTAGTTTTTGCACAGTTTATACTGTATAATTAATCTCCATAAATATTGGCTTTATCACTATTGGGAGTAATTACAGCCTTTATTTTCATAGAATTATCGATATAACAATTTAAGTAAATTTAAATAAAAAAAAATCTCTAACTGATACATCATTGTAGATGATAATTACATAAGTAAAAAATATACTTTCCTCTCATGTAACTATGTTTAATTACCAGTGATGTTGATTCATATAATATTCAATCATCTGGGAAAATGGAGGATTTGCTGCCATCTAGTCGGTCAGATTTGAATCTACACCACAGAGGTGGAAATACTTCACAATAGCTCCTCATGTAAATGACTGGGACAGGATTGTTTAAATCCATGCACACGAAGAAGTGATTGTTTTTTAAAGCCAAACACGGAATTTCCATCGAGTCTGTTAGTTTGTTGACAAATTGGGGAAGGAAATACGCTTTTTTCTTTCTTCAAATGAACAATTTCATTCCTGATGGCCGGGTGTCTTCCTGAGGTGACGCTGCAGCAGGTGCACAAACACAGCGATGTTCACGACAAACTGGAGCAGGCCAATGGAAGAGATGCCGTAGTTGACGTACATGAAGCCGCCGACGGTCGGCCCGACCGTGCGAAGCAGCGACTGGACGGATGCACACAGCCCCATCATAGTGCCTGTGATCAAGAGCAAAGTGGGCTCAACAAACAGTCGGATGCAAACAGTGATTGTCCTTATCTGGCATGAGGTGAGCCTGTAGTTCTCTTTGCTTGCTTTTTGTTTAAGGTACCCGTAAGCGTATATGTTTATGGGTGTGGTTGTGTGAATGCATGACGTCACCGGTGTCGGAGGGCGGTACGCTCTTGGTGAGCATGCTGTCCGTGATGACGTTAAACACGCTGAGAGAAAACATCATCGGCACGACGGTGAGGCAGAACTGGAACACGTCCTGCATGTAGGCCTGCAGAAATAAACACAGGTATGTACTTTAAATTTAAGTATGGGGGGGGGGGGGGTGTTGCACTGTTAATTTATATTGCACACATTTCATTTAATTTTTTTAAATTAAATTTTTGCCTTATTTTTATTTCATGTACATGTATGTACATATTGTATTTTTATTTATTTTTATTTTACAATTGGTCGGCTTTCCAGGAAAGGCAAGCATAAGAATTTAATACACAGGGTGTGTGTATTTGACAATAAAAATCTTTGAATCTTGAATCTTTGTTCAAATAGAACAAGGATAATTGTATAGATTTGGAAGGCTGTAAAGAATAAATCTCTGTATACGCAGAATGGCCCAATAGATGAGAATCACCCACTTCAGTCCAGTCTAATAATAATAACTATTGTTTTTACAAAAAATCATGTTCCCCAGAGGATGAAGCCTAAGGACTATTGTGACTTCCTGTCATTGACTCTTGCGGCAGATAAAAATTAAATAATAAAGACCAGAAAAAACAGAAAGAACTGGTTGAATGACTTGCTTTTAATCGAGCTGGAAGATGCTTATCAGCGGCGTGCTTCACGTTCTCCCCAGCTCTGGTGTGTATGTGTGTGTGTGTGTGCGTGTGGTTTTGTGTGTACCTGAGCCAGTCCCACAAAAGAAGAAACGCCGATGGACAGAAGCAGCAGCGAGCTCTCAGAGTATCTCGCCGTGAGCCGACCGACCACTCCGCCCTGAACGACCTGCACAAACATCCGGGCGTCGCTGAGCTCGTCGTGAAAAAAGAATCCAAACCAGCGCATTTCTATCTGCGTCACGCTTACCATTGAGGCGATGCCAAAGTAGGCCATCAGATAGCCATTCTGCTCAGGCTTCAGCTTGAAGAAGTCCAACGCAATGATGGAAAACATCACCTGAAAGATGCCTGAGCGCGGAGAGAATGACTTATTCAGTTTGGTTGGATTGCTCTCACACACTCCGGAGGGATTTTTAAAGAGGCCTTTAAACACATAATCACGAGTACAGGCAGTAAAAGGCCACCCGTCGAATGAACGTCAGCATTGATTAGTGGCTGCCTGTGTTGTGCAAAAGAAATCTGTGATTTTTTTATAAATGTATTGTGTTTGAATACATGCTTGTGCGAAAGGGAACCGTCTCGTCACGTTAACTCTCACCTGATGGCAAACCGGCAACTATCTTCACCAGAAAAGTCCGCTTCACACCAGGAAACTTCAGCAGTCTGGTGATCTCCCCCACGTTGAATATCGACTTGCTTTTGTTCTCGCCTGCAACAGATTCAAGAATGTCTTTCTTAACAAAATATGCAAATGCGTAACAAATAAAACACCATCTTAAAAATGAATACATCATTCATAGACTTTAAACCATGCAGGTCACACAGACAAACGATCAGTATCAAGTTACATTTCATGATAAATGCCTCAATGGACAAAGCACCAGCAACCGAACAAGACGTCTCCCCCCCAAAAAGAGAAATCCAAGAGCACTTCCTTAACATGGACTGCATCTGGACTCTACTGGTGAGAGATGGGGACACCTCTAAAGTGTCTCCAGTCTCAGGTGAGAGGTGAGACCAGCTCTCAGGCCTCCTGTGTGCAGCTCTTTTGGAGTTTGGCGTTTGGAGCTCCAGTCCTCTGCATCTGTATCTATGATCCTCTTCTTCCTCTCATGTTGCTGCTTCTCCAGCTTTACATCGATTTGAGTGTTTTGTGTATTAAAAGACATTTTTTAAACTTTAAACATTGTCTTGTGCTAAACCCGTGTCTCAAGTGTCTGTATTTGACCCTGACCTGCAAAGAGCAGGATGATACAAAATGTCTAATTGGCAGTTGGGTCCTGAGAAGGGAGGGCGGTCAACTCGCTCTGACGCAGGCGCTCGGACAAAGGAACTGTGTGTTACCCTCGTCTTAACCTTGGTTCTTATCTCAACTTGGTTTGCAACTTCTTGTACCTGCCACTGAGGACGGCCTTCACACACGTGTGTACAAAACCTCAGCGTGTTTACTGCTCCGAGACGCCATCTCCACAGAGCACTGTAATACGTGCTGGTGTACATGGCCTCCTGCTTGCCAGCAATAAATGGATTTTTTACGGCTTTGATCATTCATCAAGGCTCTGTTTCTTATTAGATAAACATTGAGAGAAATCATTCTCTTCTCCCGAACTAGTTTATTGAAATATTCCACAACAGTGGCACCAGCCTGGAAAAGAACACGTTAGTAATGATTCCCTGAGGACTTTAGGTGAGGCGGTCGGGGTTGTGTCTTACTGTCTCTGCCCGGTGTTGGAGCTTGAGATTTGGTCGTTTTGGGGATAAACTTTAAAACCAACAGTAAACTGAAGGTACTCCCCACAGCTCCAAAACCAGCAGTAAATGTCTCCCTAGGAATTGAAAGCAGTGTAAGGTGCACAAATACTTTGGCCTTTGAGGTTTACTTTAGATATATACAGTAACTTTATTCACACACAATTATCATTTACATCACCATCATTTCTGTTGCATCTCCCTGTTTAATTAAAGCTGTAAACATTGACATATCATCCCCTTAAGTGTTTATTCTCACAACCATTATCTTTTAGCTCTATTTTGGTCTCCACCACCTGCTGATGGTGAAATCTCACTGCTCTTTAGCTGCTACATGTTCCGTTGTTTCAGCGCTTCACGCCAAAGACTCACACAGAAGTCAACTCACCCGAAGCGTGTGTTCAGATGGCCGCCCAATGTGGAGCCGGCTATCATGCCGACGCCGAAACACAGCCCCAGTTTGGACAGAGCGTCGGCCCGTTTCTCAGGTGCTGAGAGGTCGGCAACGACCATCTGACAGGCTGCAGACAGGAGAGCGATGCAGAAATAAAAGCGAGTGGAACGGCCTCTACTTTTAGGATGATTAGGACAAGATGTTGTTTTACAAGAATTAGCGTCTTTTATTTCTTAGCTAGATCTTAAAGACGGCTTCTGGGTTTTGAATATTTACACTAATAACAGTTAAGTTAATTTTTGAATGTTTTTTTTCCATAACACTTACTACTAATTACTAACTTAGTTCAGCCACAAATTCATAAAACACAGAAAGGACTGAATAAACAACAGTAAATCAAATAATATTCGAAGCAGCACTGCTGCAGATCAGCGATGCTTACCGGGTACAACGTGCATGAAGATTGTGGGGAGTTTGTGGATAAACAGCATGGCGGGATTCTCTGCTATGGCCAGCAGCAGAAAGAAAACGACTGTGGAAGAACACGCCAGAGACAAAGCTGCTCGTGCCCCGAAAATATCTCCGAACCTGCAAACAACAACAACAACAACAACAACAACTCACACACCACCATAATTTCTGCTGGTCTGAAACAGTTCAGGGTGCCGTAATGAGAACAGAATAACTTTTGTTCACAACTTTAAATGTAGCTGTAGATTTTTAATTAATAATTGTGTCATACTTACCTTCCAAACATGGGACCCCCGCACAGCTGGATAACACCAACCGTGGTTTGCAAATAACCAAACCACAAGGTGTTGAAGCCAAGTTTCTTTGCCAAATACTACAGAGATACATGATGAAAATACATCTTAACATTGACACCATTGTATGTGTGAAAGTTTGCATGCTTAGAGGAGTTATTGTTTTAAACAGACCACAGGTTACATTTGGTTGTGAATGCAGTTGTGCCAGAGTTCATTTTCCAGGTGTGGTATCAGTGCTTAACTTTCACCGAGTGAAGGATCTGAATCCACACCTTAGAATATTTACATTGTATTACAAATCTACAACAATGACATAAATCAATATTATCTGCAATTATACGTTTTGATTCAATAAATATATGCATATATTGCTGGTAATATGCCTTCCCTACTTGCACCATCTACTAACCCTAACCCTACATTTATGACTTATTTTATGAAATTATGTATTTTTATAATTATATTACAGCTAACAACGGCGGGTTCTGTGAATTAATACAATGGCAAACAACTACTGTTAACGTGTCATAATACACACCACCTGTCAACTCGTAATTGTAGGCAATTTGTCACATTTAATAACAACAACATCTGTGGATAAAAGAAAATAATTTCCAGCCTTTCCGGAAGCCTATTCTACGTTCAAAGGCGGCACGGAAATCTCAACTTCGGTCTCTGAAATACTCACAGGGGTGACAGAAAACTGTAGAAACATCCATGTAATATCCAAAGCAGCGATGACGTAAACGATGTAAATAGTTTTCGTCCTCTTCTGTTGCTCAGCGACGTCATCCCGGCTGGGAAGCGAACCCCCGGGGCGAGTTTCTGGGGCCGTTTCTTCTCTCCCACTCATTTTTGCGTCTTGCATAACACGCCGTTTATAAAGTAACGAGTGTCTGGCGGCAAAAAAAACTCGGGCCGGAGTCAAACCGCGAAAGGATCGCGGTGTAACGCTGTATTGTGCGGTAAAACACCCTTTGACCCGGTGCACTCTCACATAAACGAGTTGACCTGACGTTAGTTGTACTTTTGAACCGAACGGGAGAGGCGACACGAACGCGTTACCGAAGCAACGTTACTTGCAGTTCAAATGTTACGAATCAGTGAAACGTTAATCCACCATATTTCAGCATATATTAGTTTACCGGAACCGCTGGACCTGTGCCGCATTTCAAATCCTCTCTGGAAATCCCATGTGAACACACCTCGGCACACCTTTAGGGCTCTTTGCAGGAAAGGATGTGTTTTAACCCATGTACACAAACGTCGCTTAAACACCTCTTCTTCGGTGATGCATTCAAAGACTTCTGTTTAGATCGTACTGTTCATCATTCGTTTTGGGTAAAGCACTCCTTTTCGGACGTGTTGTATTTTTCATTTTGTTTACCAAGAATCGCCTGTGTATTCTTTTTTTTTAATGCTGTTCATTTCATTGGTTATACTTCTATGAACATTTAAAGAAATGCTCAAATGGTAAATAAAAATAAAAATATGCTTAATCGGTGTATGGGTATTTCTGTATTTTGCTATATACACTGGTATGTGTTTTACTACATGGTATTTATGTATTGTGGTCTTACGATCGGGGTACATTTTAGTGGTGTGGCATAGTTTAAAATAAAACAGTTCCGTGCTTTCTCTGTCAGGAGAATAAGGTCAACGTGGCATGTTTTTTTCTTCTATTTATTATTATAATTTCGTAATGGGTTTTGGTTTGGGGGGAAATATTATGAGTCTCTTGGCCAATCACCACCGCGGAGCAGAAGGTGGCGGTAATACACCGGTAGGCTGACTGCAGACCGCCTTTAAACCAGACGAAGAAGAAGAAGACGAGGAAGGAGAAGCGGAAGAAGAAGAAGAAGCACCCGGAAGCACGCTCCGTCGGCTGGTGCGACATCCCCTCTGTTGTGTCTGTGTACGCAGGCTGTCAGAGGAGGACTCGGGCTCGTCGGTTCGAGGGACACTTCCGCTCGTTTGTCCGGCATGTGACGGTAGATATCAAAGATATAAAGTCGCCATGCAGATCCTCACTCCTCACGTTTACTGGGCTCAGCGGCACGCGGAGATCTACCTGCGGGTGGATCTGAGCGACGCGAAGGTACGACGAGTCCACATCGCGGACACGCACGCGCTCACGCACCTTGCGTTCACGTATTTAATGCGTTTGAATGTATCTGAGCTATATTATATAAACGCACTGGGTGTAAAGAACGTTTTAAGTTGAATGCTCTCCGGTGATGCGCCGTTAACCGTCGGCTAGCTCGAGCGACTGCGTCCACTTAGTGAGGCTACAACGTGGCGGATAACTACCGTGTCTTACAATATAATTAATGACACTTTAACAATTTATTTTGTGTCATGCTTTCTTTTGTGTGCGCCAGTTTAAATTATCATTATTTGAGTTGGGTGGGTAATGACGTCAGCTCACCTGACTCTGCAACTGCTGTGTGGGTTCCATTAGTAACATGGACTACGGTTTCTCCTGCAACCCTCGGCCTGCATCTGTTGGATAAATGTCCTATGAAAGATGCATGACTTTTAATGGTTGTCCTGGATCCGGTTGAGCCACTCAGCAGAATTGTTTAATGATGTATGCCTTGCATGTTTTGCATTCTGGGCCCATGTACCAAGGAGGGAAGACTGAACAACAAGAAAGTTCTCTCCGTTTAATGCAATACAATTTAGTAGCACCAAGTTAAAGCCTCTAAATTGCAGTAGAGCTTAACCAAAATATATAAGTGATCGTGCACCTTTTTCCAAAACCAAACCAACTATCCCTCTAACTAGTGTCTTGTAAGAAACTCACAAGATATCAATCGGTTGATAAAACAAGTCCCGGACAAATTGACCATTTACTCCTTTCTGAGGAACATTTTCTTAAAACGGATGTGATCAGCTGTTTAAGAAAATCCCTTTTGTCTTTTTCAGAATCTCGACATCAGCTTGCAAGAAAACAACACACTTCAGTTTAGAGGTTGGTATTTTGTATTTGTGCACGAAAAGAGCGAAAAGATTCAAGAGAAATTGATAGATGACATGAGAGTGAACTGCTGTAACACACTCCACAGATTTTGCCATTATTGGTGACGTCTGTTATGATTCAAATTACACATTTTAAAGCCTAATGTTGTTATAAAATAAAGGTTGCAATCTTCTTCCACAGCACAGGGCCATGGAGCCAAAGGAGAGAATGAATACGAGTTCAGTTTGGAGTTCTTCGAAGCGGTTAGACCTGAGGTATTGATCCATTATCCATGTAGAACTAACGAGGCAAATCAGTCGTTATTTTGAAATCTATTGTTTTTGCTGCGTTGGAATATCATTTAGATAAAACTCAAGTGTGAGAAGAGGGATGTTTGGCACACTTGTAGTTTCCTTTTCCATTGTGTCTTATTCTGTTTTTAGTTTGAATTTGTATGATGGGTGCAAATGTCATTCTATGTGTGGACCTTCCATCAATACTGGAAATAAATATTACAAATAAATTAATGGCATTACCTGAATATTTGTTTAGTTGAAATATTCTAGGAATACAATATTAGATTTACTCTATTTTTCTCCTGCGGCTCCGATGATAACTGTAAAGGTGTTAATGAATGACGAAGGTCGTTTGTCACGCGGCTGATTACAGCCAGTAATGACTTATAAAGCCGAGGTGAACTTTAATCAAGGGGGAAAAAAGCCTTCTTGCTGGAGAGAGGCTTGATCGGCTGGTACGCCGCAGCCTGGAATATTCAGTTTATTATGAATTAATTGATTCTGGGACAAAGCTGCAGAGGATCATTTCATCACTTAATGCAAATTATTTGCATTCCGTCAGTGTACTTGCAGTGTGAGTCACATTCGGCTTGTTTTCTTCCCAGATACACAAGAACCAACTCTGTGACTCCAAATAGCTACTCGCATTATGTCATCGTCTCCTGTGTGTCTCGGCTAAGAAGGTGCCCCTAATTCTTCTTTTTCAGATCAAGCACAAGTCCACCCAGCGTCAGGTGGACATTAAGATAAAGAAGCAGGAGGAGCGCTGGTGGGACCGGCTCACACTGCAGGGCAAGAAGCCTCTGTTTTTGGCCCCGGACTTTGACCGCTGGCTGGACGAGTCCGACGCAGAGATGGAGCTTCAAGCGAAGGTATGAACACATGAGGGAAAAGTCCACTTTGATGGGAAAGTTAAATGGGATCTATCAAGGAAAATATTAATTTGTCACATTAACATATTTTATATATTTATTATTCTGTTGAAATAAATTGTTCATCCAAAATAAATAAACTGTAATTATTATTATAACGGGGAGTATGATTAGTCTTTGACAGCACTGAAAATGTTTAATGCGCATTCTGATATTGATTTAGAATTCTAATATCAAAGTTATGAATGAAGCTTCAAACTTTTGTTTATCTCAAAACAGCAGATTCTTATATTTTCTTTCATATCTGGATTTCTTTTTGTGCATTTGTAGTTAAAATTAATCTTCAACAAAAACGCCATAATGTGTAGCTGTTCACATTGTGGATACATCTTGTATGTCTTTGGAAATTTCAGTAGCTTAATGATGCACCTTTTTTATTTTTAAAATAACTCGACAAATCATCAATGAACTTCTCTGGATTTAACAAAAAAATATAGGTTATTATCCAAAATCTATAATAAAATAATTGAGGATGCCAAATAATACCAAACAACAATGTATATCATATTGATTATTGCAGAGAGATTATCATGGTGTGATTTTTCATTCAGGAGGAGAAAATAAACAAGATAAATGTGGAGTCGAGAGTCCGTAAAGACCGTGAGTATCACTGAGCTCTCCACCTGCAGACATCATGCTGTGCCACGTTAACCGGTTAATGTGAGTTATTCCCCCTGCGTCCTCAGCTTACCTCGGGCTGAAGAAAGGGTACTTGTTCATGTACAACCTCGTGCAATTCTTGGGCTTTTCCTGGATCTTTGTGAACATGACGGTCCGACTCTTCATTCTCGGACAAGGTTTGTAAAAGTTTTAATTAAAAAAAGGTGACTGTCCTTTTTATAAAGTGAAATGTAATTCTACGTTATCTACCAAAAAGTAATATTTCCAGAAATCAAAAGGTCTAGTTTTTTCACTTATCTGCTCACTGACAATGATTTAAGTGTCGTTATTCTTAGTTGTCTTAATGTCTGTTTTCTTCACTACATCACACTGAATAGTGTGAAAGTGAACGATTGAGTGAAAACAGGTCAGACTGTAGAGGGACGAACCAAATAAAGAACACGAAAACGGGGATAAAACAAACAATTGGGCTCCCTAATAGCTTTTGAATTTTATGGCCGAAATTAAATTTCTAAATGAAATAATTTGCAATGTTGGTGATTATTGAATACTAAAAACATAATTAGCAGCAGTAATATAAAAAGAGAACACGAGGTCCAGAAACCCATGAGAGCTGTGTATGTGTTTTGTTTGCCAGGATCTATTCATAGACGAGCTCATTTGAATTGAAACAGGAACACGACTATTCAGGAGGGATTTGTTTTGTAAATCATGAGGACTGTGGATGTCGCCTCATCCAGTGGGCTGTTTAATTACGTCTTGTTTGTCTCTCTCGCCCTCCACAGATTCGTTCTACGATACCTTCCACACTACAGCCGACATGATGTATTTCTGTCAGATGATGGCCGTGCTGGAGGTCATTAATCCCTTGCTGGGTCTGGTTAAGACTGGATTCTTTCCTGCCATGATACAGGTAATGCAGCCTCATTTTATTGCGAAACCCAAGCAAAACCTTCAACCTTGTGTTCATCAAAAAAATGAAGCATATTTAGTGTAAATAGTGAAAAATGTAAAAAAAGGAGGTATCACATATTACTGGTCCCATCGCTACTAGTATTTGGACCCCTCGATATTAAGGCCGTGGGGCAAATTTAGTCATTTTTCTTCTATAATGAGGATGAAAAATGTTCCATTTGGATCCACTGCCAGCATTACTGCTGCATCATGTGATGCATTTTTCCTGCTTTTCCTGCACAAAAATTATAATTAAAAGCCATTTCTGTGCTGTTGCCAATCATTGATAAATCCCAGAATTGCTTCTAGAATACGGAAAAGGTTTCACTTTCGTGTGCACTGAGATCTGACCCTCAACCTCTCGTTGGGCCTCGCAGGTGGCGGGGAGGAACGTCATCCTGTTTGTCATCTTTGGCAGTCTGGAGGAGATGCAGAACAAACCCGTCGTCTTCTTCGTGTTCTACCTGTGGAGCACCATAGAGATCTTCAGGTCCGCTCCCGTCCTCTTCCTCCCTCCCGCCGCTGAAGGCTGTCGCCTGCCGTAACCGTCAGCTCTACTGTCTCTCCGTCAGGTACCCGTTCTACATGCTGGCGTGCATCAGCACTGAGTGGAAGCTGTTGACGTGGCTGAGATACAGCCTCTGGATCCCGCTGTACCCGCTGGGGGTTGTGGCTGAAGGTAAGGGACAGTTTAGTGGTCAAAACAGTGTCCTACAGGGGATGAAAATGTATCAAAAACTACCAGAAAATTGTATGTTAATGTTGTTTTCCACTTTCTGAGAGTTCTCACCAGAAGTACCAAATATTTATTCATGTTCAGAATATGAGCCTTTATATGCACGTTTGTTTACAAGTTACTGTTGTCATTAAAGCATTTATCTATGCTAAATGCACGGGGGATATTTTTTCACATCCTGAATGATTTAAAAACAACCCTGATTTTCTTTGCAGCAATTTTTCCCACTTTCATATTCCAGAATGGGAAATAAAAAATAGAAATATATAAATAATTGATTGAGGTCAAGACTGAAGTCAGTACAAAGATGCAACTCATAATAATGGTGGTTTTAATTTATTTGGGTTTCACAAATTAGTATCGACTTTTAAGAGAAAAGTTTAACTAAAAAGCCCCCAGGTGTCCTTAGTTGGGGCACAAATGTTAAAGAGAAGTGAAGTGATGTGGTCACAGATGTTGTCTGTGTTTCCAGCTGTGGCCGTGATCCAGTCGCTGCCCATCTTTGATGAGACGCGTCTGTTCAGCTTCCCCCTCCCGGCGCTCCTGGGACACTCTTTAAGCTTCTCCTACACTCTGCAGCTATACCTGGTCCTCATGTTCCTGGGTGAGACTTCCTTTCACCCCCACTCGTGTCCCCCCCTCCCCCCCATTCAAACATGGGCTCATGCCCGCTGGCCATGTTCCTGAATACTTCAGGGACTCAATCTCATATTGTTTTAGGACACGCTGACTTGAAAGATTAACAGAGACGTGATGGGTCACTCTGATGGACTCTTATGTAGGAAAAGGCATAAATCTGCTTTGGAAAATCTATTGAGGTCTTAGCGTGTTAAGTCAAAGAGAGAGAAATTGATGTATCCGCGTGTATTTACGATACCGTGATTAGATCACACTGCAAAACGTGGCTTGAGATCATCAGATCATCAACCATATACTGACCGTTTCTTCTCCTCCCCAGGACTCTTCATCAACTTCCGCCACCTGTACAAGCAGAGGAAGAGACGATACCGCTCGAGGAAAAGGAAAGTCCAGTAAACAGTCAGTTTATTTTGAAAACCCTCTGAACTACCGTCCACTTAAAGATTAAGCTGCTGTCTCTTTTTTTTCTGTCATAGCCTTTCCTCATTTCACTATTACTGCGTTTATTCTACTTTCAATGCTCATATTGAAAGTAGAATAAACTTTTCTTCTGCATACGCCATCTAAGGTTTTGTTATAATGGAGATCATTTGTTGATTTTTCTTTTCTCTTTCTTGCTGTTGATTTTTGTTGTTGTTGGGGGGCTAAAGTGTTTTGTTTATGATCGTGCCAGCAGGCCGCTGTTAGTGATCCACGCGTTCTTTTAACTTGAGTGACATCATTCACCTGCGTAACTAAGTTTCACAAAGCGCCCTGATGACTGGAAGTGCATTTTTGTTATATTGTTGCTGCACGCTAACGTGATTGAAAGCCATTTGATACTCTCTCTGCGGTGTATTCTGTGAATTTAGAATAAACTGCATTATTTTGAATGCGAGAAACAAAGCTAGTTCATCTCCCGGATGTCGGAGATCCTCGCCTGTTTTCTTCTTCAAGGGTTTATTGTGGAAAAACTGTGTGAATTTTTCTAATGTTGGGTCGTACTTTATTCAGATTCCTCACGAGAGTTCGGAACTTGTTCCTGCTTGTGACCGTGTGCTGTGAACATTAGCAAGGACAGAAATCCCTGTAGGAGGAAATATATATTTATTTATTTTCCTGAAACAACTCACAACCCTTCTTTTGGCATTTTTATATTATTATTATCTGACCATTAAACCACATTTAGGAGTGATTTTAATTTCCAAAACATCTTGTGATCATATTTAATTTTTTAGATTTCATGAGCTGATTTTATCTACTCCTGATGATTAACTTTAATAACTCTTTAATATGTTCTTTAATAACAAATTGTGTGTACATTTTATGCATCTTCTGTTTGATGGTTTGTTCTATTTGGAGCCCACATGTCCCAACTCAATGGTTCCAGATTTTTATGAATTCCAAGTACTTGTTTACTTTGATTAATATTCATAGAATGTCCTCTGAATTGAAGTGCTTTGTTTTTGTTTTTTGTTTTCCTAGCTGTTCACTCATGAGCCTTTTTGTCTGTTTTGTATTTATTTGTGTTTACTGAAGTTTTTTTCTGTAATTTATTTTTTAATATATAAGTATGGGAATGATATATACAGCTTGATTTAGACATTTGATTAGATTTCAACTTGATTGTAAGTCACAGTCTGGGTTTCCTGGCAAAATAAACGTTGGCGTTTCTGTTTTGGAGTTGCGGTGTCTCGTTTTTTTTTTTTCTCACAATTCCTGTTGTCAAAAGGTGGAGATTTAATTTATTTTGGGGGCTTTTGCCTTTTGATTAGGTAGTGAGTGGAGTGCACGCATTAAAAACTGCTGGGTTATGACATGTTCTACCCATTATGGGTTATTTATAGGGGATTTGGGTTATTTTTGTGCAACTCATGCGCAGAGTCAAAATTCATCAAGTCAGTTCAACTAAAAAGTTGGGTGTACTTATACCACTTCTACTAATACCAAGTTCAGTGGTGATCTTATAAATACAATTGTAATAGTGTGAGCAACACAGATTTTGCAGTTGACTCAACTGTATAGCTGTGTGGCCCCTGCAAAAGCGCGTAGGTAACCCCACACAGCCACCAACCTCTGACCCCACAGTGACACAAGAACACTCCATTTTGGATCAGGAGTTGCCACGGTAAGAACTTTTATCCTGCTTCATCAAAATGTTTGTTAAATAAAATCTTCAAAAGGAAACTTGATAAATCCTACACATGGTATACCTTGCTGCAGTAGTATTTTTAAGTGACTTAAAGCTATTGTTTACGGCAAAGTTTGGCTATTAGTAGTAAGCTAATGTTAGTTAGCTTAAAATAGCTAGCGTTAAATAATATAATAAATAAAATAAATAATTTCTCCAGTAACTGAGTAAATCATGACAACCCATTTGCTGATTATAGCGCATGGCTATAAACTTAATTCACAACACCATTAAACCACCTGAAAACAATATATTATCATTTTTATCAATATTTTTTTATTGAACGTTAGCTAAATAATGCACTATCTAGGAAACAGTGCTGTGACACTTTTCAGACATCTGTTAGGAGCTAACGTTAATAGAGGGAGGAGGAGAGTCATTGGCGGGAAACGCTTTTTGTTAACCCGCGCGCCTGTAATCTTGTGCTTGAGCACGTGCTTTTCTGGCGCTATCGGCGGTTTTACTACGGTAATTATAAACCGATCACGCAATGCATGTTTTAATTAAGATAACTTGACGTGTATTTCTGTAATTTGCTGTTGTACCACTTTTGACGCGGAACAGAAATTCAATAAATGCCAGTTTTATACAGAAGGTTTTGTCAGCACACAAGACGTTTCTGTTTTAATAATGGCGGTAATGGTAACGGAAATGTGAGACTTAAAAGGATGTAGTTAGCAGACCAATCGCAGCCTTGCGGGCTAAGCCTAGAAAAATGGGTCGACACACGCAAGGAGGGGTGAAATGGCAGCAAGCCACACGCAAGGGGCTCTTGCGTGTCCTTGCGTCTCTCTGAAAACGCAGAAGCATAAACTAGGCTTAAAGGTTTGTTTTGGAACAAGGCGAACGCGGTGATCATCCACCGTACGTACACATACTCATTGCTATTGTGGCCAGTAAATCCCTCTAAATCCTTCACACGGCTCCTTTTTCCAATTCGACCTTTGACATGAAATGCGTTGTCACACGCTGACCAACAACGTGTGTTTTGTACACACGTTCAGACCCTAACTGAGATCACCACATGAGCAAACCTCTCCAGCGGAACCAAAATAAAATCTAATGTTCCCCCCACGCCCCAAAAAAGAGCAACCCCCCCCCCCCGGCTGCGAGCATCTAACTGTTCTACAGGCAACGCGCTCAGAGCCGTGCACGAGGTCTCCACTCACCGTATCGATACAGTGCGTGCGCGCGTGTGCGCGGCTTGTGAAAGGGAAGGGGCGGTGTTCGGCTTCTAATCCTCTTAGCGGCATTATGCTGAGCTCCGTTCCAGCCCTGACATGCGCTGCGCCCTTGTAGCTCCCCAAGTCCCGCAGTCAGCATCTCCGCGCCCGTTACGCACAGCTGGAGCGACCCTGTGTGTCGGAGGGGAGGGGAGGGGAGGGGGGGGGGCGAGGGTTCGGGCAGCCGGCGCTACAGGTAAGCAGCAGCACCTCTCACTGCACACAGCTGGTTTCTATGTTATCTCTTTCTTGGTATTTGGTTTTTTTATGGGGGGGGGGGGAGTGATCCATTATCTGTGCTGGGCTCGTTTAATCGCCCCTCCAGCCTCAGCACACCCTTTTTGATTGCATATGTGACAGGTTGGTTCACAGGGAGACCTGGATTACGTGCAGGGTTCATTCATGGCTCAGTGGTGTTTTTCCTGCTCGATCTCATCTCATCATGTCGCTGCGCCGCCTTTTTCTTTAAATTATCAGAGGCTATTTCCCATTTGATGCCTCATTGTGAGCCAAGTGCGTTTGGTCCATTTCAACGCGTCTTCAATACACTCCTGTTTTGTGAGCAGCCAAAGCCTGTGTGATTATGTAGCCATGGTAACGGGTGGCTGTCTGCCTCCCCCATCATAGACACACACACGCACATCTCTTCAGTAGATCTGCACACATGTGAGCAAAGTTGACATTATTTTAACATGTGCATGAGGATGTGATGTCATCTCTTTTTTTTCAGTCCTCCCACAGGTCAAAGCTGCCCGCTGTAAAAGATGAAACACACTCTGCGTGTGTGCGCGTGTCTCTCCTCCCTGTCGGCGGCGTCTCCTCGCCACATAACGGAGCTGGAACCATCGAGGAACGGTAATGCATCTGACTTAACTTCCTGCTTGGAGTCGAGACCACCGGGGCAATGAAGGTGCACTCGCCTCCGAGGAGGAGACTCAAGCGCGGTCGCGTCCTCCTCCTCGTGTCAGGTGCGCTGATGTGTCTCGTCTACGCGCTGACTCTTAAGGCAGAGCTGTCCGAGCCACGGGCCTCCCCCCGGACAGGTGACGCGCTCGTCGATGATGTCATGGAGGTCAACGTTCGGGAGGTGACTGCGTCCAACGAGACAGTCGAGGAGGCGGTTGTCTCTCCCGAGAGCAGCACGCCTCCTCCGGTGATGATCGTTAACAGGACAGACATAGAACAGTGTATCTACGTAGAACCTCAGCCCCCCAAACCTCCTCCAACTTCCCCACCACCGACCACGGCGGCCACTCCTCCTTCCCCACCCCAGCCACCCCACAGGAAGGGTGATTACCCCGAGGACCTCTTCTCAGTGGAGCAGCGACAGCAGGGCTGGGTGGCCCTGCACCTCCTGGGCATGGTCTACATGTTTGTCGCCCTGGCCATCGTCTGTGACGAGTTCTTTGTTCCCGGGCTGGAGGTCATCACCGTCAAGCTGGATATCTCCGACGACGTGGCCGGGGCCACCTTCATGGCGGCCGGAGGCTCCGCCCCAGAGCTCTTCACCTCCCTGATTGGCGTCTTCATCTCCCACAGCAACGTGGGCATCGGCACCATCGTGGGCTCGGCCGTCTTCAACATCCTGTTTGTGATCGGCATGTGCGCCATCTTCTCCCGGGAGATGCTGCACCTGACCTGGTGGCCGCTCTTCAGGGACGTTTCCTTCTACATCCTGGACCTCATCATGCTCATTGTCTTCTTCCTGGACAACGTGATCCTGTGGTGGGAGAGCTTGGTGCTGCTACTGGGCTACATCAGCTACGTGAGCTTCATGAAGTTCAACAGTCAGATCGAGCACGTGGTCAAGACCCAGATCAACAGGCACATGAGCATCGTCAAGGTGTGGACCGGGGAGGAGGCGGAGAAGGTCAGTTGTTGATGGGAGGGGGGGGAGTGGCTGGAAGATGGATGTCATGCAATTCACATTGACATTCCTCCGCCTGTCCATCAAAGCTGTCCCATCGTGTAGATGATTGAGCGATTCTCCAGTCGACATTGGCAGCTCTAAATAATAATAATAATTACAGCCACAATTCGGTCCCTTCATTTCTAACATCCAATACGTCTAATTCATGATGCAATGGAAATAATTTAGTGGAAACAGCAATGTAACGGTCGTTTCTGATCAGATGTTCCTTCAGTTGGTTAAAAGAGACTTGATTGGTCCATCAGAAGAAACAAATGACAATCATAAACAGACATGTACGTTCTTTGAAAAGCAGAAGTGCCCTAAAAAAATATGTTTTTTGGATAAAACAAGGAAATTGAGTAAATAAACTTGGGCTCTAGGCTTATCATTAATTTTCTAGGGTTTCTAGTACAATCAAAGAACTTGTGTATGAGGAAAAATGTTTATTTGTTGCCGTTTACATCAACATCGCACAGAATACTTTCCTTAACATGAGACATAACTGCATTTGGAAGTATTGAATGAAAACTATTTTGCTGCTCCCATAAAAAGACCAGCAACCAACTAAAACAAAAGATGCAGACAACAGAAATGCAGATGTGACTTCCATCCGTATACAGAATGTTTTTCACCCTTTCATCTCCTCGCAGTTGGGACTGCTGCCCGCTCACATGCAATGAAAGGGGCACACAGTGATTTGTGGGTCTGAGCAGGTGATCCTTTGATGATGCTGAATAGAAAGGACTCCAGGTGTCACTGCAATGAAGTGATTGTCTCCGCCCCACAGCCCCGAAATACCAGTGTGCACGGAGGTTATTTCATTTAGAACGAAAAGCAAACGGAGGAATATCGTACTTCCGGAGGGCGGCTTTCTGCAGGATGCCTGAAGACTGAACGGCCTCCTGCGGCTCCCCGGAAAGCAGCGGATGTCTGAGCCCCGTAATTAACATGCAGAGCGACGTTCAAGCGTTTTCAAGTGTCTGCAGCACATTCTTCAATTAGCCCGAAGCGCGTCTGCAGTCAGTACGTGCTCCCTCAGTCATGACACTGGACGTGGGGACGCGTGCTGCCACATTAATGGGTCAGTATCACTGGCGTCTCCTCTTCCAGGAATCCTTGTATATATCTGCATAGTGCAACACTCTGTTAAATGTGTTCAGGGAAGGATACCTGTCGAGCCTGTACTGACTATATTGCAGGAATAAAACAGACCAGATCGGCTACAACCGCTTTATGCACTGCTTTGATTATTTGCCGTTTCATGCCAATGAAAAGTTCCGTGTTTACCTGCAGAGCTCGCTCGAAGCGTTCAATGCTGGTACTGTAAAACTTTCAGTTTCAATCACTGAATGAAGCCTGCCACATGTGGGACAAGAATCGCGACCTTAAATTACTTGAACAAACAAGCACTCGGCATGTGTTTATTGTCGTCGTTCATTAAGCGAATATTTTCGTCATTTTTGAGCAATTTTGACAGCCCTAATGTTGAAATCTGTTAAAATATACCCTGTTGATTGCAACAATGTGATGTGCATAATGGTTTGCCCATTCAATGGCAATATGTTGTATTTGGTTCAATGCTTTGGGGTCGTTTCCAGAAGGATCACATATCTTCTGGAATAACACCTGACACGTATCACATCCCGGCACTGTGACGGCCTCCTGTTTCAGCAAGTCTGCCAGCAGTCAAACATGTTTGATTTTTGGAAAATTAAAATCAGAACAACTGAATGTTTGATGCAGAATTGTTTGAAAAGTTCATTTTTGTCACTAAAACCAACACATTCATGCACATGTTTAATTACTGAGGTGCAGCTAACTGATTAAATTGTCACTGAATTTACAGGCGAGTGAAGCTCCACCGGCTCCTCCTCCAGCTCCTCCTCATGCTGCTGCTCCACCTCCTCCTGCTGCACCGAAAACTGAAGATGAATCCAAACGAGAACCTGAACCACCTCCGAGTTCCCCTCAATGCAACAAACCAACAGTGGATCCTCAGGATGAAAAAGCAACACTGCAGGTACGGAAGACTGTCGATGTGGACTGAAGTCAGATTGACATTCTTCTTTTCGGTCATTTATTGAATAGACTTCAGTGTTGGAGCTTCCAATGTATTGCACCGTATTTTCAGTAAATTACCCTCTCATCACCTTGGTGACTTAATTATCATTCTACCTGAGAGTCTTACCCATTTGGACCAAGGGTGTCTCGTAGGTTTGCTAAGCGCTACTAAAGTATAGTTCAGTAGAGTTGCAGAGTAAAGTTGCAATCACAGCGCGAGATGCAACTAAATTCTACCCGCTGCTCCTTTTAATCCAAAAAGATATCGCTGGCCTTCAAAACTTCTCATTGCGTGCAAGTGACGGCCGCCGTGTGCTTTGTGACTCGGTCTGTAGGTGCGTCCCGTCCTGCAGCGAGGCGGCAGCACGGCCTCCCTCCACAACACCTCGCTGAGGAGCACCATCTTCCAGCTGATGATCCACACGCTGGACCCTCTGGGAGAAGGTAACAACCGGGGGCCATTTTCAGGCTGTTGGTTGAGCAGCTTTTTAGGAGTTTATGCAACCCTTTTTCGTGCGTTTGATCCTTGAACTTCCAGTAATCAGTCTTACGTTGAAGGAAAAACTGTTCACTATGGTCTGCTGCCGTGAAATTAAGAAGAACATGCCCTTTAAAGTTAAGAATAAGGGAAAAAGAAACCTCACTAATTGTAAATAAATATAACGCTTCACTTTTATTGAATATTACTTCTTTGTAAATTGCACCTTTCTGAACTTTATTTCTGCACTACACATAATAATATCCCAGTGCACACTGTGGGCTTCAGATAATAATTCCATTGTCAATAATATAATCCCTGAGATGATTGCAGAACATCTGAGCGAGTGAACATCTGCTTAAAAAACGAGTGAGGCTGTTATTGTCGATGGACTAGATGTTCCAGGATGCAGAGCCTCAGCTCTGTCCTGATCTGTCCTGTACCTTCCTGTACGTCACGGCAGGGTGCTGAACCACGGCGACCTTCAGCCCGTCCTCTAACCCCCACCCTCCCCTCCCTCCCCCTCTCCTCTTCCGTTTGCTCGCACACCACTCGGCCACCACTGATCCTTAATAAGCTTTTCGATACAGGCTAATAAAAGCTGGATATAAGAGCCAGCGTGCTCACAGACCAAGCTCCTTATCTCTGTGGAGCCCGAGTAGAGGGGTAAAACTAACCGTAGCCCATATCATCAGAAACCCGTCCTTGTTTTAGTTCTCTGTACGGTCAACAAAAACAAGGACAAAATACTCACACGTTGTCGTCCCTTGTTTGTCACTCAAGGTGAAAAATGCTCTTTCCCTTTTTAAAAAGCAGCTGACAAAATCCATCTACAAAAGTCAGATTTAAATGGTTTTCACTTAAATTATTTGTATTAATTAATTGAACTGATGAATGAAAAGGTATGAAATAGGCAATTACAAGCAAATAACCTAAATATATTGACAACAAATACAAATTATTAGTCAGCAGGAAGAAAACAGAAAAACTAAAATATCAGCAATTTTTGTTTTCCCGTTTCACAAATGTCAGTCACAAATATAAGTCACTTTTCACATCCTGTCATAAACACAGCAGAGACAACACCTCAGATGACACTAAGAACATGTTTGTGTCTGAAGACGGGCGACTGCTGTCCGTTTGAGTGGACGCAGGCTGCCGTCACATAAAAAACAAGCGAGCTAAAAGAAGTTGAGAGCGTCGCTGTGGGTTTCCATCCTTAGAGTCCCGCCTCAGAGGCGCCGTGAAAGCCCCCGGCCCGAGGAAGGCGAGGAGAGGTAAGGGCGGCGACCAGTCGCCCCTCGCCGCCGTCTCCTGTGACGTGTCTTGTTGTGATTGTGGTCAGTGAGGACGTTCGGTGACTCAAACCAAAGACGGCGGCGAGGAAACGAACGGAAAAGTGATCATTCATTACGGCGTTGTAACGTGAAACCGTTTGTCTCGTTTAACTTTGTGAAAACTCGTTGCATGTGAAGTAAGTGTAAGTGTCACATCCACGGCAGAGAGGATGGTCAGAGTTTAGTCTGACGTGTGTCTCTGCCAATCAGAGACCTCCTTTAATGGTGACGTCAGAGGGGAGAGGTCAGCGCAGAGGCAAGGTGAGACGCGCGTGTGCCCCGTTGTGGTCGATGTGCTCGCTCCGGTCTGCTTCTGTCCCAGAAATGCTTCTCAACTGGTTTTGGATGTTGTTTTATTAGATATATGGTTGCATGTGTGTTTGTTTGCATGCAGTTGTGAATATCTCTGACCTTTTGTCACACACTGGCTGGAAAACTAAGGTATAAATTAAATAATAATGACAATCAGAATCTGAGTAGTACTGATTTAGTCTGAGCGATTGTCTTTAACCATTTTTTGGAAAAGTTTGGGCAGTTTATTTAAAATACCATGACATTAATTGACTCCAGTCCTTACGTTTTGGGCTTTATGTCGATCTTTTTATAAATGGCCAGAGTGTGCACGTACAGAGGTCAAAGGTCATGTGGACTTGGCTGCACGGAATTACTCGTGGATAAAGTGTCCTTGGACCAATATCAGAATGATTTCCTGTCGTATGTGAGCGTTTTTCTCCTGATTGCAGAAAAGAACCAAGTTAAGCTTCTGAACGCGCCGGTTTCGGGCAAATTACAGAGCGAGTCACATCAGCGGCACTGTGAAGGTGAGACGCATGTCAGAATCTGGCTTTACACTAATCCGACTGTTTGGTAAAAGCCAACAGACAGGAAGATCTGTATCAGTTTCATGAGATGAGCAGGGTATCTAATCAGGTATTAGCCTAGCTTAGCACAAAGACGGGTAGGAACTAGACTGATTTCAAGTTGTGTGGCGGCAGCGCGAAAGACTTTGTTGGCTAAATGAAGGATTTTCTGTACCGGAACCATTTGCTTCGCAGCAGCAGTTTTTGATTAGACTTTTTCTTTATTTAGAGGTTTGTACGCTGGAAGGGCAGCAGGTTGGTTTCTTATGGTTCATCAGAGATGGTTTTACGGGTTGAAGGAGGTCGTTCTCCACAATCAGCGCAGCCTCTCCACTCGGGGTTTGTGCGTCACAGCACCGGGGTGATGAGGTCCTTCACAGCAAAGTGGGGCATCGCCGAGAAACAATCAGCCCGGAGATGAACAAGCAGACAGTGTCTGTGCGCGAGAATCCCTCTTCCTCCATTACTGGAGCATGTTTATCTCCAAGCACTCAAGGCTGGAACAAAAAGCTCCTCCTGCTAGTCGAGTGCCACATCTTCAGAGGATTGTAAATTGTGCGCGTGGGCAGTTTTTGGAGTGATGACGGGGAGGGAGAGGGTTGTGTTGTGGGGAGATGCAGTATAAATATAACATATGTAGCGATATCATTCTTGTGTGTTGCTTCTCTTACTTCAGATGAAGAGCCGAAGCCGACGGAGCCCCCCGGAGCCGCCGAGCCGTCCACCTCTCAGCCTCAGAGGGCAGAGAAGAGCGAGGCCGACCCGCCAGACGAGTCAAAGGTTCACACGCCGCAAAACAATGACCAGAACCATTGTTCACTCAGATCGGTTTTAAATTGAGATTATTATGCTTTTTATGCTGTAAAAGTGACAAATAACCACATCTGCCGTGAGTTTATTTATGTTAATTGCAACGTGAGACAAGTGGGAAATGCCTGTGTGTAGGTCACTGTAAATAACAAGTAATGTAAAAGTACCTTGAGTGCGCTTGTTGAGTAAATCCACGTTCTTCCACTTCGGCAGTTGTGACTTTTTTCGAGATATAACAAATAGAATCATTAAAATCTGCAATCATCCCTGAATTTACAACTGTGCTTTTCTGCAGTGAAGTTTTATTGTGAAAAAGGTCAAGAGTGCTCACACAGCAAGCGTACTATCGGGATTAAGGTCATTCATCAAATGTGGAGCACCGGTGTGCTTGCAGGTGGCAGTGGGGGGATCGGAGGGGGACGATAGCACCGACGAGGACAGCGCCGACGAGGACAGCGCCGAGTCCGAGTCCGATGGCGGTGATGGCGATGAGGGCGAAGGCGAGGAGCAGAGTGAACCGCTGTCTCTAAAGTGGCCGGACACGCGACACAAGCAGGCCACCTACCTGCTCCTGCTGCCCATCATGTTGCCGCTGTGGCTCACGCTGCCTGACGTCCGCAACCCGGTGAGAACACACAACTTCTTTTTATACTACGCTACGTCAATCTGGTAGGTTCTCTTTGCGACAGCTTTTCAAAATAAAGTTGATCATCCCCTTTCCCGTTCAGTGAAGACCTTGTATCTCTATAATGTTCCGTGTCTGTTTCTCTGAAGTCACTTCTTATCTTCCAGGAGTCCAGGCGTTATTTTCCCATGTCGTTCATCGGCTCCATCATGTGGATCGGGGTCTTCTCCTACTTGATGGTGTGGTGGGCTCATCAGGTTGGTCGTCATGGGGTCCCCGCTGAGAAGGTAATCGCCAACGGGCTCCTGAGGTAATTATTTGTGCTGTTGTTCTGAAGGTGGGGGAGACTATCGGTATCTCCGAGGAGATCATGGGCCTGACCATCCTGGCCGCCGGGACGTCGATCCCCGACCTGATCACCAGCGTGATCGTGGCCCGCAAAGGCCTGGGCGACATGGCCGTGTCCAGCTCGGTGGGCAGCAACATCTTCGACATCACCGTCGGGTGAGTTCCAGCTGGCTGGGTTTGGTTCTACTCTGATGCAGCAGCTTTTCCAAGTAGCACGACAGCAATGGGAAAATATCATCTGAACAGGAAGTCATTCAAAATTCTACTTGAGTACGATCAGCATTATGTTTCAAAAAGGTTTGTGTGTACATGTTTGCACTTATTAGTTAATCCTGATTTATCGACGCGTCAGCAGAAGCTAGTTTAGTCCAGCGGTTTCTGATCTAAAACCTCCAAAGGGTCATCGGATCAATCAGCTGTGTCTCGAGATAATTAATGTGGTGGATTTAGAGTTTGGACGCCCCAATCAGTCGGCATCACGTTGCAAGTAGATGTGGATATTAGACAGGATTTGACCCGTTAAGCTTCCTAACACCAGCTCTAAGAAGCTGACAAAACATAATGAAACTACTGCCGCCAAGATTGGAGTGGAGGCAAGTACGTCTTTGATTTGAGGAGTAAAACAAAGTAAAAGGAGAACCTGTTGTATTTCTGGGGTTTACGCTCCCCTCGTGTGGGTTGAAACGATGCTGCCGGTAGTAGTTCACACAGATTAACTGTGGTTTCAGTCTGCCCGTCCCGTGGCTCATCTACACTCTGCTTCACAACGGCGAGCCGGTCGGCGTCAGCTCCAACGGGCTGTTCTGCGCCATCGTGCTGCTCTTCCTCATGCTCCTCTTCGTCATCATCTCCATCGCCGCCTGCCGCTGGAAGATGAGCCGGAAGTTGGGCCTGACCATGTTCGCACTGTACTTCGTGTTCTTGGTGCTGAGCGTCATGCTGGAGGACCGCATCCTCATCTGCCCCGTTTCCATCTGACAACAAAAACAAAGAAACGACGAGCAGCGATGCCACCGGCAGCGTAGTTTTACATGGTTTGTGTAGTGCTCCTTGAGTTAGTTCTGCTAACAATCCCACAATGCAATGTCCTGCTTCTTGTAGATGATTGTGTTCCACCGAGAGCTGCAACGTCTTCCAGTACCGTCGACCTGGATGAAAAGCACAAAGAAACCACTTCAACTGCATTTTGTGTCGTAGAGAAACGTCCGGGGGTGTTTTTATTATAAAGAGCACTTTCGCTTTTGCGGTTAGCCACAAGAAACCCCCCCAACTTATATTCTAGAAATGCAAGCAGCTCAGAAGACCACCACTACGGTTCCTGTTGAGTTTCCCTTCTAATATTTATTTAAATACACACCAGTAAAGGTTTTACACATTGGGCAGCACTTCAAGACTACTGGATGCAACTTCAGTTTTGTATGTTCAGTATTATCGCTAAAACGGTTCTGTATTCAACCAAACTGTCGTGTTTGTTCAGCGTGGAACAATTTGTGTGTCAAACATAACTGTGGTGGAGACAATGAAGTGTGTGTCAGACTGTCGTAGCTGTGACAAAAAGAAGTTGTCAGATGTTACTGTCTTGTTAACTTGTCGGATTGAAGTCGATGCAAACGTGTATAATTGATAGGAAAACTCAATATTTCAAATTGAAATTCCATGCTACAATAAATTATTTTTTTAACTGAACTAGAGCTTTGTGTCACATGTGCGTTGAATCCAATCTAGGTAAAAAAAACAAAAACATTTTTCTTCATAATTATGTCTCTTTATTAAGAGGATTATTCCGCATGATTTTACAATCCTCGTGGTGTTTTGAAGTTCATTCCAATAGTTGGCTGAGTGACTTGAAGGTTGGAAAGGCCACCGAAATCCTACCGGAGGAAGAAGAACATGAGACGTTGACACACATTAACAGGAATTAGTCATCACAGGTGTACTTATTTTGTTTTTTCATAAAGTCAACTTATTTATAATGATTAAATCAATATATGTTATGCTCCATCCTCTCATAAAAGGAACCTGGATTTACATTTCATTAACAAATACATGTAGAACACACATGACCGGTTTGGTTTAAAAATATATTTTTGAGCAGATGTCCGAATTTGTCAATCTATCAATTCATGTATTATGTAAATGTGAACAAACATTCCTTCATTGACTTTGTTAATAATAAATAACAATACATCCTGTAGTATTTAATCCTTACGCTTTAAAGTGCAGAAATGTCGCTTAAGATATTTAAAGCAAAGCTCATTAGCTTTTCTGACTGAATGTTTTGCCCGGTCAAACTTTGAACCTTAATAACTGGCACTGTTAAATGTTATTCATCAAAACAAGGTTTATTCTGGCCAGACATGACATGGGTTTTTAAAAATATTTTCAAGTAATCCTCTTTTTGTACGACATTTGTTTTTTTGATGTATTAAAAACTAAACTTGGTTTTGCCAGTCGAAACAGAAATGTCAACACCAGTCATTGTTATTACAGCAGAATGTGTTTACTCACCAGCATCTTGAGCATTTCCTTTGTGTCTGGATCCACTTCGATGAGCTCCTGATCCAGAGCAGAGATCTGAAGGACGAAAAACAAAAACAAATTAACCATCTGAAAAGTCTGTTACAAACATGTTTGATTAAACTTCCTCCACAACACCTGGAGAGTCAAAAAGGTTTCTGAGTGAATGTGTCACAGACCTCTGGGACGTAGTTGTCTCTCCTCTCTCTCTCCTCCTCCTGCAGCTTGATGGAGATTCCTCTGACCGGGCCGCGCTGGATGCGCTTCATCAGGTGTGTCACATACCTGAGGGACAAACAGCCGCACGTGGTCATTACTTCGATCTTCTCTATATATTGACTAGAACTACTTTATTCTTCCGGGAATCAATAAAAGAATTATCTGGTTAAATATTACTTTTTTTTTCTTTATTAGTTACATTTTTCAATTTAAGTATTCAGCAACATGGAGCTAGAAGTATTCGAGTCCCTGAGACAAAGAATATGATGGGAAAACAACCGCATTGAACATGCAGATTTACACCACATTTTGCACCACCAACAATAAATCATCTGAGCCGAGTTCAAGTACATTACTCCACAAATCTGCTGAGGACAACCAAGTACAATGTGTTGCTCTCGCTCAGACACAAGTAAAAGTTATACAAATGTACTCGTTAAGAAACTAATACATCAAAACAGAGTCGGCAGCAGAGTTTTATTAAATAAAATATGGTTTCTCAATAAAAACACCCACTGCAAGGACAGCTATTAAAGTGGAGTGAACGGCTTAATGTAGAAAAATACAACCGTTGAATCCTCCGAGGCAATTTGCTGCCGTGCGCTCCCGTCCACCGACTGCAAACAACATCAACTCCTAAGGACTTAGTCTGAATTTGGCTTTGACACAAGAACGAGAGTCTGTGACACACAGCTATAAAACACAATCGTTAGGTTGCCCCCTAGAAGCTCCACACCTGATGAAGATCGAGGACGAAAGCAGAGGGCAAAAAATAAAGAAGATGCATCACATTGACCGAGGGGAACAGGTTTGAGGAGCAATGCCACACTAGTGTGTTTTATAAAGCACGTCGGATGCATATTGCATTCAGCAGTATGTTCACGTAAAAGTAAACAAAAAACCCCTACAATTTAGAACGCAACCCTCGTCAATTTCTATGCATCTTCTTGCAAAAGAAATGACAGATATGCCATCATGCAACTATTCTCTGTGGTCCCTGAACAGCGGTTTCATGCTGCTTCACATTGAGGTGTGTGTGTGTGTGTGTGTGTGTGTCTGAGCAAGTGAACACCAGCCAGCAGGAGGTCAAGCTTCTGCAGAAAACAACGAGGGTTACACACTGAAACAAAAGCAACACAATCTGCTTACCCTGCAATTTTGTTACGCAGAGGCTTGCTGGGGATGATGGCGATCTCCTCGCACACCCTCTTGTTGGTGTGGAAGTCATTGCCCAGACGCATGTAGTACTTCTCGATGATGACCCTGGAGGCCTTCTTGACGGTCTTGGTCCGGACTCGACCCTGAAGAGAAACGAAACGAGACTCTCAGTGTTCCTGCACCTGAGACATTCAGTAGTGACAATCACCAGTTACGTTCCCTTTAGTAAGTTTGCGTAACTGGGGATGGTTTTAGCCAGAATGTCCCCGAGAAATAGCTGCAAACCCTGAGATATGAAGTAGAATTCACATCAAGTCAGCTTTAAAGACAACTCGTTTGTGTTAGACCACCGTCGTCACACACTGGAGACAACGGGCGATTCTTCTCTGAGCAACGGCAACAAAGTCGAGCAACAAGTAAAGCGTCGAGCTCATAAAACAGAAACTAAACAGCGGGTCATTGGCACGGAGACTTCTCCGTTAGCTCGTACGACCGTGACATTTAGCGCTTGTTTACGTGTATTTAACGCCGCCTGAAAGCACCCACTTCCGGCGTTAATAAACCTTTGGGCCGTTAGCGTGCGGACGGATACTTTTAACCGCTCGGCGGAGCGACACACAGTGAGGATTGAGGAGGATTGTGACGACTCGGGAGGTGAAGCGATCGCTGCGTTACCCACCATGTTGACTCGGACCGGCGGAAAAGGGGCACCGGAAGTCGATACCGGAAGTTTAGAGTTTTCAGCTACTTTCCACCGAGCGGGCACGTGACGCGCGGCCAGCAGCGACGCCTAGCGGCGGGCGGTGGGAAGTGCACCAAGACATTTTATTTTAACGTAAAACAGTAAAACCAAAACACATTGGCTGACGTTACTACTTAAATTGTAAGCTTACAATATATTTGTTTATTACGGCTTTGTGTAATAACCTTGAAAAAGTAAAGCATATCGGTAAACACCAACTGGGAAATGTTCACTACACTTCGGAGTATAAAGTATCTTAAGTCAATCGGCCCTTAAGCTTAAAAATTGAAAACCTGAAATTTAATTCCATGTTTTGGGAAACGAGGTCCAATGATTGAAGGTCATTCATTAACTTGGATAGTGATATTTATCTTTTATTTCTATCAGTTTTCAGCCTGGGCTTCAGGTAACAAGATGACTCTTATGTTTAAATATATATTGTATATCCTATACATATCCATATTTCCGTAATTTAAAGGGATGTTACCAATAACTTGCCTTGGGAGCAAATACCTCATTCTTGTCAAGCATTTGCTCCATACTTTTATTCACATTTTTAAGATGATGTATCATAAAAACAAACCCTGAGAAGAATTGGGTTATCAACTCCATGTGTAAAAAAGAAAATAAAAAGACACATTTCACAAGGTGGAGAGATCTTTTATTTTACATAAAAAAGGGTGCAAACTGGAGTTTCCCTTTCGGTGTGGAGGGAATAAAAAGTGATTTTATAAGCTTCATGTGTGACACATTATATGAATCCAGGAAGAAAAAGAGAAAAAGGCTTTTCAGATTAAAAAAAAAGGACCTTTACCTTTCTGTAAATCAAAAATATGAAAGCATAAAAAGAAATTTGGGTCCTTCATTCTTGAAGCCCTTGACGAACTCATTCAAATACATTGTGACATTCATATTTTTCATATTTCAACACAATAATATATATTTACAGTTAAGATTTCTCTTAATCATAGCTCTGAAAAAAAAGCTGAGGGGAGGATAAACTCTTGGAGCTGTACAATTTGATTTTCCACAGTCTGAGAGGGGAAAAAATATCAAAGAATACATATTTGATATAGAATCCCAACAGAAAGAACAAAGAGTATAATTGTGAACTGTACAATTTACAAATAATCATCACAATATTGCAGTAAATGTCACCCTAAACCTCTCCCCTCAAAGAAAAGCAATACAGTAAATCCAAGACAATTCTACAGTACAGCAACAGGGAAAAAGTGCCAGAGAACCCATAAAGACTTAAGCCATTCATTCACACTTTAACCGTCCCTCGCTTTCGTTTACACAGCTTTGACACACAGAAATGTGACCGACGCACAACGAAAGCCATGAACACAAATCCGACTGAAGCACATCGGGAGAAATGGGAACGGAGATGGAATGTGCGGTGAGAAGACATTTATTTTACATGAGGACCGGAAGCCGAAACGTCTCACCGACCCGACGGTGGACGAGGTGAGGACAGTTCACTGGAGAGAGAGAGAGAGACGGAGACAGAGAGAGACTGAGGCCGCTGGCTGTCGTCTCCAGATAAGCCATGCAGATACAAACCACACAGAGTACTCCTACATCGCTCTGCGTGAGGCCCAGAGAGTAACACGTAAATACATCAGAGTAATACATCGACATCTACCGTTTCAGCCGACCCGCCGTTCAAGGGAGAACAAGATGTTGCAAAGACGACGGGCCGCAAACCAAAAATCGATACATTGCGGTTGGTTTCAACAATAATGGAAAGAAACCAACAGAAGCGACTGGTAAAAACACTTGCTGGTGGGAACTGGGCAACGGGGCGTTTTGCAATTCCCCACCTCCCAAAAGTGACGGACACGTCGAGGACACCCGGCGGAGCGCCGACGGTCAAGAACACGTTCAACTGCATGTTTCCCTGGCACAGGCAGAAAGGCGCGGGGCGAGTAGAAGTCTCCGGAACGGCACCAGGGGGAACGTGGCAGGCTAAATAGTCTGGATACACGGAGACGTCTCAAAGAAAGGAACACCGGTCATTCAAATAGCCCGTTTTCCCGCCATTCCCCTTCAATCCTACGTGTGGAATTACTATGGTAACGACCAAGGAAGGAAAACAACAAAAAACAAAAACAGAAAAGGGTCCGGTAGATATTTCATATTCAAGTACTTTCAATAACACAATAAGTTAGACCCCGGAGTCACTGACAGGGCTGATAATAAACCCAAAGCTATACAGTGTAAATACACGCAGGTTCATTGAGATAACTCGCCTCATCCACAACATGCGTGTTCCTAAAGCACGATGGAGAAGGTCCACACACGGCAACTCTAACACAAGTCCACCCACCCAGGACTGCAGCCAGTTTGTGCGAGAGTGAGTAAGTCTGTGTGTGTGTGTGTGTGTGCGCGCACAGAAAGGAAAAAGGAATGATTGGACAATGGTGTAATGGCACAAAAAAAGGATAAACGTGGGCGGGGATTAAAGTCATTTAAAGTATATTTATTCCCTGCACCCGATAGGGAAGGCCAAGCAATGAGGCAGCTACAATAAAGTAATGAGCACGATCAAAGTCAGTCTTAAGAAGGCAGAGTGTCGTCGGGGAAAGATGGGTCAACAAATGTAGTGCAGTCATGGTGTCGAGCTTTTTTTGTTGTTGTCGCCCTCTCTTTCCCCGTAAAACCATGGCTATTTGGAATGGGACACACAAGAGAAAAGGAAGTTGCGTTCAAACAAATTCACATTAGCAAGATTAGAACATAAAAAAATAAAACACCTGCGTGCGGTAATTCTCTTTGGAGGATACGCAAGGCGACACATCGAGGATATTGTTCTCAAGGCAGTCCTCCACGACACTGAATGAAAATGGCATGGGCATTCGCTCACAATGGAGGGGGGGGGGGTCCTCAGCAGAGTTGTCCAAAGTTCAAACATGGCTTTGCAGGACATTGTTCTTCAGACCGGACTCGCAGGAACACCAGCATAGATCTTTTCTACAAATCCGTTTGGCTCTCTCTTGGGGGGAGATGGGGGGTCTCGCTGATGCAAGCCGGGGAACAGTCTGCAACTTTGGACTCTGTATTACAGTTGACCCCCTCCAAATGAAATCGAACAACCATCATGCGGCTAACTGGTTTATCCAAATGGTGATGTGATGCGGTGGTGGAGACTGGTGGTGGACTGATGGAGGACGGGCGGAGACTGGTTGGGGTTAAGGCATTGGACAGCAGCGTGGGGGGGGGGGGGGGGGGGGGGGGGGGCGCTGTGATCTCAGTCTCGGAAAGCACAGCGCGTCAGTTCCTCGTCACTCCAAAGCAACGTCCCCCCCCCGGTGTTTACTGGTGAATGGACCGGTGTCCATTAATAACCAAGTTCATCAATGTCCTTTTAATCCACTTGGTTTTGGTATCACACCCCCCACCCTCCCTCCCCCCTCCCCCACTTCTTATACGTCGGTCTGAACTCCAAAAATGACAGATTATATAAATGTTCCAAAGTCATTTACATTTCTGTCCAGACATTCAGTGTATGTTTCAGAATAAGTAAGAAAACTGGTGGCAACCAAGACATATAAATATCATAAATAGCACTGCCTGCCCCCCCCCTCCTCCCCTTCCCCTCCCCCCATGTACAAGTGTCAGGTGGCTTCAGAGCAGTCAGGAGCGGGACCGCCAGAGGGGGGATTTGGGCCGTCGAGGGGAGACCCTCCTCGGGGAGCGCAGTGCAGGAGGCGTCTCTGGTCTTCTGCTCCCTCAGGCCCCAGGGGGCCCAGTGCTTGGGGGTCCCCTCTTTGGGAGGAAGAACAGTGCGGGGGGGGAGGGTGGGGGGGGGGGGGGGGGCTCCTCGGGTTTACATTCAGTCCCTCGCCACCGACGACCGAAAGGGCGCCGTGACCAACGAGGGGTGAAGCGGGCGATCGATTTAACAGGATTTAAGAAATCACAACATGATCGGCTCCACCGCTTTCCTGTCTCGCAAAACACCGCAAAGAGAAACTTTTAGAACCGGACAAGTAAAAACACTCAACTGCAAAAACAAAAAGATTATCCTCTGCAAAAAATCCAACAAAAAAGGTTCCCCCGTTCGAGCGGCTTGCCTGCGAAACATTTCCACGCGTCTCGGAGGGAGAAAGAAGACAAAAAGAAAAAGGACTCCTAAGAAAAAGACACGAGCGTCTCGCACATTTCAACAAATCATTCGTGGGGTTTTTTTCGTTTTTATACGCGGGTCCCTCCAGAAAACCATCCAATCAAGATCTTTCAGGTTGTCCCCCGAATTCATTCTCAATGTGGCCTTATTGATTTCTGAAACGACAAAAAGCCGGACGCGTCTCGGGCCGGTGGCGGACGATCATTTGTGCCTCGCCGTGTTCTTCTTCCGTTTCCGCCTGAAGAAACAGCAGCACCTGCAGACAGAGACACGCGAATTAAACCGGCATAAAGACGAGAGAAAAGCAGAAAGAACAAAAAAATGACGCCTGGACGCTCAGATCGGTGCCGTTAGACAGCTGAATTTGATTTGGATTTTCCTTTTGGTGGGGGGCGGGGGGCGGCGTCCTCAGAGAGGACCGCAGCTGGCAACAGGTTTTGATTAGTAACACGTTAGCACGAAAGACAGGACGGGTGACGTGCCGTCCACCGAGTGTCTGCATGCGTATTCACCTCCCAGAGACGCGACAGCGGGAGACGCCGACACAAACCGGCGGCAACGTTTCCCCCGACGCAAACAATAAAAGGAGCAGTGAACACAGAGCACGGGACGGGACGGGGGGGGCTGGACGGTCAATACAAACACACTAAAAGGGGGGGGAACAAAAGAGAAGAAGCTGTTGATCAGGACATGGGACAGTGACGGGGCCTTAAAGCCAATAACGGGGCACCATGCAGCAGGAGCCTAAGGGGCCGATAACCGGAAGCCAGACGAGCTGCTGACATCAGCGGCTACTTCCGAATGCTACACGACCGTCTGGTTGACTTGCATCGGAGCGCTTTGTTCACCGGAGGAACAGTGTTCTCAGGGCCTCCCGGCACTGTGGCGCCGGTGGGGCGGGAGGGTCTACTTAAAGCGCTAAAAGAACAACTGGACGGGGGCCCCGGCTGGTCCACTCCCTGACCCACGAGGCGGAGGTGGACTAGCAGAGAGGGACTCACCACAGGTTGAGCATTTTCACGCAGCTACAGAAGGAGAGAGAGAGGAAGAGAGGGAGAGGAAAGAGTGTAGAGAGAAAAGAAAGATAGATTAATACAGAAAGACCAAGATGATGGGACTGGACACGTAGCACACAGACATGCACACAGACACACAAACACAACGACACACAGAGAGGGAGCGCTCGAGGAGAGGGCAGACGGAACATCTACTCATCGGGTGTTGCTTGGCACGTTTTAGGAGTTCGAGGTAAATGCACGTATGACTTCATACAGCATTTGAATATGCCAAATGGGATTTTACGTTTTCATACTAAATGACCACGAGTAAACAAATGGATATAAAAGTGCTACTGTTCACAGAATCACTCATTTGTAAACAAACATCGATATGAATTCTGATAATAATAATAATTATTAATATTGTTGTTCCAGAGACAGAAGCTATCTGACGAGTTTCTATGAAAACGAGGCAGCTGTTTGTGTTGTTCTTTATTCAGAACGGGAACCTGATGTTTCCTTAAAAACAAGAAGCATTAATTAAGATGCACCGTGTTCATACATCCAACAGAGGCAGTAAACGTGGCGATCATCATATCAGACATCCGTGTGAACGGGGACAAGGGGAGGAAGTCTCATCTGGGCACAAAGACCAACGAAAACAGACTAAAGTGGATGAACCTCTGGGATTCATGAGGAGAGTTGGCAGAAGGGAACTACTTGATTGTTTTTTTTTTATACAGTGGCGTTGATGGACTCTGATGGGAAAGACAGGAAATAAAAATGTGACCAGATCTCAATACTTGTTTTGCTCTTTTTGTTAAAAACAAATGGGCCTCGCTCACATACGGCCCTAATCCCAGATGCAAAGCCCTCACGGTCCCTTCACTCAAATATCAGAAGACCTTCTCTCTTTGCCCTTCAGCACGGCACCTCTCTGCTGACGACTTCACACCAGTAGCGGTTTAGCTCGTGCAACCAGCTCTTCGGCATGCTCCCGCCTCGTGTTTGACAAAGAAGTGACCAATACAATATCATAATCTTTGTCACCACACGGACAATCTGGTGTGATCCCGTCTGGCTGCTGCCACACCGACTGAATCTGCTCTGCCTGATCGCTGCCGATACGGTTAAAGACGTGACGATAAAGGTCAGTCAACAGTCGGTCCGGCTGCTAATTGAAGTCCTCCCCTCGGCGGCCGCCAGCGCTGGAAGGTGGACCGCAGGTACGAGACTGTGAATTAACTCCGACTGAGAACTTACTCTACGTGTGCCTTCTTAAAAGAAAGACGCATATTGGCAGCATTCAAGATCAAACACCCACACAGTGAAGTAGAAGGTGAGAGGGGTAAGATGGCAGCTTGGGGAGGAGGGAGGGGGGGGGGCTGTCACAATCCAACAGCATAGCAAAACGTGGAGAGAGGGAGGGAGAGGGGGAGAGGAAGCGGCAGACGGACATGGAGGAGAGGTGCGGCCGGGTGCATGACACATACTTGGGCTCGTCGACCACTTCCACCTCGGCCTGGGCGGCGATGGAGCGTTGGAGTGAACAGCCAGCGGATCGTCTGCATTCAGCTCCCCATTGGTCGAGCTGACCACCTGTGCAGACGAAGAGAGGGGGGTGGGGGCAGTTAAGACGTGGGCCAGAATGAACTTGAACAAACCGCTTGTCGGTTTACCACCATTGCCTCCTCTGATGTACTCGGAATAAAAAGGGACTCATTCCAGATGGGGGTCACATGGTCAGTGTGAACCTCCAGTAAAATAACACTTATTGTCTTCAGACCTTTGCAGCGTTGGGTTTTGACGTTGCCTCACATATATATATATATATATATATATATATATATATATATATATATTTATTTATATGAAAAGAACATTTGAACATTTTGAGAGAGTAGGACAGCGTCTGTGTAGCCTCAACATCGAGCTGACAGTTGAATGTGTTTTCTAATCCAGCGGTGTAACAACAAGGCTAGCTAGCATTAGCTCTGCTACCCATGTTGCTTCCGTAGCCATTATCCGGCACGGTGGAGCAGATTCTCTACCCGTTCTTTGTGCACCGGGCGTCCAACCGGAGAAACCGCGGCTTCTGCCAAAAGAAAAAAAAAAAAAACAGGAGACGAGCTCCACACATAAAGTGAGCAGAGAGCAGTTTTCACCTGGTGGAAATGCCGCGTGATTGGCTGCAAGTTGGCAGCCCCCACATGGTTTCAGCATGAACGGTTGATACGTTTAGGAGAATAGGTCGAACAAAGCCTACACCGTACACACCTACGCAAACAGAGCCTGTAAGAAGACCGGGACGATCTCAGTAATACAAGAAGACCAATCATACCAGGACGTTCCTTAAAGCATAATGACCCTTTAAGACTAAAGAGCATGCACTTAGCCGGCCGAGCCACGCAACTCTGCCATGCGAGAGGCGTCCTGGTCTTTGCGCATGTAGAATTGTACTACCAGAGACGGTCACAACCAGGGCGGCCTTGAAAAGCCAAATACTATTTTCACCATCTGGGGCGGGCGGCACCAGATGACATGCATATGGTGGTGCAGAAAATAACATTTCCCAGCCAGGGGTAAAAGGGCAGGGGGTCGGGGAGAGGGGGGGTGGTATATGGTTGTAGATCTGTCTCACATACAAGGCTAAAAATATAACAAACAATATGTTAAACGTTGATTCATTCAAGAAATACCATTCCGTCTGATTATTTGTGAGCATAAATCTGATTTGGTTTTCAGGAGATTCAATTAAAAACATTTGTGAGGGTCTACAGTGCAGTTGTATATATTCTGTATCACCTAGAAAGTAGGGTTAAGTTAAAAAAAAATCAATAAAATGAAAGAAACTCACAATTTGTAAATTTAAATCTGGTTCAAAATATTTAATTGATTGATATCTAATAGTGAAATATTCATTGTTCTGGGTTGCACCCTATGAGACAGATCCGACTCCATAGCGGGGGGGGGGGGGGGTTGTGTTTGATCAGGTGAGGAGTGTATACCTGCACTGAGCCCCCGTGCCTGTCCGCTGCCAGGTGGGAGGTCAGATAGGAGGAGTTTGCTTGGCGTGTGGGCTGCACCTCCCATGCTCCTCGTCGATCTGAGACCGCTGTCTGCTCAGGAGTCGGGGCGGGGGGGCACCGGGGGTGGGAGTAGGACAGGTGGGGGGGTGGGAGAGGGTGGCGGGTGATGATGGGATAATCGCGTTAGGAGAGTTGGATATTTTGGTGTGCGCGGCCAGGCGTCATGCAAAGCGGCATGAGAAATGGAGAAAGAAAAAAAATTAAATAAAGAAATGCGACAAAATAAAAAGGGAATGAAAATCAAAGCTTCAGCCAAAGAACTGAAATCCAATGGAATCTAATGAGCCTGAAGGCGAATGGAGGTAAGCTCTAACGTCTCAAACTTTTCCCTCAATCTGGACACATTTACGTTATTACGTTATAAACAAACAAACGTTTGCCTTCGTTAACAATAGAAGCCAACGCAGTTGACACAAAAAAAAAGAGACCGTTCATCTGTGATCTCACTGCAAAGTAGTTAATGAAATTCATAGACCATAAACTGAGCGATGGACTAAAACCTGTGCAAGGGGCAACTACAGAAAAGACATTGACTCCAGAACCTGCACCTTTCATAAAGGTCTCACCTGTTCAACCTCTAATCCTTCACTTCACTTAAGTCTTCTACCCAGTAAGGTCACATCAAATCTTAAAATTGGCCAAGATGCATCATGTTTTCTGGTAGATCAATGATTTAATACTGTATTTGAAACAACCACATGGTAGATACTATGTATACTCCTGTGTGGATTGAATACATGGCAAATACATTTAGATGATGCAATTCTACATTATGATATCTTCCAATATGAATTAATCACAATAATATTTGAGTGTAAAACTAATATATATATATATATATATATATATATATATATATATATATATCGTTTTACACATAATATACTTATGTTGAGCATGTAAAATGATTCCAAAGGGTTTTCCGTTTATTTTTTGGCTGCTGTCAATCAGATCAATTGTCTTTAGTCCACCAAAACACGAATGCAGAGACGTTTTGACAAAATGTGACAAAGGTTGTAACGCACTTCCTCCGTTGATCGCACGGGAACAAAAGCCTGACACGCACGAAGCACAACACCTGGCGTACCTGATTCCTGATTGGCGGGTGCTGTGAGGGCCGGTCCCTGTGAGGATGGCTCTCTCTCGTCACAGCAGATGCTGCAGAGTCTATATGGACGGACCCCACTGGTGTGGGCTGAGGGGGGCGACAACAACAACAACAAAAACAACCAGCGGTTGAACCTCATGACGGCAAAGCAGTGGCGGAGCTCCTGGAAACGCGTGTGCGAGGAGTTGACGTGCGTTACTTACAATCTGCCGGCCAACCCAGTCGTATGTGTAGTCGAAGGTGTATCCTTTACGCTCAAACAGCTCAGTGAACAGAGTCCGCAGGTACTCATAGTCCGGCTTTTCAAAGAAGTCCAACCGCCTCACGTATCGCAGGTAGGTGGCCATCTCCTCTGAATTAAAAACATTTTTTAAAAAGTGGTTTAACCTTTAATATTTTAATTGCACAGGGATTTCAAGCTTTACAGGCGTCGTCGGCGTACCGGGGAAGTTCTCACAAAGGACCTCGACGGGAGTGTTTCGTTTTGTGTCTCCTATCTTCTGGTATCGTTCTTTCAACGTGTCGGCCTGCAGGAGAGTTAAAACGGAAAGACATATGACCCGATTCTGACGCGTTATCAGGGACATATCAAAACTCCTTCTCAGCATGCTGCGGTTTCTACACGCAGACTGATGAACTGGAACGTCTATACGGGTTATCTACCATCACTTCTCATTTCCCGTTGTTTTTATATCCTCTCAAATATATCATACTGAATTTAGACTTTAAAAACAGAAAACAGACTTTCAATACATTCATAAACTAAAACAATAATGCTGATCTGATTATCAGATTCAAATCATGCCATATCTCTTTATTGATGCATGTTTTTCTAAGGACAATACTTCCATGTGCTTCGCATACCTTTAGACCTTGCCATGGTAGACTCCCACGAAGGAAATACATGAACATGTGGCCTAAGGCCTCCAGGTCATCTCGCCGGCTTTGCTCTACATTAATAGATTTGATAACATTTCACTGAAAAACTCCAAGAATAAAAGCAGCAATCCACATTACACAATATGCTGGTCAGGACGACGCCACAAACACACAAAGTAATCTTACCTTTTCCTAAATGTGTATTAATGGACATATATCGGGCAGTGCCGGTCAAGCTCTTATGCTCCCTGTATGGAATGTGTTTTTTGGTCTCGGGGTCGATGTACTCTTTGGCCAGACCAAAGTCAATGATGTGGATGATGTGCTCCTTTTTATTCCCTTGCCGTCCGATGAGAAAGTTTTCAGGTTTCACGTCCCTATAGATGAGGTTTTTAGAGTGCACAAACTCCATTCGAGAAATCTGATGAGAAAGAATACTGCGTAGTCAGCAAAGCAGTCAAAACTTACCCAAAAGGTGACGTAATCAATGAACGTTGTCTGCTACAATACGTCCGCCTTTTCGAGAGCTTTGGGACTTTTTACATTTTTACCCGCTCCCAACAATCCGACAAAATAATTCACTAAAGTAAGCGTGGACCGAGGACCCTCGGTTTGAAAGACGTAGGCACATACTTAAGATGCAATTGAGCTGCATTTCAGTAAAATGTGGGATCCAGTGCCTCACTCATACAACATACACAAGTTTGTCTCTCTCTGCAACACGTCGGTTTCTTGCAAGTCCCCAGATGTTATAGAAGCCTTTAAAGACGTCATGATGATACAACCAAATGCACATAAATTAATTATCAAGTGAACCCTTTAGTCAATAATATGTCCCAAAAGTAAGACCGGACAGCTCGATCACAAAGGGGAAATAAGCAATGGTCAAGAGGAGCTGGTGTAGAAGGACGAGCTCACAGCACTTATGCAGACCTACGTCGTAAATAGATCGGCAGAGGTGCAGGCAACTCCCCGTTCTGCACCATCGTGCTTATGTTGTGCCCTTCTGTAGCTTTCCTCACGAATATGCAGGGGCTATCCGCATTACAAGAGCACTGCAGGTTTTGTGCTGACAAAATGAAATGCTAGAGATTTTGAGATGTCTGAGGCGACTAAAAGCTACAAGCCCATCGTGTGAGCTGCTCACACAGAATGAGAGTCAGTGGTGGCTTTGCTCTTTTTGACGGCCTACCCGACTCTGACCAACAGTGCGTGTACACCGACAGACGGGTGATCTGCAGACGCTGCACTGGTAGCACACCTGCTCAATGCACCTTTGTGGGCAGGACATTGTGTGGACGAAATTATGTATAATTTAGTTGGGCTGAATGAACCTGAAAACTGGAGAACTGCTAAACAAGGAGGTTTCTAAATATAGAAAATTGTCATCTGTACTGGGACATTTGTTAATCTACTGTGAAGTATCACTCGTTCGGTACCTTGATTCACTTCACGGAAAAACAGATCAGGATATTTAGTAGCGCTTGTTTGACATTTTCCCTCTGCCGCTCAAAGGGAACACCGCGTGCTTCGCGGACTCATTCATGTGTCATCATGTAGTGGTTTGAACTCACCAGCTGTATAGCAATCATTAAGACCGTCTTCAGTGAAAAGGTCCTGTCGCAAAGGTCAAAGAGGTCCTCTAGACTCGGGCCCAGCAGCTCCAGAACCATGGCATTGTATTTCCCACAGGGCCCAAAGTAAAACACCTGCGGCACGCCTTCAGCTGAAAAACAAGCGGGAAGAAGTTAAACCCACATCCCAGAGGACACAGCTGTACGCGTCCTCACGTTTGTTTTGGGTCATTTCTGCGTCTTTAGTGTTTAACTATGCATTTACAAGGACATCTAAGACACTCAGGACGGTTGAGACAAATAAAATACTAGTTGGAGAATATGTCCTTCAGGTTTGTTTTGTTACTAGTGGGAGGTACGAGAGTTAGGGTGGTAATATGGTTTATTATTCTTGCCTCCCTTGACTGATTACATGTGCAAGTTGGTTCCAAGGTGAAAGAGGCTTCAAACTAGTGTGAGGGGGGGGGGCACCAGAGGCCACCGAGCTGCAAGATAAACATTAACCCTTTAGAGTGAAACCCAACAGAGAGCCTGCAGATAAAACTGTCACTGCTCTACAGAGGGCGGAAAACTAATCTTTCCACTGGCTCATATCACATCCTCCCAACTGCAAAAACTGCATCATACTCGCTCTGCTCGACTCACTCCAACTGCTCCAAAATCCCCTCCATCTGTCCCCTCCGTGCATAAACTGCAATTTTGCAAAACCGCTGTATTGAAACGGCCACACGGAGGGCCGGCAACCGCCACTACTGCCATGTTCACGCTTTCTCTGTTTTTAGGGAGTTTTTAAGGCCTTTGGTGCGAAGCCGCACTCCTCATGGTCAGCCGTCCAATCACAGTACATCCTACAAGTGCTGAATATCGAAAGGAGGAGGAATTAATACCATCTATACTTCAGCAGATAATCCACATTATTGCAATCGAAGCTCCCCAGCTGAACCCCCCCCCCCACTTTTCCTAATCACCAAACTGTGTACATGATTTTAAGTTAATTTGTTTTAAAATGGTGTCTATTGAATTTAACCTGCAAGAACGTACATAATTAAAGCATATTTATGAAGCTGTAATATTAAGATAGAAAAAAAAGGATTTGCAAAAACAAAACATCTGGTATATCGTTCCTTGTCACCGTGACATCCTTCGTCCCTCGACATGTTTAAAGTGTGTTGTAATGAATTGGGACGACATGGTGTGAACTGTGCAGGTAACCGTAATAAGCACACAAAGAGGATTTTCTAAAGGCCTCACCCATCCTGCTCACATACCATCAAATGATTATTTATCTAAATGTTTTGCAGGACGTCTTACGAACTATCAGTTGTAATTGGACATGTCAGAGTTCTTCGTCGTCTACTTGATTCCAAACCTAAAACTTCCTAAGAACAGGAAATGAGGTCAAACTGTTAATTGCCTTTGGGGGTATGACTGATTCAAAGTTTGCCTCTGCTTACTGCCAGCCTGTCCTATTAAAAAAAAGATCCTCTCCAGATACTTCAGAGAAATGCTGGCGCGTCAGCGGTAAGGACCTTGCTTTGTCAGACTGCTTAAGCTGTGCTGCGTCCTTGGAAAGATTATAATTGCATGATCGTTAAAAGTAGTAGGGACATCCGCGTTCCTTTCGGTTCCTCCGATCCTAAAGAGAGTAATTTATCGGCCATTTCCGAAAGGACTAAAACGTAGAGCAATATAATATTGTTGATACCCAGCCTTTGTCTTTTTATACAATCCCCACAATCAGAAGCTTATCAGCGGTCTGCTCAGTTCATTCATGTTTATTAAGACAAAAAAGGAGCAAGAGCAAAGAAACAAGTTCAACAAAAGGGACCAAACATCCACCTAAGTAGTTTAAGCAGCGACCGACAATCAGAAAGCCAAATATTGATCGGGAAATATTCACTTCCACAGAATACTGCTTCAGAGGACGTTTCGCTCGGCGGCTCTGTGGTAAGAGAACAGGCCGCAGAGCGAATGCAGTCGGCCAGCATACGGGCCTGTAGGAGTCCTGCTGGGCCCCATCTTGTGTCTCTGGACACCATTATGCACTTCAGCGGGCTGCAAATTGTGCCACAGGAGCGAGGGTGCCTGTGGGAGGCCGAAGAATGTGTCAGATTGGAGATGTGCTGTAAATAAGCGGATAAACGGTTGTTCCGCGGGAGGTTAGCGAAGCCTTCCACGGGCAGAGGGGGGAAACCGCGCGTCCTGTAACCTGTGCTCTAATTGTACAGGGAGACGCAGACGTTGATGCAAGCTACCACTTGTAAGTCCTCTCATTCAATGTGCGTCAACATAATGAGAGCTTTCCTCGGGTGGAGTTCTAAGTCTTTAAGACGTTTATGCTTTGCTTCAGGAGAATAAACGCCATGTGGCCCGGACGAACAGAGCCAGCGGCCGCATCGATAGATCTACTCTTACTACGGCGTGTCGTTGTTTTAATCCAATTCAGCTCCTGCCGGGACGACGAGAACAATATTTATAGAGCGTTAGCTTCACTAATGTAATGACCTCGATATCCTTCACCAGTACATGCAGTTGCATTAAGGGTATTTAAAACCCAACTCATCTCATTACTTAGAGGAGCGGGTCCATGATCGGAAAAGAAGAAACCGGCATACAAATCACAGCTACCGAGCGTTTACGCAGACTTAAGACGCATAAAACAGAGAAGAAAAAAAAAAAAAACGGATGGATTTGCGATGAACAAATAAAACTGGTGTTAAACCCGACTAAAAAAAAGGCACTCGCGCAAATGTCCTCGAACACGACGTTCTGTGGTTGTGCAATTTCTCGAGCAGCTGTCAAAGACCTTGTTCTTTCTCTGCACTCCGATGACGCCGGTCCTGAGCTTGGATGCTTTATTGTGACCATCTGGTGGTAGTTGTTCTGTTATTAGTAGGTAACGCGTCACTGTGGAAAAGAGGGTTGCAGAAACCTTTTATATGTCGATTATTTTAATCTTGTAAATTTGTTTTACGCTTAATGCGTAACACAAAGCTACCTCACAACCTATTTTAAGGATTAAAAAAAAAAGGGTGATTCTTTTTCTCTTTTGAATAATGTAAGAAAACATCACAGAGATGATGTTGGGATTACTGAGTGGAGTGTGCATGTTCTCCTCGTGCCTGTGTGGGTTTCCTCCCACAGTCCAGAGACAAGCAGGTTAGGTGAATTCGTGACTCTGTATTATACTGGAGGTGTGAGTATTGTATGTATTTATATACACATTGCATATACAGTACATATTTATGTGTCATGCCTGTCCATAGTGAACCGTCCACCACTGCGCGTGGACATGATAAGCACGTTAGAGGAGGGACGGATGGACGTTGGCGCTGTGAGCTTTAGGACAGCTGTGTGGAGACGTGGCTCAAGGAGACACCATGTTGGGTTCAGCATTGGCTCTTCGGAAGATTGTTGAACACAGACGGCTTTGGTTGCGCTCAGTGTTTTGTGCTGATCCCTCTTCTGACCGCAGCAGAGTTTCTGGCAGACATATTTGTTGGCTTGCTTCAGTTCAATAAACTCAATTCTATAACTGCACTGAAAAAATGCACCCGCAAATGTCTGTCAGGGCTGCGGCGCTTAAATGATAAACAAATGAGAATGGAGTGGAAATCTTCTGTGGTGCACACACACACGCACACACACACATTCCGATGTTGACTGTTGACTGCTGAATGTAGATGTAAAGAGTATTTGTGTGCAAGCTTCCTCGTGCTGTGTTTATGTATCAGGGGCTGCTGCACGTCGTTCACAGAGTCCATAATGTCAATAACAAGTTATATTTGAGTTTCTCCACAACGATCCCAACACATCGGCGGGCAGAGAGGAATGTGCTTCGTGATTGTTATCCAGCGAACGATCCTCCAGACGCAGAATGGGCTCCGTGTGTGCAGAACAAATATGAGCCTGTGTACATTACGTTAGGATCCATAGTGGCAGGGAGTGCTGTGGGAGCGTAAAAGGAATACTCGTTTGAGTAAAATAATAACAGAACACATTTACAGCAAAAACAGGGACGCGTCCTTGAACAAACGTAACGTCTCCTCATCTTGTAAAAAACAAATCGGCCTCGCTGATGAATATTCTCATAAAAACGTTCAATTCCTAATCAAACCACCCTCATTAATATCCAGTGACAGTTGGTTATGCACCAGATCCAACACCTAAATGAGCATCGCAGCCAAAGCGCATTAATTCACAAAAGATGCGGCACGCGGCCGAGAAGAAAGGAGGTGGCGTTATCCCATCTGGAGGAGAGGACGGAGGCAGGTTACCACCGGGAGAGGCAGACCCGCTCTCTAAATGTTTAATGAGCTTCCGCACAGTTGGCCTTTTCCAGCCCTTCGCCTTTGCAAAACAATAGCCATTATATCCCCAGCCCGGCAGTCATATATGCATGCGAAGCCCCCAATAAGCGCATTAAGAAGTGCGACCACGCGTCACATCTTCCACGCCGAACTGCGAATGCGACCGGCGCTTTAAAACAAAGCATTGATTAGCAAAATGACTGACGGGATCAAACTTCTCTCCCGTCAAACATTAATTCTAGTTTAGGCGTATTTATGTGACGATCGGTACAGATTATTATTTGAACCATTGCACCGGAAGAGCAACGAACACCTATTTAAAAAAGACTGCTATTGTTCCATTGTTTCTAGCGTTCCCACCCATTTCCTCTCGTACCAAGACTAAAAAAAAAAGTTTGCCCTTACTATATTTCTCCGTTATAGTGATGATTAAATCCTCGCAAGATTCCTGTCAGTGGTTGTTATGACAGCGATGTGTCAGCAGACTCCGACTATCTCCTATGAAGAGCAGATACCTTCTCAGGGGAGCAGAGTTACAGGAAAAGTGATTCTTCCTGAACACGTAGTAATGAAATGTAAAAGGTAATTGAGTTGACGTCATTATTGATCACCAACAACCGGAGAGATTAGAGGAAAACGGTTACTACTGGCTATAATGTGAGACAAAGTCCAGCATTAAATCTCATCACTTCATCCTATTATTATTACTACATTATCAAATGATCATATAAACACCAGAGTTACGATCAAAGAAAACACTGTTTAGAAGGTCGCACTGACTGCTTGTCTTTGGGGAAAGTCCAAATTTGCCCAAATGCCCAAATGGGGCGGAAGTGACATCACAGACATCCTGACCAGCGAAATGGCTGAAATGATCAAAGTTATCGGTTATCTACAAACTTCTGCATAGCCTTCCAATTCAAAATAAAAAAGGGGGGCGGCTGTATTTTTTGTCACGTGGTTTTAGAGAGTAACTTATGGAGCGAGAAAAGGCCCGTCTGCCTCCTGCGATGCATCAAACTGCACATGGTTGAAACGGAGATATGGACGGTTCTCGGTTTACTTCCTGAGGTTAGTTACGGCTTTTCTCCCCCAGTCCCCCGATACATGACTCAAGAGCAAAGAAACACAACTTAAATGTGTTGTATAGAAAAACAAATCCAAATGAATGATGTTGTTGTTTTGCCGGATGTGTAAATAAACAAATGTTAGATATGTCAGTGTTTTGTTCACAGCTTCTTCCCACTGACAGCAAGGGTGCAAAAATAAGGTTCCAGGTTCAAAATGAAACATCCAGGCCTGAGTTTGAAAAGCGTTCAGTGTACATAAGAGAATGTTTCAACACATCAAGACTGGATCCATGCAGACGAGTCACTGTGACACATTGAATCGTTGTCAGCTCAAGCACACCTGGACATTGGACACACACGCATCAAGTCCATTGCAGACACGTTGTCTTGCTGTAGTATTTTCAGTAGATCAGAGAAATAGAAAAACTATAAAAATCTGCCTCTGTACTGCGGTGGTTTAAGAGTTCATTATATCAACACCTTTCATGTTGAAATGTTACAAGCAAGGTCACCGCGCCCTCTACGCACGCAACCATAATCACACTCACCTACACACAGTCCTGCATATTTAAAAAAAACAGTAGCTGGCCCAGCTTAAGATCAATACGTAACTCATGTGGAGTAATCACTTGTTGTGGAAATGATTCAATCTGCCACACTTATCTCCCAAAACAGTCAAATCCTTGTCCTGCAGTCACAGACCCCCCAAAAGAAATGAACGAGCAGCCAACGAATGTGTGACCTCACCTGTGGTTCCCAGTGTTTTGTAGAACCGGTACTCTAAATGCAGCTGTGGTGCCCTCGACTTCACTGGCTCCTGCAGAGTGGAAACATCAGAACCAGCACTCAAGTTAATGACAAGTGATCAAACTTTTTTTTTTTAAACTACAAAAATATTTTATATCAGTAAGAAGGGAGAATTTTTTGGAATTATTTTGCGTTTGAGACATAAAATATGATAACAGAATTGCAAATTGAACCAGGAAAACCCTATCGCCTACCAAACTATCACTATGTTCAGAGAGGTGCAGATGTGGGCGTCACCAGCAGCTCTGTCCTGTGACCCGAGATTAAAAGACACGTCCGTCCTCCCCCTCTGTTACAGGAGGCCGCGTCATCACCTAAAAGCCTAAAATCAGGCACCATTTTGAAGAGTTTCTCCAAGCTAAAAAGTCACGATCCGCCTGAACCTCAAACGTTAAGAGTGTAGAAAACAAACAAAACAGGTTCAACCCACATGGAAAATCATTTCTTGAGATTTCTACCCACTTCATTTTAAGTTTTGTTTTTTTACACTCAAAACACATTTATTGAGCCAATCCTCAAAAAGGTGTAAAATCCCCACATCAGTGTCCGGACACCTTGCAGTACTATGAGCAGCTGAGAACTGCTGGATTGAGCAAACATAACACTTGAGTATTGTAATGGTCGGTTTAGTGCTCTCAGCGGGAAACGATAATAAAAGCGCGAGTCAGGATTTCCAGTCCAGACGCCACTGGAGAGACACACCTCGCCGACCGGCTCTCTGTGACACCCGAGCACATCCGGAGAGTCGGCTTTCTGAGAATCAACTGCAAGCGGCAGTACGCTGTATCGGCGTGAGGTAATTCCTAGTAATATTTAGATGCGTAGCCATAAAGCACACCGAGCGCCTCTTCGTGCACCTGCATGGCTGTACATAATCCATCATTATTAGATTCTTATATCAGCAGAGGGAGAGAACAGGCTCACTTACCAGTTTAATAGCTACATACTCGTTGGTGTAGAGATTTTTACCTGGAATGAGGAAGAAAAGACGGCTTTTAGAAGTTAAGTACACCACTTAAAGCTTTACACAAGGGGTCACCAGGGAGCCCGCAAGTCTGATTCAGTCAAGTTTTCATTTGTAAATCATTACATTTTTGGAAGATCAACTTAAAAAAAGGTCTGACAGAAAATTATCAAATTGGGTTCCTTTTTTTCCAGCTCGCCTTAAACTTATACCTGTTTGCCATGTACACACATCTAAAGACGATGCATTCTCATACAAATAATCTGTTCAGGTTTCTTTTTGCTGATCCATAAAAGGTCAGATCGGTTTGGGTGTTCCCGAAGGCGCGCGAGTAACAGCGGTTAAAACTCAACTCACCGAGCTTCAATTCACCAAAGTTTCCACAGCCGATCTTCTTGCCCACGCGGAAGTTGGGCCCCACCATGAGAACCCCGGACGAGCCGGAGGAACCCGAGGGCCGAGACGAGTGTCCGCTGCGGTTGCCCTGGGACACCTTGGTGCTCCTGGCGGGCCGCTCGCTGTATTTGTCCCTGGGTTGATCCATGGCGCCAGCAGCTCAGGTCACCGGGAGCCCGGAGTGATGCACAAGAAGGCCTCCTGGGCCGGCCCCACCGCAGCCACAGCCCCGCTCACTGCCGGTGCCTGGATGGCACGGTCACGCTCATGAAACCAACACCTGTTGGAGCTGACCGGCACTCCGCCTCCGTCCGCCTGCCCGCACCGCTCACAGCTGTCGCACAGGCTGCTCTCTCACCTCAACATTTGTACCAGGGAGGAGAAGGTGGAAGACCTGTAACCGACACAAAGAGAGAAAGGTCATTAACCCTCCAGAGATGCAGCCCGGTGGTCTCCAGTCAGCTTCTTCTTTGACTAAACGGTGGAACTGGGTCGTCGTGGCGCTGGGGTAGAGCGGGTGCGCTGGGAACCTCTAGGTTGGTGGTTCGAGCGCCGGCTGCCGCATGTCTCAAGTCGAAGTGTCCCTGAGCAAGACACCTAACCCCTAATTGCTCCCTGGGCAAAATGTAATGTAAGTCACTTTGGATAAAAGCGTCAGCTAAATGACCTGTAATGTAATAACTGCATGAATGTCATTAAAAACACTTTAATCATAACTCCAAACCCATTTAAAAAAAAAATAGTTCTACTTAAAATAAATAAAAACCCTCTTCAAGAAGTGAAGAAACAAAACACAATAAAGCAAATTGGAGTAATAAAATATTCATTTATGATCCAGTGGCCTTGATTGAGGCAGATATTTTGTCATTTCATTCCAACTACTGTTTATTATGTGACAAAAGAGTTCACTAGGGGGGGAGGATAATTTACAGTGAGACATTGAGGGGATGGAGGGATATTGGGGGGGAGGGGTGGTGGGGTAACTTCACTATAAGGTTGCCGGTTCAAGCCCTATCTGAGGGTTCGCGAGTCGCATGAACACTCGCCAGAGAGACGCTGGTAATCAGGGACCGGCTTACTGCAACGGCGCCGCTGAGCTTCAGAGATAAGTCATCAGGTCCGCGTGGTCACAGCAAACAGCAGTAAACAGTTTGAGTATCAACACAACCCTTAAGTCGGAGCTGGTGATCATGAAGGCATGTAAGGCTCTCCACCACCCACAGCTAAAGCCCGCCAGACAATGTCAGCGGGGGATATTATGTAAACAATTGCATAAAGCCACGTCTGCTCACAGAGGCACCGAAGCCTGACTTTATGGACACAGGTCGGCCTTTTCCCCTTTCAACTCCAGGCCTGTTTGGGGACTTCCTGCTCCGTAAGCCAGCTTCAAATAATTAGCGTACTGAAGCAAGCAGACCGAATGTCAAGTAGAGTCCCATTAAACACCCCGCCCCCCAAAAAAAATCTGCTTTCAATTAAAAAAAAAAAAAACAGAGCCACTGATGTTTTCATGACAACGCTGTGATTCCTGAGCACGGAAAGCCGGCTGCTGAAGCGCATGTGTGTGTGTGTGGGCTTCCCGATGACTCATGCTCGGTATTGCCTGCCCAGATCGCAGCATCAAAGACGGCCCGTTGGCTCTGAAGGGCGACCGTCGCTGTTACATAAAAGCATGCGCAGAACGACGAAAAACGGTTTGTGATTGAACGCCATCAGCGCACACGTCACAGTAAACTACAGAATTACACCTGGCCTGCAGTGCTGCTAAACACAGCGCGTTTACGCCAATGTATTAACATTCCATAAGACTAATGTTTCACTTTGAGAGTGGGAATTTGTTTTATCGGAGCGGTGCGTGATTGGATCCATTGCTTTGGATAAAAGCGTCAGCTAAATGATATGTAATGTAATTTAAAGCTTTTGGTTTTGAGACACTAGATTTATTGCTTAAGGCCACATTTACACATAGCCGGGGTATTTACAGACACGAATATTTCTGCCCCTCCGTTTTCAAAAAAGTTTCTGTTTATATGAACCCGCATAAACAGGGCCCTGGGCGCCATCATAACTATGCCAAACCTGTAGTCGGCAGTGTAACGAGAAGGATAAAGACATGCAAACCAATCAGAATTCGACGCTCACATGACGTGAAGCGTTTCTAGTCGCACACTGTGACGTTTGACAACCTAAAACTCCGTTTGACCGAGTTCACACGCAAACACAAAAACGGTTTTCAGAAATGATCGTTTTCCGTGATAAAACCTCCGTTTTTGTGTAAATGAAAGGCCAAAACGCATGAAAATATATGCGTTTTCCCATCGTGTAAACGGGGTCTAAGATAATACAACACGCAAAACTGACAAAATAAGTTCATTTTGAGCAAATTGTATCCAAACAAGTTTATTTTAAGGTAAAATCCTGAATATCAGAATATCCCATTATAACAATATCCCGAAACTGAGTGTACTGTTCCTTTGGCTGTTCTAAGAATGCTTAAATGGTATTACTGGCAGGATCACCACAGCCACCTCGCTAGTCAAACATGTCTAGACATGCTCGCTGGAGGAGCACGACGGGAGAATAACCATTAAAAAGGGACGAGAGAGTAACTCATGCTGACCTATTTACAGGAGGAAAACTGCACTTCAAGACGGGCAGGAAAAGAATCTGCAACCTTTAATTACAAAAGGCGTATCGCACAATATGCTGTAATGAGCCACTTGGTTTGGTTTTTCTCCTCATGCATCATTTCCTCTGGATATTCATTGACACACGTCATGTGCGATGTGCTTATTATTAACAACATGTAAGGCAATCCACTGGAACGGCTCCAAAAAGACAAGTGCAAATTTGATAGGACATTAAGTGGCGGTGTCGTCGTGGTGGATTGCACTATTTGAGAGGATGACAAAGTAGATTTGTTCACTCTGTGTGTGTGTGTGTGTGTGTGTGTGTAGACTTACAGATTAAATGTTACGGAGGAGGTCTGTTCATTCAAATTCACATCAGTGGACTGCCTAATTAATAAGGAATGAATAAACCATCCACTGTTGGACTGTTGAGCGTTCTGTGGTCTACGAATGGCTTCGTGGGTTTGGATGTAATGTGGGAATCCCCGGCCTTAATCCCTGTGGAGGCAGCGCGTCTCCTGATTAAGGACCATGTGTTTGAGGAAACACACCTTTTGGCATCCGGTTAACAGGATTTTCCTCACAAGGAGAACACATGTATAGGATTTATCTATCCAGAAGCATGAGAGATTTAAACCCTGAACCCTTTTCGTTTCAATCTCCTCCACAAAAACTTCCTGACAGCGTTCAATGGCGACAATATACTTCAATATTTATACTGGTTTTACTCAGCTTAGAAATTGTCGCAATTGTTGAGAGTAGAATTGACTGTCGGTTCACATCCCTCCTCCTCCAGGTGAGAGGATTAGCAAAGCCCCCGGCTATCGGGGCAAAGTTCGGTTGCTGCACCGTGTTTTAAATTTCACAGTCGAGTTTCAAGGAGGAAGCTTCAGTCGGGTCAGTCCCGTGAAAACGTGGCTGCGGGTTTAATGATAAATCTTTATGAGGGCACCGCCTGATGTGTGATATAGTGCTCATTTGCATGAGGACATTTCATTAACACGGCTCGGCCTTAACTCAAGTAATAGTAACGTCATTAAGTGCAATGATTAATTAACCCAGTTAACATTAAATGCAAGACATTCTTAAACTTCACTTCTCATTTGGCTTTCTGAATATTGATTTGATGCTCTAACCTCACCGCGTACAAGTGGCCAAACAGACAAAGGAATCCACGCAATAATACCACTGCATATATTTAACAGGAACTCTTTAAACAGAACACATCACACACAAGAAGAAATGTGTTGTGTCACGGTCGAGGCGCAGTGGTTGTGACTACAATCAATAAGTTCTGCTGATCTCACATCTGTGCCACATACAACAATATTGTTTCAGCTGGAAGAAAATCGGTTTATTTAACATTCTAGACCTGCTGGAAACGATGAAGAAGGTATCAGGACGGTACTTTTAGCACAATCCCAGAACTTAAGATGGATCTGTGCAACAAGGAGAACGCATGCAAACGCACACATCGAAGGTTTACTCTGCAGTCGGGGACAAACAAAAAGCCCACCGGGTAAAAAGAGGCAAAAGGGGGTGTCAAGCTGTTCCATCCAAAAGCTAAACATTTCAAGTTGATGTTACCAGTTAATAGCTGCTTTTAAAATCCATATTTCCTTCAGTATCTCACAAACGTGGCATTGAAAACATGTACCTTTAACCATTATTAGTCCACAACACTGCAGTCAAAATATTAGGAGAAAACTGGGCCGCGTCTGGCTGATTAGCATCTATTATATAGGGACTTTTCTGTTGACATCTTTTCATTTTGACTGAGACAAAGCCGGAGTGGAGTGATTAACCTTCAGTGGAAAGATCAGCCCGAGAGGGGGGTGCAGACTCTTGCTGTGGCAGTGCCAGCAAACAGCTGCCTCTCTCGCTCTTTCCTTTAAGCCAGCTCTTATGATCATAACTGGGGGGGGGGATTTTTGGTTATCCACAGTCTTCCTCCTTCATTGATTTATAGAGGACAATAAAATTGTAGGTTTGCACACACATCCAAAGCATTGGTCTAATTCCTCCACCCGAGAGTCGGATCTAAAAACGTACACGCATTGCATGTTCAGCAGATGTATTTTGCCTTGTAAAGACGATTGGAAAGCTTACTTGAGAAGTTCTACATTGCGTAGCAGTGAACTGCACTTATGGTACAAGATGAGCCGCTGACCACGACTGTCAGTGTAAATAGTTTCCTAAAATAAAAAGAACTTAAATACACATCCGTGAAATGCAACAGCAATATACACAATTTTCTCCCTCAATGTGGATTTTTCTGTGAAGTGTGAGGTTGTTTCAAGTTCGCATTTAAAAAGAACTTCTACTTCATCCTGACTTTTAAATAACTGCAACACCAGAAGGTGTTTTACACCAGCCGTTCCCCTCAGTGGGACTCCCTTTAAAACGATGCCAACAATAATTTATCATGCATCCACATGGCTCTAATTTGGGTAAATGCCCAGCTAGTAAACATTTCAATAAATAAAAAGACGACTTCAGAAGTGGTTTGCGCTGGTCTCTTTAAAAAGACCGCCGCGTTATTTAGTGGAAAATGACCCCGGGCAGATGAAGAGTAACCCAATGCGCATATTGATTCAACAACTAGCAGTTCAGCGAGCAAAAGGTGCATTCACACGTCCCGCGTCCACGCGCACTTCTACGGGTACACGAGCAAAGAAAACGTACACGTTTACCGTCACATTTAATGACTCCTGACCAAACAACCCCCCCGGTAAGTGGAACCGGGTTAGCTTCCACCGTGCGCGGGCTGAGGAAGGGCCTCGCTTAACGGTGCGTTGTTGCACATTGGAGCGGGGACACTTTGTTTGTAGGGGGACGTGTTTCAGAGGAGGCGATGGATGGATAATGTAATAAATGTCTGTGGGTCCCATCAAAAGCGCATCCACCCCCGCCCCCACCAACCCCCAACCCCCTCTCGGTAGAATCAAAACAAGGAAGCGGGCTGGCCATCGTACGCCGACGCTCCGTGGACAAAAGACGGACGTTGGCGGTGGTCAGATCGATCCACCAACCGTTAGCCAAGTTAGCTTTCCCAGCCTGCCACCGAGCTAGCGTTAGCCACGCAGCGCTTAGCCGCAGCGGCTGTTTCGGGGGAGGAGGGGGGGTTGAAATCATGTTCGCTACACGTTTATCTTTACACCAAACTATGATGTCCGTTTGGTGAATAGCGAATAAAGCAGACGGACTCCATTAACGCCGCGGCGGACGCTTCCTGGTGGCCGGGTGACAGCTGGAAGCGGCGCAGCGGGGGAATTTAGCCCCGTTAGCAAACGGAAACACGAGCTAACGGGCAGAGAGCGTAACGCTAACAGCCCCCGTCAGGCGGCGTTCGCCGCGGACAAACACAACGGGCTCACCTTCGCCGCCGCCGGAATCCACACAGCAAACCGGGACGCGGCTCCCGTTCTGTCACGCCCCGGGAAACGTGCACGTACCGTCCGGGGCTTCGCCTGGAGGTTGTTTGTTTTGTTTTGTGTGGTTTTTGTGTTGGTTCTTTCTCGGCGGTACTTGTTGTGTCTCACGCTAGCAGCGGAGCGTCGTTGGCGGCTCGCTCCATTCTTCGCTGCTGGGGAAAGGTTCGAACACACCGGATGCACACAAAAAAACACACACACACACACGGCACCGCCCGCTTCACGACGCACACGTCCGGGTCAGCGATGAGACGAGATCATTCTGATTGTGCCGTCCCACCTTTGTTATATAATAAGAGGTTTAAGTTCCTCTGACAGTTCTCCTTCATTTCTTTCCCCTGTGATAAAGAATAAAAAGTGGACCTTTTTCTTTTTGTTTTTTCTGCCTGTATGGTCTTGTATGGTGTAATTGGCTAAAACTATATACAAATACTATGAATAAAAACTACTTTTTAATCATAGTATATTTTTATATAGTTTATATAGTATTCATAGTTGTACATTTGCTTCTATCTATACTTACATAGTAATTGATTTATCTATGTGTCTATGTATATATTAGTGTATGGATACGTATACATGGATTTAAACATAGATGTGTTTATATCTATAGAGGTATGTGTATATGGGTCGTACATAAGCGTCTAAAAAACATAGTATTGACTTTAAGGATCGTATTTTTTCCAAAGTGCAGCAAACAGACTAGCTTCAAACAGACTGCCAATACCGTGCATGTCAAAAATAAGAAGACTGAGATTCTCCAAAGGAAATCAAGTCCAAACCAGGACTTCAGACTAAAAGGCTCCTGCACAGTAAAGCCCTTGCTACTGAATATAGATTATCGATAGATTCTTGCTCAATAGACACATCCCCTGATAGAAGAAACCGGTTTATGCCGCTACATTTAAGTTGAGCTTTACAAGAAATATCTTAACTTCTGTGTGAAAGGAACTGATGTTAAAAAGCAGCTTGTTTGTTCAAACACTTAAACAGATTAAAGTGCACAATACACTATTTTTGAATTTGTTATTGAATGTTGCGCATTACAACGCAATTAATCGTAGAAAATCCTACTCAAAATTAGAATCATTGCCCAACACAAAAAATATTAACCCTCAAAATGTTTCTGAAAAACACCCAAACTGATCCGCATCACAAAAGGACCAGTTTCTCAATTCATCAAGGATATTGGAAACAAGAAATCATTCCCCAAAGCTTAACCAATCATATTTATTTTGTACATCGACCTGTTTAGTATTTGCAGGAAAACGTGGATGTCAATGAAAAGTGGTTACAAAAATAAAGCACCTTCTTACGTAAAGATGACTGAAAAACTACACCTACAAACGCTGAATGACAAGATAACCAAATAACTTTAACGTCTGTGCCGTTCCTTCATCATTTTACCAATTTATCAAAACACTAATCCTATTTGTTGCTGTATGTTGGATTCAAGTACTGTACACGGGTACAAACAAGTCATTTAAGCTCCAGATTACTTTGAACTTGAGTACTTAAAACTGCAGTGAAAGAAATGGACTAATATAATAAACACAAATCTGGTAAATAGAAAATCCCAACAAATCAGCATTGCAGTTGCTCAACCTGCGCTCACTGTGACCGTACGTTTCTCTCATCACGTTGACCAGCCTTTCACCCTGTTTAAATAGTTTTCATATGATTACTACGATCTAATATACATTATGTGATCCACTAATAATGTGCCAATGCTCCTCGTAAATGTACTCCGCTGTCAATAGTGTTGTTTTAGTAAAGAACAGTACAATTCATGTTAGTGCATCAAAACATTGTCTGACATGCATTCATCGACATGAGCAGTTAGACTGGGATGACTCACGTACGTCTATCTTCTAATGTAAACGATAGACGATGCTACTCTAGGGCAGTACTGTGGCGTTAGCATGTTCTGTTAGTGGTTCAAGCCAGAGACATAAATACACAGCCCACTGACAAGGGGAGGTTTTTTTTTTTCTTTACAAATAGTTTGTCAGGTGGTCTCCTGCTTTACACCATCTTTTAGTCAAAAACATCAAACGAGGAATTCCGCCAAAGAAATCGGGTAATTGCGGCAGTTTATCATATCAAAGAACTGTACAAGATAAGAGAATACACTATGAATAAAAAGAGGAAAAATAATGGATGGAAGTTTCTTATGAGTTTTGAAATTGTCCTCTCAGTTTGTGTTTAGAGGTAAAGTGTTTGAAAAAGGCAGTTGGGGTCTCCTTCAAAAAGTCTCCCTCTTCATTACGCTATCGCCTTTGCCTCAGGTAGAAACGCCTCCCAAAACTTCACGAGCTGGAATATAAATCAGAACCAGAAAAAAAAAAAGACAGTTAGAATGAGTTTCGATCACATGACATTTTCCAATAAAAAAGTAAATATTCTTAGTAAGAGGAATGCTTCAGTAGCCATGAATACAAAGTAAAGTGTACATGATGAATACTTGATAATGTTTACCCGTTGTTGAGACTGCAGCATTGCATCCAAATATTTAACTATCTGGCCCTTGAAGTCCTTGGCCTTTTCTTTCTGAAATGACAAAAGCGTCGACACGTCTCAAACTTTGGAGGATGCAAAAGTAATTGTGAAATTCATCAGGGTCACTATGTCTCTGAATACAAAGGGAGTGTGACACTTTCAACTTTGGGATCTGGGAATACAAATTCTTTTCATCTTTGTACAAGTCAAAATATAATAGTGTTATTCTAAAAAGCTTCTATCACAATGTGCTCGAGGTCGATCCGTCAAGATCTTTCCTCAGTGTGCAGTTCTGTTCAGAGGACCGGTTTACTCAAGTTGTTGTATGTGTGGACGGCCCTTTGTGAAATGTTTTTAGCTTGCTACTGAATTAAGTTTCGCATTGAGATTGTTCTGGATACTGTAACTGCTTTTAAGATTTAATGTGACTTTTTGTTTTTACAGTGATCCAAAGACAAAGATGTAACCTTTTATAACAGTTATAAAAACATAAACATACCTCAAATCTGAGAACCTCCTTACGTACGGTCATACCAATCCTGTCGAAATCTCTCTCGTACTGAGTCACCCTCGACTCCCACTGAGCACAAACATGAGAAGAAAAAGGAAAACTATTTTTAAATAAAAGGTCAGAAATACAAAAATCATAAATGGCACATTACATATACATACATACGCACACACTAAACAAATATAACACTAGTAAACATTTAAATGTGCTTCATGGTTCGCAGGAAAAGCGGCGTACAGATCAAACTAGTTTAAAATTACAATCAGCTTGTTGCATTTGACATTGAAAACAACGTAAAAAGTCTTGACAGCTCATGTGATATTGCAGCATAACGGGACCTCTAAAGGGTCCAGCCACCGTGTCGGTTACCTCGGTGATCTCGTCTTTGGCCTGCTGCAGTTTCTCGGGCTTGTTGGCCCACAGCAGCTTGGCCTCCACCTCTCTCTTCTTCTGCAGTGTGCTCTGAGCCTCCTGCCATCGCTGCCAGGCCCTCACACGCTGGTCAAAGCACCCCTGTGGACATCAGACACTCGATTACTACACTTGAAAAGAGCGCAGGTAGCACACACTGGACTAAAGACACGGCTCATTATAGCTTCACTGCTTCTAAAGAATCTCCATGACTCCTTCCTGCTGTAAATCTAACAGCTTACACGCATAGCACCCAGCAGGCGGATGTAGTCGGCCAGCAGCTCTGCGAAGATGAAGAAGTCACTGGCTGCCTGCTCCTGGTGCAGTTGCTCCATCTTATCCTCCACCTCCGCCAGCTGGGACAGGGCCCGCGACAGGGCCGTGTTGTCCTCGGAGTTTCCCAACATGGCCATGCTTTTGGCAAATACCGCCGTGCTCCCACACAGCTCTGGGGAACAGAATGCGTATTAAGTCTACTTGTTTGGCCGCGCTCTTCGGTTTCCTGAGTCGAGACGATTTGATTTGAAAAGTGAAGGCAGACGCGGCTCACCTTTCCTGTGGCTCACCAGGGAGTCGACCACCACCTGAAGCTTCCTCAACTGCTGCTCCTCGTTCTCCACCTCCTGGAACTTGTCCTCAAACCACTGAGTCGGGCAAAGAGTGAAGTGATCAGGAAATATATAATACACACACCAAAACAACCTCCTACTAATATTGTGCTACTTGGCCGTTTATCATTCATTCTACTTGCATTGTGTGCTGCTTATCTTTCACTAAGCATACAAATAAAATGATACCTATTAGAGTAGAGTTTGAACACGTGCTTCCTCGACTTCAACTACTAAGGTGTTTGGATATTGCATTGGGGTTTAATTATTCTGCTGCTTCCAATGGTACGTCAAAGTTTATCCAACATGTAGGTCAAAGGCCCAACTCCCCTGAAAACACTTGATCTGGATTCCCCTTACAGTGTCTGACTCATTCATCTTGATGGTCATCTTGTTGACAGCATCTGATGCCTTATTGATCATTTTGAGGAAGCCAGCTCCACTCAGTGCTTGTGTGCTCACTGCTCTGGGGAGCTGAAAACAAACAGACAGACACACACTGCGAGTTCAAAAGGAATTCCCAAGGATCTCAAGTCATTATCCAGCTCATTGCTGCTGGATCATCTTTTTATATCCTAAAAACCCCCACCTCGTCTCTCTCCAAGAAGTCACGGACATCAGGATCTTGTAGTAGCGACGGGTGAGACACTACTCTCTGAAGATACCTACAAGAACAAAACAAGATAAAGTGAGTAAATACTAGGGCCCAAATTACATAACACCTACAGACAAAAGCAAGGGCATGTGTAGAAATATAGCATAAAACTGCCCAGTGAGAATATTAGTTATCATTTCATGAGTAACGTCACTTTATGAAACATGTATGGATCCTTGCCTCTCAAGAGCTGCTCTTCTTCTCTCCACAAACTCTACCGAGGACGGGTCGTCCATTCCCACCTTCACTTTGGTCATTCCTGTTGGTACACATACGTCAGTCAGCTAAAAAGGTTAACGAGGGGGGGGAGAGACGGAGACAACAACGAGCAGAGCGCATAACGCAAGACCCACCTACAACACTCTTCTCAGGTGGAGGTGGAATGATGCAGCCTTGGAGTGACTGCTTGACCGATAGCTTCTCATAAAGACCCAGGAAGTCACTGTAACGCCTCCTCACAGAGAACGCTTTACTCCTGAACATGGCCAAGGAGGTCTGAAAGCAGATACAGGGACACAGAACACTTCAAACTAAAGACACACCAGGGAAAATGTTGATATATTCGCAGTTTTAGTAGCAATGTTAAGAAAATACACAAGAAGTCAGTGTGAACACATGCTTTTGTACAGACCCGGGTGGAAACTTTGTAAGCGACATATGCAGTCATGCCATCACCTAGTAGGGCAGAAACATTGGAGATACATTTAGGATGATAATTCATTGAAACATCTGAAAATAAAGTGTCAGGGCATTTAAAGTATTGGGTTTGCTAAAAAGGGGCATAACCATAAAAAGGTTCAATCTATACAATGATGAGTTCTAACTCATCAACACCTTCCCAAAACATAACATCTGCAGCAACTCGGGGTTACAGATAGCTGAATTATAGTTTCAACTAATAGCCAGTATAAAAAAAAGAGACTAACCAATTTTCTCAGGATTGGTGACGGCAACGTCAACATCAAAAATATCCTCGTCCTCTTCCTCCTCCAACTGTAATCAAGGAGATGAACACAACCCACAAAAAACATGCGTTAGAATGAACTGCTTTAAAAAGGAACACAGCTCAGCCGTGGTCCGTACCTGCTGCAAGGAGGAGGAGGGCTGCATGGCAGCAGGGCTCTGAGTGACGGAGGAAGATGGAGGAGGGCCGGAGGAGGTGGAGAGTTCCTTCCTGGCAGAGCTGCCGACCTTGTCAGTACTCGGCTCCACCTGTGCTTCTGGGAAAGGAAAACCCATAAATACGTAGAACAGACAATTTATGAATTATAAAAATTAGCATTAGATTTGTGTTCAGTCCATGGTCACTCAAATTATCATTATGAACGTAGCAAGAAGAAGAAAATATAGCTATTGTTAATACTTAAGAAAGTGGAAACTAATCAGACTTTCTGAGAGTAAGTTAGTCTCTAATAGTCTTAAATCCTGAGTGCTTTTGTATTGTCTGCACAAACCGATGTTGAAAAGATCACAGCAAGAGAAATCCTAACATTAGTTTGAGTACAGGGTGAAGCTCCAAAAACACTGGATCCGACATTTCCCATAATGCAACTCAAAAATGCATTCAACTGAATCTCAAGATCTTGAATCTCACCTAACTGTAAATTTATTTTACATGTCAAAGCTCTACCAATTGAGAGTATGTGGATTCAAAATAGACTGAAAACGTCTCCTAACCAGCAAACAGGTCGCTGTCATCGTCAGAGTGAACTCCGTTGTATTTGGCAGTCGCGCTGCTGGCCTCCTCCTCCTCATCCTCTCTGAACAGATCTGGAGGCTGCTCATTGACATTATCCGGCTGAGAAACTCCTCGACTCACAGCCACGGGGTTACTCTGCAGACAGGAAGCACACAGGTTATAGAGGAGAAGCACTGGGTCAACAAAAGTGGTGGAATGTAACCAGGTACAGTTACTCCATTACTGTACATTGTATTATACATGTGACGTGCTTGTAGATTGAGTCAAAATCATTATGACTACTACACCCGGGGGAGAAAACGATGTAACTAAAATAAAAATGTCAAAATTGTTGACATTTTTGTTGGGTAAGAAAAACAGAATAATAAATATATGAATACTTGTTCCCTGAGGGGCTCGATGACAGGAGCGACAGGCAACGTCGGTTAGCGGTTCTCTCGTGGGCGGTGTAACGGTTTAACGACACCGACGGGCAGGGACATTACCGAACTCAGACACCACGGAACCATTGACACGAACTTAGCGTTGGGTTGAAGAGCCGGAATTTGAAATGGGAGCATTTTTAAGCGTAGGGGCAGGCTAATAAAAGGTCGAAATAAACCCTTAACGTGAGCATTTAAGACAAAAAAACGGGCTCAATTTGTGCTCAAACGAACTTCGGCCAACTATATGAATTACAGCAGTTTTTTTGGGGGGGGGGGGGTGGTGTTTCGTACACAAAGGCTGACCCGATTTCTCGCCTCCCTCCGTCAGGTAGTGTTAGCTCGGCTGCCATGGGATGCAGGTCAGACCTGATAAAGAGGCTCCCGGCTCGATCACTTTCGTACGGAAGTAACCCGCGCCCCCCCCCCCACAATAAAAAAGGCAAACGAGCCGTACACACATATGACGAAGATGTCCTCGCCCTCGTCACGGTCTCCATCTGCCATGTCACAGACTCCCGGTTCCTCCGTGTCAGGGAAAGGAGGAGGAATTCGATCCGAGCTGGCCGCCATATTCCGTGTTGTGAGAGGCGGTGACGTAGGCGGAAGTTGAAGGCGCGAGGGAAAGGGCTGCAGCGACCCCTGCTGGTGGCCCACCGACACGACACGCTGACGCCAGAATTTGTACACTTCTAAGAAATATATTTCTCTGGTATTTAAATCTGCACATGCTTGTCCACAAATATAGCTACGAGACTACAATTATATTACTTATAACGAGAGTGAGTTCTTAAAAAATGAATATAAATGGAATTGATGAAAGTTTCACTTTTGGTGGTTCACGTTGTGGTTTTATTTAATTTTTCCATTTACTCTGCTACCATCTTTGTTTTATCTGGTCTGTTTTAACATCAGCTTTAATATTTTTTCTGATAGGAAATCGGACAACACTTGTTTTGTTCGATTTCCTATCTGTAAAGTTTGACTCTCCATGGTTTTGATAAACATTTTCAGATTCTGCAAATCAGAAGAATTTCTGTGCATAGCTCATAGCTCCTCGAATGTGAAAACTGCTATTCTCTGGACTCAAAGCTCTAACAGAACTGCAAGTTTAGAGTATATATTTTTTTTATGTCAGAAGGCAAGAATACAATATTTCAATTAAATCAGCTCAATTAAATTCAATTAAATCAGTTTTTCTTCAACTTACCTGAAGGGACCAAATATCTCTAAATGCAGTCAAAATGGTAGTAATGAGGATGTATGATGTCAAAAACGTAATTGCTTCATCAATATTTTTCAGTGTAATGACGCGTGGCCATCTCGTAATCATTCACCTTTTCATTTCTCAACAAAGAGCCTGCAACAATTTGGTTTTGAAGACAAAAGAGCTACGAATCTGGTAAAAAAAAAAAGTTGCTACGGTAGAGAAACGTACAAAAAGGAAGTCAACCCTAAAGGCTTTAATTCTTTCACTATGTCGCAAAAAAGCTCTGAAACTACAACCGTACCATAAAATATAAGTACTACTTGAGAAATACTGCTTGGTTAAATTCCACCACAGCTCGTATGTATACCTGACGAGCATTGTGATCATGTTGGATGAAAATAAGACAGACGGACACATTTACTTTGTTAGTATTCATAATAGTTTGTATACACAATGTATAGGAGCACCAATAAAAAAAACATTTTTTTTTTTTCAAAACTTTTTCTTCAACATTTTTTTAAAAAGCCACAGATTTGTTTTCTACAGAAAGCAGAGAAAGCTCTGTACATGAACAAGCAACAACATAATTCCTCATCATGAGCTGCAAAATAAACAACTCGCTGCTCAAATTCCTTTCTGAAGCAAAAAAAAAAAAAAGAATAAACCTAAAAAAACAAGACCAGCTGCCTGCTGCTTACCTAGGACACTACGTTACACAAACAGCGTTTGATATTTAAAACACAAGATATGTAAGAAATGTACTTTTCAAAAATTGTGAAAAAGTGCAATACAGGTTCAACTGTTTACAACTCAATAGATTATTTTCGCAAATGGAGTCCGGTTCTTTTCCCCCCCCTTTGTTTTCAATCACGTCTTCTCCAAAACTTGTTCGTTTGTTAAAATCTCGTACAGTTATATTGACATTCATGACGATGTACATTGATGAGAAACATGGTATTCACAAAAGTAGAGCAAATTACTATGATTGCAAATGACAAATTTCTTTGGGTAAGAGGGTAATAAAAACGAGCTTCTTGGATGAACTTTTTTTTTTTTTCCTTTTTTAAATCGGATGTGTGTAGAGAACAAGATTCATGTTTTTTTTTTCTTGATACAAAAACTAGCATGTAAAAAAAAAAAAAAAAAAGAAAATCGGGGAGTCCCATTTAAACGGCCATCTTTTGTAAAAGAACCAGGGCATGAACGGAATGGGAAAAAAGGAAAAGGAGACACCCGCCGCTGTGAGAGCGCGTTGCTCCGCGGGACGCACGCCTGAAACCAAATATTGGTTTTTGGAAACGACACAAATATTCGACCAAACTTCTCGTATAAAAGATAACTCGTCTGCTGCAGGCGATTGATCGATTGACTGACTGCCACGCGAGTTATTCTCTGTTCAGGAGGGGTGTGCAGGGGGGGGGGTCAGCGCCCTGAGTCCTTTAGGTACCCCCGACCTGTGAGGAGATACTGTCAAGTCCCACAGGACTGCAGAGAAGCATGTTGCCACGTTTCCTGCATACAAACACGTTGGTGAGGCTTTTCGAACGGAGCTCCCACGACTAACAGAAGACGGAGAAAGACGACTCTTTAAACGTACAAAAGGGGGCCAACACAGTAAACTGTAAAACACATCAGGCTTCTCTCCCCTTTTCTGATATGAAAACTGAGCTGCAGGACTCGCTTGTAGTCCCACTTTCATCCCAAATAATAATAATAACGAAACAAATGGGGAAACATCGAAAGAATGAGGCAGTTAAAAAACACACACACAACATATGTACATGTTTATAAGGATATGTGTGTAAAAAAATAATACAATAATATAGAAAATAATAAAAAGTCATGGCACGTTATAAGACACGAGGGGGTAAAAACGAGGTTTATGAATAATGTAGGCTTGTAAAGGGGAGAGGGGAAGGGGGGGGGGGGCTGATATCCAATGTTCACTTCACTGAAACGGCCCAATAGATACACAAAATGCACAAAGAAAACACTAATCAAACAAACACTGTGTAGACTTCGCCGCATGAGCACCAACATCAAAACCAGCATACGTTCCAGACTTCCTCCTTTCCACGTCGACGTGGAATCCGCCGCTGGGTTATCGCGAGGGAACGCTCGCCGCGAAGCAGCCCGCCCAGGAGGGAACTCACAATCCTTCGGTGGAAAGCGGCCGACGTTGTAAAAGTTCATTGTCTCTGAGAATGGTTCTTCGTAAAAATGACGAACCGAGTCACTTCTTCTTTCCGTCCTCCTCCTCCTCCTCCTCCTCCTCGTCTTCTTCTTCTCTCCGTCTCCTTCCTGAGACGCGGCGAAGCGGAAAAGAAAGTTCCGGCGTTTTCAGTCTGCAGTTTGTTTTGCTTTTTTTCTTGTTTTTTTGTCCTGCAGGCGGACGCGAGAAGCCATTCAGTGTCCACCGGCCTCCCGAGCTTCATGTTTGGCCGTGTTTGTTTGACCTTAGAGTGTGCGTCTTTCTGTGTGTACGTGCGGATGACAGAGGGAGTGTGTGTGTGTGTGTGTGTGTGTGTGCGCGAGTGTGTGTGTGTGTGTTTGTGTGCGCGCTCATGGCGCTGTAGTGATGGCGTTCAGGTCCTTCATGAGGCCCTCGAGGTGGGCCATCTCCTCGGTCAGCTCGTCGGGCTCGTAGCTCTGGGGGAGAGGAACAGGGTTACTGCGAGGGGCGGGGGAGGGGCAGGGAGGGAGGGAGGCAAGCACCTGGAAGGAGGGAGGGAAGGAGGGAGGGAGGGAAACCTACGTACGGTCAGGACGTTTCGTTCAGTATGTTTCCAATACCGGGGCTTGAGCGGTTTACACTCGGTGTTTTCGCCTAACGGGTTTGTTGAAAATGGGCGGTGCTTTGAAGGAGAATGCGTCAATGATACTGGAGCGCAGCAAACGGCAAAAACAACAAAAAGCAGACGAAAGCAAAACATTCCAAAGAGAAGCCGGATGTCGACGGCCAATCAGGGGAAAAAAACATTCCAGGCATGAGTTGCGTTAAGATCAGGCGTTAGAAGTTAAATGAGTTGATCAAAAGCCAGCCGGCGAGAAACGGTGAGATTGAAGTTGGACAGAATAATTGAGAGAGAGAGAGAACACACAGAAAATGTGGTTAAAACCAGCGTCCAGTGCAAAGTAACCGAACAATCCAGTGCCCGACGGAAACACGGACGGATTGCGCGATTCTAACAGACAGGACTTTAATATCAAAACATTCACCACCATCACGACTGCATCGGCGTGGGGGTGGGGGTGGGGGGGGTGTACTCACGCTGTCGACATCTTCCAGCATCTTGCTGGTCTCGGGCACATCGGGGGCGTTGGGCACCGTGACCACCATCGGTGTCCGTGTCCTCCCTAGGGTTCCGATAGAGGCTGTTTTAACAACATGGGGGTGAGTGGGGGCCCCTGAACGTGACAAACGCACAGTCAGTCAGCGAGGGCGGCGGGCGAGAGTGAAATGGAGAATGAAGACGAGAGCCCAGAGTCCCTTTCCCCCCCCCGACTGGGCCAGATTCATCCGTAAAAAAAAAAGAGTTTTTGTCTCAAAGACCTTTTTCAAACTAGGTTTGATTTGTTCCAATCCAATTTATTTTTAAAGCACGGTTAAAATGAACGCAAAGGTTCCCAAGGTGCTGTACAGTAAAATCAACACAATAAAACACAACAAATAAATAAATAAATGTCCTCCCCAGATAAAATATTTGTGCACAACCTACGTAGTATTAAAAGCCCAAGAAAAAAAAGAAAGTTCCCTAAAGTTTCATCAACAAAGTCGGATGAAAAGTGCAAAACCAACAATGGAATGTGACACTCATGCATCGCCCTGCTGCATAAGTAACCCACCAACACATCAGGTGTGTATCAACCCACAGACAGAACACAGTGTGTGTGTGTGTGTGTGTGTCTGCTCACCGGTCTGAGCCAGCAGCGGGGTGCTGGGCAGGGCGGGCGACTCGTACGCCGGGTGGCCGGGGGCTGCGATGGCGGGCACGCCGAAGCTCTTGAGCGGGTGGGCGTGGGCGTGCGGGTGGGCCGAGCGGTGGGGGGGCAGGTTGCCGGAGTAGCTGGCCTCCTCCTCGGTGGTGGTGGAGCCGTGGTAGCTGCCCTCGGGGTCCACCATGATCTCCGAGGGGCAGGAGACCTGGGAGGAGGTGGTGGCTGCTGGGAGGGGCTCCGAGCTGGGGGCATTCCTCACCGACTCTGGAAGAGGGGGAGAGTGTGTGTGTGGGGGGGGGCAGATGGGTTTACTACTTTGCAGCAGTGTTTCCTCACTTTTGTTACATGTTTCTTCCACTCTTTACAAAAGTTTACAAGCCTCTAGGGCGGAAACAAGACGGTGTTTAAGTAGTAAAAAAATAAAAAAGCCAAATAAATAGTTGCAGCTCCTCAAATGTAAATATATTTGCAAAATGTTGTATTTTTGGAGAAGATTTCAATGAACCAGCTCGGCCTGACAGATTATTTGATGACAAAAATAATCCCTGAAATGCAGTTACAGTATGTTATGATGATTGATAACGTTGTCAATATATCTGTTCCCATCAAACTAGATTTGAGGTTTAATTTCCAGCATCACAGTTACTCATTTATTAATTTAGGATAACCTCTACAGCCACTCTCATTTTTTTTACAACTTACAAAACAATCAAGCAACCATTAAAACAGCAATCCACATCTTTTGTCAACTGTGAATTAGAGCCTTCAGCTTCAACCCAACAGCAGAATTAAATCATTGGCACGTCTGACTGGTAACGTTTGCTTCGCCCTGAGGCTGAAGCTGAGGTGAGAAGAAGAAGAGCCGATCAGGCGGCAGGGAGCTCAGAGAAAAGTGGTCAGCAGCTCGGGAAAAATCCAACGAGCGGCCGACGAGCCAACGGAGGAACGCGGGCGGCCGCCGCCCGTCCAGCAGGTGGCAGAAGTGTCTCACCTGTGGACTCCACCCTCTCTAGATGGGAGACGGGGGTGGCGCAGGCGTGCGGGCGCGGGTGCCCGCCGCCCTGGTGGTAGAGGTAGCTGCGCGTCGGCGCCGCCAGGCTGCCCATGTGATAATAGTGGTGATGGTTATCGAGGGAATGGATGGGGTGAGCGCTAATCACGGCTGTGAATGGAAATGGACACACAGACACACAGGCTGAAATACTGATGAAGGACGTGCATGTATTGCTGATGAGACACACACATGCATGCAGTTCCCTGTGATACACACACGCACAACTATTCTCTGTCCTATAACAATGAATATCTAGAATCATGACTTGAACTGGTTCCCATGATCAGACAAACAACAGTACGACGTGCATTTGAAAATGGTTTGCTATAATATTATGCATAACCTCAGGTATCCCTCACACACACATTCGCACAAACACACACTTACGCTGGGGCGGCTGCGCGTCAAAAGGCATCATCATTTTAGGCCTCATCCCTCGTCGGGCTGCTAGTGCCGACATGCTGTCCTCTGACTCGTGGCCTGAAAGGTGCGGTGGAAACCAGCCAATCAGAATCAAGAGGCGCTACTCGGTTTTTCTGTGCGAAAAACCCGTCTTCAGACCTCCGGATCCTTCGTTAGTTTTGTGTCATCGGGTTTTTCTAATTGCCTCATCGTCGTCATGCTCTCAGCCGTGAACTCATTAAACCGAGGGGGATTCACGGCACTGGAAGTCATCCAATCGGCAGCAGGTGCTCGCGGCGTTAAGTGATCAGACGTTATGTATGAAGAGCATGAAATGTTTGTGCGTGAGCAAACACAAATGAAACAAATCCCCCCCAGCAAAAGTCCTCTGACCCGGGGACCCCGACACATTCCCCGCCTCAAAAATAACTGCCCTCTCAGTCAAGCTCCCAACTTAAAAAAATCGACTGACCGCGGTAGGAGTTGCGGCGCTGCTGCAGGTGGGGGTTGCCGTCCAGGCCGGCGTCGGCCGGCGTGATGTCCTGCGAGGTGCGGGGGATGGGCGTCTCGGTCATCACCGGGTTGGGATCCGGCGACTTGTCCATGGGTTTCAGCTCCAGCCGCTCGTGGTGGATCCACAGGTCCGGGGGCTTCAGGTCTTTGGAGTTCCCCTTGTACTTGTGGGAGCCGTTGGACGACTTGGAGGCCGCCCGCTTTCTGCGGGAGAACACGGGAGGCCGAGGTGAGAGACTGACCCTCGTTCGTGGGGGAGGCGGGGTGGGGGAGGTGAGAGTTAGAAGGGTGAGACGAAAAAAAAAAGAAAAAAAGAGGGTCGAGGCCCTTTTACTTTTTCTGGTGGGACGTGGTGCGCCGCGTGCACAGGAAGGCCCCGACCACCACCACGATGATGGTGAAGGCCCCCACGGAGATGATGATGACGATGACCAGGATGTGACTTTCGCCGTTGCCTCCGACCCCTGATTCGCCCCCCCGAGAGGAGAGACACTCGATCAGAACCGATACGTTGGAAAAGAGACAGATTTCAGGCGGCGGGGGGGGGGGCAGGGGGTTGTGGGGGGGGGGGGAGAAGGTGCCTCTTACCGACAGCCGTTCCGGGGTCCTGGGGATGCGAGTTGCCTGGAGGCCCCGGTTTGGGTGGAAGATTTGAGGCTGATTCAAAAGGGAAGAAAGATGATTAACTTTCCACGCGCGTTTCCACAATCCGCTGTGCAACGTACAGACGGGACGCGGATTATCCTGAGCGTTTCTAAGAGCACGGACAGACGACAGGACTGCAGAGTCAGCGAGTGAAAGAGAAAGTTTACCTTGGTCATTAGCCATTTTGTCAGAGGACTCGGCTTAACAGGCCAAAGGAGAGCAGGGAGGGAGAGACAATAAAGAGCAAAAACAGGTTAGCCGAAAAGAGCCGCGTGGGAGACGGGAGACAAAGCGAGAGGGAGGGTAGGGGAGGGGGGAGGGAGGCAAAACCAGAGGATCTGGAGACCAGCGAGAGTGAACTACGGACACAGGCGAGGTGACATTAGGAGCAAAGCGTCTGTGTAAAGATACAAACGTTATCTACACACAGCCAAACATCCTGGATGACAGAAGAATCACTTGCAAAGCCAATAACGTCTTTTCGAGAGGGAGGGAGCCTCGATCGCCCCGTTCTCCACCCAACGTACTCTTTGGGGTGCGGAAGTGGACGGCCTCGGACATGGGCCCCATGCCCTTGGAGTTGCGGGCCTGGATCTTGAAGTAGTAGGTGGTGTCCAGCGTCAGGTCCTGGATCTGGTGGGTCAGGCGGTTGCCCACCACCGGTTCAATTACCCAGTCGTGGACCTCGGCGTTGACGTCTGTGCTGTAGTAGATGATGTAGCCTGCAAACGGGGAGGGTTCCAAAGAGGGGGGCAGACATGTTAAAAGGGGACGGTTTTACTTCAGTTCCAACGCAAACGTTCTTCCAACAAAGTAGGTGGATTATTTTGAGATTATCTCAGTTCTAGTTTTTCAAATGTTTCTTTTTTTGCGCTTTGAGGGTCACAAGATGAGTGTCACAAAGTCGGGGGGTCGGCAGAGATCTCTACAGCTTATCCCTCCAAAACTCCGAAACTAACTAAATATATAGCAAAATATAGATATATTTGAGGGGATTCAGTGGCTTTAATGCAGAAAAAACAAACACCAACCAAAATGTTTTAGTCCCATTTCTTCAAATTCACGTATCACAGTTTATTAATATAATTCAATGCATAACATCTCTTTGCGGTAAATGATTTTATGACTCCTCTCTGACCTCTTACGCATTAAAAGCCTGACAACTCAAAGTTTAGGGACGGACCATTTGTACTTTAGTGGGGAGCCGTTTAAAGCAGTGAACGGGTCAGAAGTCCGAAACACGCCGGCTTGTTGGAGGAAGCGGGAGGCTGAACCTAAATCCGGATGAATCTGCGAGGCCTCAATGCACGCGAGAGACACGTGCGGACTCACCGGTGATCTTCCCATTGGCTTCAGAGGGAGGCTGCCAGTTGACTATGATGGTGCGAGGCTTGTTCTCTTTGCTCACCACGGTCACGTCTTTCGGGGACGAGCTGGGAGCTGTGGGAGGAGGTGGGGAGTTAAGATGTTTCAAATTCAACATCATCACACATTGTGAGTACGCTGTGTGTGTTTTTGCTTGTGTAGACCGGTCACGCATTTGTTGTTCGTGCATGAGCCTCCTTTGCATCTCCATGTTGACCCGAGGTTCATTAGGTGTGTGTTTATGACTTTGTAGATAACAATCCACTGGTACACTTGTGAAACAAACCCCCGGCTGGGTAGAAATAATAAAAGAAAAATTGTTCTTCTCGTCTTGTAAAAAGAAAATGTCCGCTTCAAGAAAATAAGCTTTCGTTTTTATTGCGAGGCCACTTTAAGTTCAACAGTTACAACTTGCACTGAGGTTTGTGCTCGGAGACTTTGGGATCTGCATTAATTTGCAGTCTAAACAAACACTCCGGGATTACAGAGTGCATTTAAATACAGGCGGATTTAAAAAAGCACTCAGTCATTTAAACACCAATACACTCAATTTACGTAGTTTAGCAGAGAGAGACTAAACATTCGCCGCCGTCCCTCGGAGGTCACGTGAAGTTCAACAGTAATAAAGCAATAAATGAGGAGAAGAACAAGGAACCAAGTGTATTTTGTATCATGAGCTTGAATAAACGAGTCAGGTCTTGTTTTGCCCCTCAGGCTGAGACGCTCTGCAAATCAAGAGAAACATGTAAACAAGTCATTTGCTTTAACTCAGAAAAGGGTCGTTGCATTCTTATCATTATTACTGATTCCTGATTCGGCCATTTGCACATTCTGTGTGGGTTAGTTTCGCTCTCGATGATGAACAACGGAGCGGCGTTCAAATTATTATCCTTCAATCACCAAGTTTGCCGCAGGGTTTCTTTCAGCTTCACTTGCAGTTAGTGTAGAGATTTATTGAGAAATACCTTTGACTTTATATAGGTTACGTAATAAAGTGCAGTGACAGCTTGACTTTCCAAAGGTGTGTCCTCTCCTTCCATTTGGGCTGCAAAAAGTAAAAAGACAGGGACCCGCAACACTGGACATCTGGCTTCACGTCTTTATGTGACGATGTCTACGTTGTGTGTTTCTGCATCTCGTTCATGTCCATGTTTAAGTGTGCGGCTGTGTGTGTGTGTGTGTGTGTGTGTGTGTGTGCATTTGCGCCTACTGGTTTCAAAGGTGGTGCCCTGTGCAGTCATGCTCCACGTGCTGGAGCGCCGCCCTTTGGTGACCATGACGGAGAACTCGTAGAGCGTGTTGGGCTTCAGGCCGGTCACCATGTGGCTCAGGCTGGTGGCGTTGGCCGTCTGAGGAGAAACAGGCGAGAACACATCCCGTAAACACGACGTTCGCCTTGTTTTATTTGTGGGCGGATTTAATCCAGAGAACTATGATGAGTTGATGAGAGTTCAAAGGAATCCAAGTATTGTATTATATATTCATTATTTTTAAATGTATAACTGTGATACATTTTGTCTAAAAGGACTAATTGACCGCTCATTAACACGAGCAGACCCTGAAGGCATCGGGACGAGGTTGTGGCCTCGGAGGAGCTGCGGTCTCAGTTTATAGTCGGCTTTGGATGAGCTCAGGTCCAGTTGCCCCGCCGCCCAACAACGACTATTTTCCCTTAAGCCTCGTAAGGCGGCAACTCGTGGGAAACAACCTGGCAGGCGTCGTAAACTCAGAATCAATTCTTCTTATTCTTTCTATTTGATATAAAACATTTAAAAACTACAACAAAAAAAAGTAACAGCAGGTTGTTACAGAGGAGGCCTGGTAACGGGCCTCGGTGTAACGGTGCGAGCTGCGGGGGGAGAGGGATGAATAAGGGGAGGGGGTGGGAGGGGGGTGGAGGCTGTCAAACAGAGGGCAGTGGGACAGGAAGAGCAAACACTCGGCTCTTAAGAACCACGTCCCGTCAATAATGCACGAGCTCGTCTGGCTGGACTCGCTCCGAGAGAGCAGAGAGGGAGGACGTGATGAACAGCGGCATTATGTCTGTGTGGGGAGAAGATAACCAACGTACGGAGGACGGAAATCCACAGCGAAGAATCCACTGATGGAAAAAGAGCTGACAGACTTGTTAACGTATTGAAGTTGGTTAATGGGACAGAAACATAATGAGCCCGTGGAACTCTTTAATTACTGCCACAGCGAGAGAATCAAAACCAATTCAAGCATCGAGCGGCAACACTTGACTGCTGAGTATCTGTGTGCGAGTCTGACTGCGCGCGTGTGTGTGTGTGTGTGTGTCTTGGAGAATGCAGATCTACAGACTCATTTTTCTGGTTCTTAGTTCATCTTGTCCTTGTTGAATCATTTATCAGCAAACGTGGGCCTTTAATCGGGGCTCTGCTCGGTCATTGGTTTGCATACATGCATGCGGCCATGAACACACACACACACACACACACACACACACACACACACACACGGATATTCTGGCTATATTTAACTAATCAAAGAGTAAGCAGCATAAAATCTCTTGTGTTGGATTCACATGAAAGTATTTTTACTGCATGTGCTGCCAAATTTACCAGGAGAGAAACCTTAAGCAACATAACTTAAATGAATAAAAAAAATAGTCCTTAGTATGTACATTATAGTATATGAAAAAGAAGCTATAACGACGTAGTCCATAACGAGAGTTTAATTAAACCACAATATCTACAGAAAACATGTCAGAGAACCTTCAACCTTTAAGCCCGTATTATCATGATTGGCAACTGTTCGTATTTTGTAAATATCTGAATTTGATTTGATTAAGTTCTGTTGCATTGATCCTGTGAGTCGAAGTTACTTCTCTCTACAGTGCGTCAAAAGAAGAAAGAAAAGAGATTCTGAATGAAACACCAGCTTCATGCGGCACATCGGGAGCTGCCTTGGGAATACTTTCTTAAATATCAACACTTTTTATTTCTTTTTTTACCTTTTTGTTTTTTGGAGCTCAGCACATCTGAAAACCTCTGTGGTAAGTGCGGGCGGCGTGAAGGGAAGCACAGAGCCCCACAGCACTAAAACGACTCAATGATAACTGAGTGAAGCAGGTTCTGGCGCAAAAGCACTGAGCAAATCCAATAGAAAAACCGGGGCGTCTTTATAAATAAACAAACAGTCAGAATTTCAGATGCCGACGGGAAACCAGGAGACTCTCTCACCTTGACTTTGGTGTTGGCGGGGATGTTGGTCTTCCAGCGGACCGTGTAGAAGCGGTTATCGGTGATCTTTTGGTTCTTGGGCAGCGAGTTGTCGGCCCAGGTCACCTTGATGGTGTCGTGCGTCAGCACGGAGGCCTGAACGCCCACGGGCGGCATCATGGGGGAGGGGTCTGGTACTGGGGTGTATGGAGCATGGGAGAGTTCGTACGGGTCAACATCGAGGTCTGCGGGCATGCACGCACGCAAAATTAAAATGACCAAAGAATTAAAACATGAGGAGAAGCGTGGCGGTTTGGGACGGGGGATTTGAAACAGGATGCAGGGCGGGAGGAACAGAACAGGAGAGAATACGGTTAATGAGTTAAAATGGGAGGGAGGAGGGGGGGAAAAAAAAGGTGAATGCGAAGACGATGGGATTGGGAGGGGTGAAGAGAAAGAGAGAAGATTCTATTAGAAAAACAGAAACAGACCTCTACAACAAGACAAAGCTACAGGCTCGGCTATAGAAGTGTGCATTATGTGCCGTTCTATCAATAGCTACTGCAGCACTATGCAAGACAGAGGCGCACTATTCATGAGAAAAGATTACAGTGAATGGAAAAGCTAGGCTGAAAGCAGATACCCACAATCCTACAGCCGACTCCTTTCAGAGGGGCAAAATACTGAAACGCGCTTGTTTTACGTCACGGAGCCTTTCGCAAACACTTCCATGCAAAGTGGATAAAGAAAAGGCCGCTGAATGCGCAGGAACGTTTCACGATATGCAAAGTAGCGGCAAAACGCTGCCGTTTGTCCTTGAAAAAAAACAATACCGGGGCTTGAAGTAAGAGGAGAGGACGGTCAGGAAGGAATGGCGGCTCTGGTGTGTGTGTGTGTGTGTGTGTGTGTGTGTGTGTGTGACACTTTGATAACATATCCAGCCGAGCGCTCTCTCAACCAAAGTTCATAAAGTTTTCTCCCCCCCCCCCGACAGTTTTTTTTCTATTAAATTTTTTCTCTTCTCCAAAAGTAAAAGTGCTATGTAGGTCAGCTCGTCTTTTTTATTCAGACTTGAACAAACTGGCAGGAAGGGAAACGCGCCCCGCAGGACCCGGCAGCAGGCGACGGTGGTGGGCTTTGGTTCTGCTTGGAGAAGAAACGTTGGGATCTGACGAAGGGTTGCCAAGAGCACCACGGGGGGTCTCCGTGTGTGTGTGTGTGTGTGAGTCGGGGGGGGTGGAGAAGAGAGAGCTTCATAGAGAGAAGTGTACAGCATGACAGCGTTAACCCCCCCAACTCCCCCCCATCCATCGAAGTGCGTTGACGCGATTCATGTCAGCCAGCATCCCGCCCCTCTCTCTCTCTCGGCGGAGACAAAGCGGGGCGATCAAGGCGGAGCGAGGGGGCGGGAGGCTGGATGGGGTAGGAGGCGGGCGCAGACCACATTCTGGGACACCCCAGGGTGCCCGGGGCTGGCTGCCTTCTGACACCGGCACACAAAACCGTGTGAACTCAGCGAGCGGGCCGCCGAACCGGCTCCGTTTCCACACTTTAAAGTCACATGTCAAACACTCGACTTCTACTTCTAATTGACTCAAGCGACTCGTGGATCTCAGGCGGAAAGAAGTTTTCGTGCTGAATTGGGTCATTGGATCGTGATCGGCGTCGAGTCTAAAACTGACTGAAACGCGGCGTAAATATAAGTGGACGAGCACCAAACGCAGTAATATGTAATATTCCTTTCGTGTGATTTCTGTTCCATCAACATATGCGGCTCCTGACAACCCGCTAATCTAAAGGCGAAGTACGAGGGTATTTAAATGAAAAAAAAAAGTGTGCCGGGAGCCGTGAAGGACAGAGCTCAACGTTCCGCCAGATAATGATCTCAGGTCACAAAGAGGGCAAATTTTACGAGATTCAAAGAACCGATTCGGTAAAAAGATCCGAACTCCCCATCACTACGAGCCATTTTTCTAGGCTCGCGTCGACGCGAGCCTCCCGCGGCGCACCAGGCTGCGATTGGTCCGCTAACTACGTCCTTTACGGAGTCTCACGTTTCCGTTTTCACAGCACGATACCGCCATTATTGAAACGAAGAATGTTTGCGAGAGAACGGAGCAGATTTAAGAACTTTTGACGGAAGAAATGCGTAAATATGAGCGCTTATACAAGCCGTCATTGGCGGGTTGTAGAAGCGGGTTGGATTCACGGAGGGAGATCGCCGTAAACGCCGGTTTGCCGGTCGAGAGGTGCGCAAAGTTGTGGAGGAAAATACGGGACAAATGTGCCCGCGATGAAAAGCAGCAGTGGCGATGCACGGGGCAATAAAGTCTGTGATAAATAAACAAACAAATAAATAAATAGACGTGACTCTCTAGGTCGTCTTCAACAAAAACACGTCACTCCGCCTGTTGTTCTGGCGGTGAATCGCTCTGCAACACACGCATGAACCACGATTTGAAACGAGTGCGTCGACGCAACGACGCAGCCGCAAACTCAGAAGCACGCGCCGGCCTTAAGAATGTTAAAAAAAAAAAAAAAAGGGAAATCGTGTTTTCCGGGTGACCGAGGAGACGCGTTGCCGTTCGTACCGGACTGCGGACGGGTGTTGGCGCTCTCGTACACGGGAATCCCCTCGCCCATGTTGTTGTAGGCCTTCAGGGTGATGACGTAGTGGGAGCTGGGGTCTGAGAGAGAGAGAGAGAGAGAGAGAGAGGTAAGGACACAGCGTGGTGAGGGAGACTAATGGAGCCCAAACTCCCGAGACTCTTGACTCATAATTGACTCCAGATGAACATCCGAACACGATGCTTCCTCTTGGTGTGGATGCAATGGAGGCTTCAGTTATGCAGCTAAAGGCACTTTGCTCTTCATTTCCTAAGATCATCCTTTAGCTCGCTTCCCACTCTTTGATTGCGGCTGTTGAAGTGATTGTGCAATTAACAAATAAACCGCCACAGAGCTCGACCTGCGTTTTGAACGCAGTAGGAACAAAAATAAGACATGTGCTCAACAGGAGAGAAACCGCGGGCTCGTTCCTGAGACGAGTGAGTCCTGGAATTAAATTTAGAAGTCAGTGCTCTCAGTAATTCGCTCCAGTCTCTCAACATTTTCGACTCATCCTACGCAGACAAACAGCGCTGACGCACCAGGAGACCCTGCGGAACATTTGCACGATGTGTCTCCCGCTTTGATGCCGGAAGGTATTAAAATCACCAAAAACAATGTTTGACCTTCAATTAGCTGCGTCTCCATTAGGCCAACGTGTGTAATTAGCGGCTTAGATGAGCTCATTAATTCTGCGGCTCCTCGCTATGAGGCGCACATGAATCGCTTATTATTGTGTGCGGGCTTATGTTTGCTCATTCGTAATTATAATGTCAAAGAACCAGTCGGCTGCATTTTTCGCAGGACAAAAATTGTAATTTTTCTAAATCCCGACATTTCGGGCCGAGACTAATTCGTCCCCAAGGACTCGTTAGCATCGCAAAAAGGTGCCATTTGTAAAAAGCCCCGCTTTGATTGTGAACGCGTGTTGCCGGGTTTTTTTCCCTCTGGGAGATCCAACGAACATCCCCGCGAAAGGAACGTGCTCCTACCGAGGTTCTCGATGGTGTAGTAGCGCTGCTTGTAGTCCACCTTGATGGTCTGCGTGTGGGGGCTCCCGATGCCGTAGCCGATGCTGTAGCCGCGCACCACGATGTCCTGGTTCTCCGGCGGCGTCCAGCTCACCACGATGCTGCTGACCAGCGGGCGGACGTGGAGCGAGCTGGGCTGGTCCGGGACGCGGGACTCTGCGGGACGGAGAACGCGGTGGTCAGCGTGAAGCGCGGCCTCTCTCAGCGCGAACCGGGTGTTTTTTTGTTGTTTTTTTTACCGTCCAGGTCGCTCTCGAACGTCTCTGCCGCGGTCCACTCGGTGGCCGGTCCAGTGCCGTTCACCGTCATGGCCGACACCCGGAAGGAGTACTCCGTGCCGCGCTCCAGCCCTGGAGACATTCAGAAGACGGGGATTTAGAAGAACTCTCTTTACAAAACTACAAAGACTGAACTAGTTCTCTATCCGGGGAGATATTCTCCTACGCAGGACCTGACTAATCCTGTAGATACTCTACAACATCAGCAGAACACGTCCCCTTCTCACTCAGAAGGCTGCCCAGGTACCGATTCAGGCTCTTGTCATCTCCCGCCTGGACTACTGCAACTCCCTCCTGGCTGGTCTCCCTGCCACCGCCAATCGACCTCTGCAGCTCATCCAGAGTGCAGCAGCTCGACTGGTCTTCAACCTTCCTAAATTCTCCCACACTGCTCCACTCCTCCGCTCTCTTCACTGGCTACAGGTGGCTGCCCTCATCCAGTTCTAAACATCGGTGCTCACGTACCATGCTGTGAATGGATCGGGTGCAGCTTACATCCCGACCCGCACTCTCCGCTCTGCATCTGATAAACTGCTCGTTCCTTCCTCACTGAGAGCAAAACACTCGACTAGATCTCCACTCTTCGCTGTCCTTGCGCCGAAATGGTGGAACGAGCTCTCTGAAGACACCAGGACCGCAGAGAGCCTTCACATCTTCAGACTAAAGACACACCTCTTCACACTCTACCTCCACTAAAACACTAACACATTGTAGCACCTAAGTTGTCCTTACAATGGCTCTTATTTATAGCAAGGTGTAAATTGGCTTATTTGATGAAATTGCACTTTCTCTTCTGAGTTTGTATCCCTGTGGTTGAATGCACTTATTGTATCAGCTAACTGACATGTGCTCTCCACATCGGGGAGGGGGGGGGGGGGTTGCAGACGCAATAAATATTTTGAAAGCACAAATGTTTTAAACCGATGCCGATATTTCTTTGCACAATTTACAGGGGGGGGAATCAATAAACCGGCCAGGGAAATAATCAAATTAGTGTTCCTGTGGTGAAATTAGCTTTCTTCTCCGCTGAATATGATGGAACTGATTCAGATACGTCTCCCACCTCTAGTTGATATGTTTTATCTTCCATTAAGAAGCGTCTAAAACGAAAAGTGTTAAAAGCAACGCTCGGCGAGTCTCGACATTTTCGCTAATTTGCTGATACATTTTGCATCATCTTCATATTGTCCCATTTGCACACTACACGCCTGCCTAACTATCCGTGCCTCCAAGGCTACAACATCTCGCTCTAAATGCTTTTGAACCGACATTTTCTTTCTGAAAAATCCCTTTCGCAGTGTGTATTCTCTTTGATGCTTGCACACAGCGTGAGGCCACTTGGAAGCTGCCGAGACGACATCCAATATTAATCACCTTTGCTGGGGGTCTCTGGTGGGTTGGGAGCATTTTGTCCGGGTACAGTGGGAGATGTGAACGCCATGTGAAGATGAAACGCAGACGCCGACTAAACAAACACACTTGCAGACGCCAAACGGCAACTCTGACGCGTCTCTTAAGTTTCTGAGTCGGTTCTGTGCACGAACTGAGAAGTGTCTTCTCCACGGACACGCGCAGTAATGAAATGCAGCACGTTTACATTGCAGGGGAAAACCAGGCTGCCTGCAAAGGAGGACAAAAAGGTTTCCGTTCCCTTTACCGTCAATGAGCTTTACAAGCTGGGTGCCCGCGGTGGTCTCGGCTGCTTCGCTCCTGCGGTATCCTTTCCGGTATCGGATCTTGTAGCTGGTGATCTCCCCGTTCTGGCCGCTGAGGGGCGGGGGCTGCCACCGCAGCATGATGCTCTGAGGGAGGACAGAGACAAATAAATTAAAATCAACGTTCAGCACACGTGGAAGCGCCGGCGTGACGGTGACCTCGCGGCTTATCCTCACACACCTTCCCACGCACCTCGGCCTCTGTGCTATCGTCACATTAAACCCCCCCCCCACCCCCCGCCCCCCGCCCCCCTCGCCTTCTCACAGCGGTGCAGATGGGAGGGTGCCGCTCCTCTGAGCCTCGCTGACGCAGTGCAGACCGGCACCGGAGGAGGACATAAAGGCACGAATAACAGAAGGTGTCCGGATGAGTGGGGGGGTGGGGGGGGCGCTCGTGTGGCGGGGGAAACCCTGGAGAGAGTCTGAGGCAGAGTGATGGATGCAGGGCTGCGTGCCGGCGGGCGAACGCGGCGCCGTTGTGGGATTTGTGCATCCGAGTCTTGTGTTTGTGTGTTTAAAGCGAGAGGTGGGGGAGGCGGGGGGAGGCGGGGGGGTATCCCAGCGTGCAAGGGGGGAGGGGGGGGGGGGGGGGGGTTGATTAACGCTTCTCCACTGTCACACTGATGCACAAAAGCCTGAATACATGTAGGGCACGAACACACGCACACACACAGCCGAGGGAATTGGGCGAATTAAATTTGTGTTAAGTGTGTTCAATTATTCCATTTTTCTTATTACACTTTCGGTCCCGACTCGTTATTTTTTTTTTCTCCTCCTCCCTTTAATCATGGAAACCTCTTTAATTGACTTTTGGAAAAACCACAGTGAGAAGATGCCAGAAGTGTGGGGGGGGGAAAGAATGCGCGTTACAAGATCGCACAAACAGGATTTCCAGGGTGCGCCGCAGGTGAAAGATGTGCGGTTCTCATCTGACAAAGACGGGTGTGTGGAATGCATGATAATTAATTGGTCCCCCCCCACACCCCCCCCCCCCTTGTTCCATTTGTCTGCGTGTATCCAGCAGCTCGCTGTAAGAATGCTTTGTATCAATGTACTTGAACCATAATTACGAACGTTTACATCCAGAATCAAACACAATGACATCGGGGGGGGGGGACGAGAAATAGATGATTTAATTCACTAAGTGATTAGGAACAAAGGACGGCAGATGTTTGCTCCACAGCTGGAGTCGGGGCGTGTGCAGGTGTGTTCGGGGGAGGGACAGCTGGATGTACGCTGTCCTTTCCACAGAGCCTCTCCTCTTCATTTCACACTCAACATCAGCGAAGTCCCCCCGCCACGGGGGGCCGGTTCTCACTCAAGCTGGGGGTGTGAGATAGGATTGTCTACCAGCTTTTCTTCTTCTCTTTCGTTTGGTTTGACAGTTCTTGTCTGGCCGCCGCTTTTGTAGTCAACGCGAGCGGCCCGAGCTTTTTTCCCGTCTTCGTCTCACTTTGCACGTTGTGTCTCCCGGGTGAGAAACATCTTTATTTTTCTTTTTTTCCTCTTAGTCAAATTGAATCCGTCACTCGGGTGGAAGTAAACAAGCAGCAGGTCAAAGAGGAAGGTGGACCAACTTCCTGTTGTAATCAGGAGCCTGCCGTGAGGCCTCAGCAGGGTTATCCAATCACGGGCGTCACACAACAACTCGCCGTGCGTTTTAATTGCGATAGACCCTTAGAGGGTAAGACGCGGCGAGGAGTCTGCCCGGGCCGGGAGAAATGGGGTCCAGTTATTCAATCTCGATAAACAAAATGTCCCCTTCACACAAATGTGCTGCAGATTTATTCTATAAAAATGGTTTCCAACAAAAGGGATGGCTTTAAACATCATCAATAAGCGGTTACGTGTCACGCGTAGGGTCAAAGGGCACCTACACGTCCGTTTTAACTGGCTTCATTTGGATGAGATTTGAACCGTTCCATTGTAGTATCACATCTGGTTTGCCTACAGATTGTTTCCGCGGCACAGATGGAGATGGACACGGAGGAGAAAACCTTCTGACAGGCGGGAGGATCGATGAGGGTTCGCACACCCTCTTAACCAGCCGCCCCCCCCCTTAGCCGATCGCTCTCGTTGTTCGAGCCGCACCGGGATTCGCAAAGGCGCCTTTGAAAGCGGCTGCACGGGGAACCGGACTCTTACCTTTGAGTTCTGGACCTCCACGGTGAGGTTTTGAGGAGGAGCACTTGGTACTGTGTAACACAAGGAAACAAACACACACAATTAGGCTAGATAAATAAATAAATTAAGATACTAACACGTTTTGATGATAAATAGTGGGCGTTTTGTGGGAGTTAGTGTGAACAAGCGCTTTGATACCACTTTGCGCTATAAGGATCAATACCGGCGCTGCTCTACAGCCCCGGAAACATTTAGACTGAAAAATGCGTTATAAACACAACATGACAGTGTTGTTAAAACGAGCTCGTCTCTTCATCCACCAACTGACCGTCGGACAACGTGCGGACGACGATGTCGTCGGTGGAGACGCCCGGGCCGTGCTGGTTGTTGGCCACAACGCGGAAGCTGTACTCCGTGTTCTTCTTCAGCCCCGTCATGGCGTAGGACTGAGCGTCCACGTCCACGTCCTGCAAGCAACAAAACACCGTTTTTAAGCTGCCTAGAATATTTCTGCAGGTTTGCTTTGCCTTCGGACAGCCGGGCGGAAATATTCCAGCTATGGCTTCGTCAGGTGGCTGAACTACTGTGCGGGAACGTCAGTGGGGGCTGGCTAACATCTTCCGAACATCCCACACGCCTCAGATTTGGCTAAATATATGTTAATAAATGTGTCCACTTACAATTGAATATGAGATTTCTTATCAAATCACATTTTTGGGGGCGGGGGGGGTATTACATGCAAAAAAAAGACAAAACATAGATCCGATTTCACGACTCACATGTTGAAAATTTTTTAGCAGATTTTCTAACCAATCAATTTCTCAAACATGGCGAAGCCACCAAAGCGCGACGCCTGCCTTCATGGCGGCGACCTCCCTGTTTGTAATCCCGTATAAAATGTCATCTTCCACTGAGAATCTAATTATCCCGTCTGTGATCACAAACCTGCACGTGGCCAATTACTTTACGCTAATTTGCATCCGGCTCTCCGGATTGTGACATTTGGAGTAAAACGACAACTGGAAATCAAATCTCGCTTCCCGAGGTGACCCCCCTTCCCGGCCGGTGAACTCCGGGGCAGGTTGATGCGGCTGAAGATGCATCGCGGGTCGCCCCCGACTCCGCCCCCCCATCCCCCTCCCCTCCCGCCCCACTGGCCTTTAAATATTTCACGACCTTTGAGCGCCGCAGCTTTCTGGCTTCATACTCTGCTCCTTCACTTCCTCTCCTCTCCATCCCTCTGCACATCTCTTGCCTTTTTCACCTCATCTCCGGCTCTCTCCTCCAGGGAGCCCAGGCATCATTACTCGGTGGGGCCCGGCTGGCGTTTGGTCCATTATCATATTAAAGGCTTTTTAATGCCTCACTGGCTGGCAAACTGCTACTGTTGGGGCTGACTCGATACGCGACGAGCAGAACTCCATTCCGGCACAAGACAGCGACTCGGCGCTTGTGTGTTTGCTTTTTTTTTTTTTTTTTTGGAGCAAACGACTCGCCTCGTCGCAGCTTTACACGCAGTCACATTCGTTCGGATCTAATGAACCGTGCAAAAGCCGGCCCGCACGCGGCGCTTCTCCTGTTACGGGGTCTAACCGCGATGACGGCGACGCCAACTGCGTGTTCCTGTCCCACTGTCCCATGACGAAATGAGGCCTACCTGCTCGCTGCCAAAGCTTTTGTCCGTGTAGTACAACTTGTAGGTGAGCATCTCTCCGTTGCCGGTGAGCGGTTTGTCCCAGCTGAGAGAGACGGAGGTGGGCGAGTTGGACGCCGCCTGCAGGTTGGGGGCGGGGCCGGGGACTTGCACTGAAGCGGGAGAGAGGAGAGATCATTAAAAGCATCTTGTTTCACCCGGAGCTCCAGCGAGGCACCAGAACCTATTCCAAAGGGAGACAGGGGAGGGCAGCAGCGTCCAGTCTCCCTCTACACTCGGTGCCGTGTAGTGAAGATTCCATATTTTAAGCGTTTAACATCTGACACCTCGCACAAACAGAAGAGGACGTAAACGCTAACGCGCGCGTACGTTTATGCGAACGTGTCCGATGCTTTACGTCCCGGGCCGAGAGTCGGCCGTCACGGATAAATGGAGCCGCCGTTTCCAAACCGTTCGCGTCAGGCAAATGTAAACGCTCTTAAATCAAAGGCGGCGCTCCTCGTGTAGGTCTTTAAGTAAGTAAGTTCATATATCGAGGGCGACGGAGGACACGGAACGATTCAATAAGTTGTGACTGCGCTTTATTCAGAATAAGGCGGTTAGTATACACAAGGTGATATATTCGTCTCTGCCACATACGTCTTGTCTGCGTGTGTGTGTGTGTCTGCGTATGTGTGTGTGTGTGTGTGTGTGTGTGTGTGTGTGTCTGTGTGTAGCCCGTCTCTGAGGAGACGCTGCAGCGCCGCGTGCACGTGTCTGGCACTGAGGGGCCGGGTCAGAAGTTTAAGCTCTATTCGTAGCATGTCCCCCCCCCCCGCTAACGGAGCGTCCACGACAGAGATTTACTGCGTCCTCGCCGCTTTCCCCCCCGCGGGCGTCTGGGCGCCTGCTGGCAGAGCATCAACGTGCCGTCTGTGTGCGTGTGTGTGTGTGTGTGTGTGTGTGTGTGAGAGCCGGTCCGTCCGTCCTCCAACCAAGGGCGCAGGCAGCGAGACGGCGGCTGACCTACAAAGTGACAGAGACTGAGCTGTGGCCGAGGTGAGGAGACCCCCCCCCCGCCCGCGCCCCCCCTTGACGGCGTGCGGGGAAATCCCCGTCGCAGCACTTCTCAAATGTGTGTCGAGGCGGCCGAACACAAAGAGAAAGGAAGAAGAGGAGAAACCCCTTCGTCCCCTCAGCGACTCTCTCCTCACCTCAAAGCCTCCTAGTGAGCTTCTGCAAAGCGTCTTTGTGGAGACGGGATGGGGAGGGAGGGGGAGGGGGGCGGGTGAGGGGGGAGATACTACACTTCATTCCTTACTCAGGTAGGAAAAGCTCAAAGACACACAAACAGACACACACAGGGATTACACAGTAAATGTTGGGGCATAAACAAGAAGGGGCTTATAGGAAGAAAACACTGAGCTGGGTGGTCTGCCACGGCGAAACGGCGTCGTCCTCCTCCTCCGTGTGTGTGTGTGTGTGTGTGTGTGCTGCCTCTGTTTGAAGTGAGCGCACGCTGTTTGCGAGGGAATATTTGTTTGTGTGAACGTTTATTTTTCGCGCTGGTTTTTTCGAGTGCATCCTGTTTGCACCGGCGTGCCAGCGTGAGCGCGTTTCCAACAACCTGGCTGCAACCCGGCTTCATGTTTACGTGTCCTGTTTCCTGAGCACATATAAAAGAACCTGTGTGTGTGTGTGTGTGTGTCCTTACCTTCAGCCTGGGTGGCCACTTTGAGCGCTGCGGAGCTCTCCCCCTGGCCGTTGCCGTTGTGGGCCACGACCCTGAAGCGATATTTGGTGTCTGGCATGAGGTTCTGGATGGTGACCTGCATCTCTCCTGGACGGCTGGTGTTCACTACTCGCTCCCTGATGTGCGCGCGCACACAGACACACACACACGCACAGAAACAGGCCTGTTAATAACGTCAGTCTTCCATTTACAGTAGGGTACATAACTTAGTTATATAATGTGTATTGTACTGTACTTGTTCATTTGATAATAGAACAAGTGTGCATATTTGCCTCCTTTCCATCCCCCACCCAAAAAAAAGAAGAATTGTTTTAAGATCCAAGGAATCTTCCCCAGGTGTCGGGTTTAACGTCTGGCTGGTTTTGTCCAAAACGCAAAGACAATCAATCAGCATTCGCATTGATCCAATTAAAGATTCACACATTCGCATGGAATGATGGAAAAATAGCCCTCAGCCGCTGAGCGAACATTACATCCTACAGCAGAAAAGGAGAGGAAGCGCATGTGCAGCCCTGCTGGTTTTGTGTAGATGTTGCGTGTGCGCTCTGTGCATTTGCACAGATAGTTATGCACTCATTTGCATCCTGAGCTCTCGCACTGGCAAGTAAAAGCCTTTTCATGTATTCGGCCACTTGTGAAAATAAGAGACAAAAAAATGCCCCCAAACACTGAGGAGATATTGTAGAAAAACCTCCCGGCTTCCTAAATCTAATTCTCAGACACTCAGTAAATCCTCTCAAGAGCCACTTTAAAAAAAAAAAAGAAAAAAAAAAGTAAAAAGAGTTTGGAATGAAATATTTTGTTGATACTTGCAGAGGTAATCCTTGGAGGAAGGAAGTTTGCTTTTAATTATTTACCACTTTAACTGCTTTAATAAGATATTTGCAGCGTCGTCAGAGACCCGCATACGAGTACTCTTGTGTAGTAGTATTGTGTGTGTGGGTGTGTGTGTACGGCAGTACTACCGTCCAGTGCGAGGAGTACCTGCTGGTTCCCTCCTGGCTGTAGAAAACAGAGAAGGTCAACTCGTCTCCGTGGGGCTCGGCTGGCGGGCGCCACGTCAGCTTGATGAAACGGGTGGAAACCAGGGAGGCCACGACGTCGCGGGGGGGCGAGGGGGCGGGCCCCGCCGGACGGGCTGCCCTCTGGAGCCTGGCGTTACATGGTCAGCAGTGTTAGGAGTCAGTGAGGGGGGAGAGAAAAGAGGGCAGGGCTACATCTTTGGGTCGGAAGGGGGGGGGGGGGATAAGTACAGACACGGATGGCTAGGCTCGTGCACCTAAAGGGAATGGAGGGGGGGGGTGCAGGAGACAGCGGCAGCATAGGACATCCACAGGGGGGGGGAGGATGGAGGAGGTGAAATGGAAATGACAGTGAAACGGAAGAAAGGAAGGAAACAAAAAAAAGAAGAAAAAACAAAATAACAACAACGTAACGAAAAAAGCCTTTTAACGTGACGAGGAACCACAGAAATATAACACTTGTACTACACGATTAAAAGCACAATACGAGGGGACTACACATGCAGATCTACACACAGCGCTCTGATGTAGACGGTGGCGGAACAGATTTCATTTCACAGACGGCCCTCCCAGCAATCATTTTTAATTACAAATGATTGACGCTTTTACTCTAAAACAAGACGGAGGGAGACTTTGTGCACACCAGAAACCGTGTTTGCGGAATTCAATTGCTTTTCATTCGCCAAAGACAAAAACATTCCTACGTTTAAAACTAAAGTAAAAAACACACAGAAGCAGGAGATGCTTTCCGTTTTCCTTTTTTGTTACTTTCGGCCGTCACATTCCTTCGGCTCAACCACAGAAATGTCTGTGACTTCACTCGGCGGTTGCTGCTTCTTTTTTCAGTCTTCTTCGGTGGAACGAACCGAGCGAGAGCTGCTCTCCACAAAACCACAGCGTCAGTCCGCGTGTCCGCGTGTCCGTGGGCGGGTCACGTGAGCCGACTGGAGGGCAAAGGGACGACGCGGCGCAGTGTGCAAACGGTGTGTTATTGCTGGAGGGAATTGTTGTGAAATACAAAGCGGCTGCTGGCATGCGCATCTGTCCGTCTTGGCGTGCGGGACGACCGCGAAGCTGGCTTTAATATTTGTTTACATATCAAATTCCCCAGTTCATTGACTTTTGTGGCTGCGGGGATTTTCTGTTATTCGGTCTGCTCGTCTCCCACTGGGATCAACATGCATCTGCACACACTTTGTAGCTTCAAAAGAAAGCCGCAGTGCTATCGTGTGTGTGTGTGTGTGTGTGTGCGTGCGCACCAAATACACTCAGCCTTTGTATTGGAAAGTTGTGTTTGCTCTTGGATTTGAAATGAAACAATGATTTATGAGGTTAAAGTGCTGATTGCAATCGTTCATTTCGGATTATTTGACACCAATTTTTTTAAAAAAAGAAGGAAAAATCAATTCATCACACGCAGGGTGCGGCGGCTGAAGTCGATTTCTGGGTCTGAAGCTGGAGCTCTGAGATTAGCAGATACTCGATGTCTTCACTCCCGGCTCACTTTGCTGTTCTTTTTGCCTTCAGTCTGGTCAACAGCAAATAAGACTGCGATGGATTGCGGTCCGGTGACTGATGAGTCTGCTGCGTCGTCCGCGTAATGTTTAAATGGGGACTGAAATCCCCGCCTCCACCAAGCTGGATGTCAACAACCTCCAACAGCCTCTAGGCTGGAAGTCAACACTTCAACCTCAACGCCTTCATTTCAAAGCCAATTTACTAAAAACGGAGGGAAACAAATCGTCATCCTAAAGCTCTCTGACTGCAGCGTAAATGACCGATACAAAAGACAGAAAAGCACAAGGCTGTGGTGTCTCTCTCACACACACACACACACACACACACACACACACACACACACACACACACACACACACACACACACAGAGCAAAGGGATTGCCACTTAACCACAAGCAGGCTCACCCATCGTCATTGGATAAAACCGACACAAGGGGAAGATTTATGAATTTCATACAACTCCTCCCTTCCTTTGAATAAGGAAACCTTTGACCTTTTTGGTAAAATTGTGAACTTATTGATCTGTGAAGCAGAGTTTCCCCACAAAGAATCACCCAAAAGCGCCACTACATTACAGATGTGTTCGTAGTTTTTTTGGGGGAAATAAGTTAGTTTGCATAAAGAATTATTAAAAAGGACCAAACAAATGGGGCTTCCACCTGTCGTAGATTAGTTGACTAATTTCAGTAATCCCCAAGCAGATTTGTAAGAGTCCAATCCACATGGAACTGCCTGCTGATTTAAAGTTGAGGCTCCATACGAGTTCTGCAAAAGAATTCCGTAAAAATCAAACTGAAGAAAGGCTGCAATAATTAGTTTAAATCCCCGACGGGGAAGACAGCTATCCAAGAATTAACTGTCACCCACTTAGTTAGGAGGCACTGAAGGGCCTGACTGCTACTCGACAACCTCAGGCTGTGCTCCACTTCACAGAGAAGACAAACAAAGGTCTACCGCACAGACGGCCGTCCTCAGCAAATATCCAGATTTCCCTCTAAAGCCCCTTTTCTTCCATTCAAATGACACAACAGTTTGAAATGTGCAACCACGGAAACAGAACAGGATCCCACGTGTCCAAAACACGTCTCATCTCGGTCAGCTTCGCCTCGTCTGGAGTTGAGCCACCGCTGGTTGACGATTTGGGGGGAAAAAAAACATATGACATAATCTTTTTGAGACTTTGTACGCAGCAAATACTCAAGTGGGAATAATGCTGCATTCAAAGTGTGTCCGGTGCCTGCGGAGGAATTCTGGGATGAGCGAATGATGAACCACACGTAGATTCCATCTACTGCTGTATGCAACTGACGTGTCGACGTTTTTTTGCGCGTCCTGACAATCCGTCTTGTACCTTGAGCCACTAACTGTTACTGTAAGGAGGTGTCAGCCTCCCACTGCCTCTATTCATAGCTGATTAATTGTGCCATTAGTCTCTGTGCCAGAGGCAATGAATGGCTGGCATTAAGGCTTAATGAGGAAGGTTACTCTGGATCTGCATAATAAATCTGGGAAACAAGTACACACAACAGTCAGGAAAAGAGACGCACAGAAAAAGCATTCATTTAAAATATCTCACTGGAAGCCGAGGCCCTTTTTCTCCCGGGTGAAAAATGCGGATTGAAGCCAGGGAACTTTTAGCGTTAAATGCTTTGGTGGCTTCTCCATCGTAAGAACAAAGACAAACACGCCGCGTCTAATGTGGTTCGGTAAAGGACGACCGCATGGGAGGCGGATCCAGCACGGAGCTCACGGCCCGCTACCGGGTCGAGGGAGTGTGAGTGACAACATGGCGGCTTTTCTCCCCTTTCAACATAAGGCTGGAAATAAAAGCCAGACCCCCCAAAAAAAAGAGTCTGAGAAGCTCCCACGAGGAAGGAAACCGAGCGAGACAAACAAAGGGAAGACTAAGTGAGCGTTGAGGAGAGAAGAGCGAGAGGCCGACCGAGCAGCTTGCTTTTCTTTTCTTCTCTCAAGATTCCTCTCGACCAAGTTGTCGAGAGGAATAATGAACTTGGTTCTTAACGCTAGATAGAAGTGTGAGTCACCCCCCCCCCCTGAAAAAAAGGGATTGAAGTGCTTTGTGCACAAGGCCAAATAACTAAATCCCTGCAAATGTTCCTGTGCTTGTATTCCACGTGAGGAGTGTTTGGACCTTTTCCTGGTTCCTGTGTGGTGAGCACGTGATCATCTCAGTATCAGGTCTGTGGGGTTGGTTTTCCTTTTGATACTCAGAGAGCGTCAGGATTAAAGTGCAGATCAAAACCTCACAAGGGCTCCAAGAGACGTGGTGCTCCAACTCGCGCCCACATAATCACCCGCTTTTCTGTCTCTTATCCGATTCTCCAAAAACGTCATACAGCATCTTCCACATTCCTCCTCATCACTTTCTGGGGCGCAGTGGTCAAACTTAGTTAATTAGTTTTCCAAAAATTGAACAAATGTCCTCATTGGGAGGAGGACCGATCGGAGGTCTCCACAGGCCTCCTGGATGCCATGTGGCGATGCTGTAGGATGTTTTGTGCTCAGCTATTTACTGTGTGGGAATCTGCTCTATGTCAAATGCATTATGGGAGCAGCGGATCTCAAAATGAGGGGAAAACCAACCAGCCTTTTCTTTCTAAAAGGCGGCAGTAATTGAATGGGGTCGGGGGCATCAATAATTAATCATCCGCCGAGTGTACGTACAGCGTCCCTTCACCATCAAACACATGTACCCCCCCTCTCCCCCCCGATCCGTGAGCCACTGGTGAGTTAATTTGGGTGTGATTACTGTGTTTCCCTGGACGCTTTGCTATAACACACACACACACACACACACACACACACACACACACACACACAAGGCCAACAGCTGTTTGCCAAGACTCTGTATGCAAATGAGGATGTGTGACTATGCTATACAATGTAACCCCTCCCCCCTCCCCTTCCCCCTCCCCTCGACACCTCCTCCCTTCCCGCTTGCACAGATCTGCATCACGTGCTCCGCGTGCTGTCTGGGAAAACGAAGCGAGGACGCTCGGGATCAACGCGCGTCTCCCGAGCGTCCCGCCGCCGCCGCCCACGACGCCGTAACACCTCGGAGGTACACGGGTACGAGTCAACCTTTCCAGGGGAACAGAGCGAGCAGCCGGGATGAAGTAATTCATGTCAGAGAACGCTCTCTGTAGCCACGCGCGTGTGTGTGTGTGTGTGTGTGTGTGTGTGTGTGTGTGTGTGTGTGTGTACAGGCCCTTGCAACGCCTTGTGTATAAAGTGAGTGCAGCAGAACAAGCAGGAGAGGGCCGAAAAGGTCAAATAGGATGTTTGCAGAAGTGGGAGCAGCTGCACCAGCCCCCCCCCCTCTCAGGAGACGCGCTAACAAACAGGCAGCTAATCAGACTCCAACTGCACGGATAGAGCCGCCTCCCTCGGTCCGACCCACCGAGAGGGCGCCGCCGGCCCGCTGTGATGCTGCTCTCTGTTCTACTTTTAGCTCACGGAAAAAATGGGAGGGCGGCGCACGGGAGGGGAAATGGAGAGGGGGGGGGTGCATAAAAGCTTCAGCGGCGCCGCTCACAGGGGTCAGGCCCCCTGCAGCTAAGGGGAAGGGTGTGAAAGGAAAGTGATGTTTTTGTGCCATGCGGTTCCTCCAATTTTTCGCACCTGGAGGGACGTCCAGTAAACACGAGACGAGGCCGG